CATTTCCAAGCCATATGTCCCCAACGAGAACACTTCATGCATAATATGGGCTCCTCAATGTATTTTACAACTTTCCTGTAGCCTAGTCCTTGCACAAAAATTCTTTCTGGAGCCTCACCCTTTACCAAGGCAACAACCTGGCTTTGTTTTTCACCACGAACACTGTTCCTCTTTGCCCAAATAACACTATCATTGTTGAGCAATAGATAATCAGGATCCAAATAAGTTGGATACTTAAACACTATGACCTTGGTGTACATCATACCTTTTTCCGGAGTAACCATCACAATATTCTCAAACCCATCCTTCGTTAGGTGTTCCACGGCCTCCTCTGTCCCAACTGTTATATAGGGCCGGTGAAGACCCTCCTTGAATAGTGGTTCATATTCAAAAAACTCCTTAGCCAAACGAACCGTCCACTCCAGCTTTTGATGGAAATTCAGTTGACATGCTGTAGGGAACAACAGCCTCTTCCTTCCATTAGTCTGCATCTCCCGCGTCCTGCTGAGCATGTCTTCATTTTTTGGTCTCTTTGTTATTTCCTCCTCACTGTCTTCGTCTCGCTGTCTTTGAATATTTCTCCGTTTATATCTGTTTACTACTGCTTGATACGGCCTAGTATCATCCTGTCTGCCATCCCCACTGTCAAACTCTCCAGGCCCAGTACAGGATCTTCCATCACCTAGGCAGACCGCCTCAGCCATTTCCTCGATACACAAAGGCACTGTATCACTGCAACAGTCGAGAACAAATTCACAACATCTAGCTGCAGCAGCCACGTGCAAACACGAAGATGCGGAGCAACACGTCCTCCTCGCATCATGCAGCAGACCGCACTGCATTTGTTGCCCTCCTGTGACATTGTTAGAATTGTTCTCTTACCTATACTTCTATTTACAAGTTAAGAGACTGTCTATATTTAAGCTCCATGGAAGCCTAGTTTACTGCATACTTATAAAATAAGAAGAATAGTTTTTCCTCGCAAAACAGTCAGCAAATGTTAATGTTTCTCGTGATTATTGGGATGTTAATTGTTTCTCAAAACGTGATCATTATGATCTATGGTAAGTTTGGTAACCATAAGCCTATTCAAAACTAGATAGCTGAAAGTATTATTCGCTAATTCAAAGTCAGATGAATCAAATTCTACTAACAGCTGGCTGCTAATTCAGTAGAAATTTGGAAAGTCCGCTTCTTGAGCTTATAAATAGTGTTGATTAACTGGGTTAATTAACATTTAAGTTCTTACGTGGATTGTTAACGACTCAAGCAGGAGCCTCTTGATTCGGTCTACTTCCACCGGAGTTTGTAGTTCCTAAAATTATAGGAACTTAAATGTTGTTTTTGTGTCGGCAACTTCATTTAAGTTGGACAGGCTGTTATGTTAAGTAATTATGTTATTTATAATCGAAGAAATGGGCCTTTTGGTTTTGGCTTATTTAAGGTTAGAGCAGTTTACAACTTCCGAGTAGTATGTTGAGAATTTTTAACCTCAATATCCGCCGCCGTGTGCGTCGTCCCTGCCCCTCCTCCCGCCGTGTGTGTCGGACCCTGGACCCAACCCTGCTTCTCCTTGACGTGATACAACACTACATCAGACATCTTGCTGGAGAATCACAGCTGGTGGTACGTCTTATCACCAGTAGTTGCGCCGTAGACCCGATAAGTGTCGGACAGGGCCTCCATACACCCCCTACATACATACGCACTCACGTATGTTTAAGGGCTGCGTTGTCCAAGCTTTGTCAATGTGCTTGCCAGTGTCTCTTGTATCCTAATACAGCTGTAGACTGTATTTTATCCTAGTACAGTAGTAAACTGACTGTACAAAAATGTCCAGGCTTCTCGTATTTTTTTAACTCTTTGCTCTTTACAAATATATATATAGAATACAGCTCCCCTTTCACCGGAAAGATCATATGTTAATGCTTGTATCAACGAACGCTTTACATCCCTCTCTTTACCGTACTAGGTAAATTGTCCTATTGCGATCTGTCACACTAGCCAGCCCTCAGACCTCACCATGGTGTTGGGGGTGTTATGGTTGAGGGGCCTCCAGAGTCACACGGGTGAGCTAACCCCCACCATGGTGGTGGTGTGGAGGGGTTCAAAGTCACACCAGCCCCCAACCCCACCGTGGTGGAGCAGGGGGAGTGGGTCAAGTATCTCAGCCTCTCACAGGTTAATATCATCCTCGGTGATTATTGATAACCAGAAATATTGGGAAGACGGCAATTTACTTCAAAGTGCATAAATTGATAAGAGACGATGACTGGGTCAAGGTTGCCTTGCTCTTGCAACAGATGCAACAAAAAAAATGTTCATAATGCAGTGACTTTGGTCTTAATGCTTATCAACCTCAGGAATCTTGGTAAGTCAACCACAATAGCCTACTGGCCAAGCAGCAAGTATACTCGCGCGAGTATACTTGTATACACTGTTTAGTTCAGGACTAAAGTAAACTTATTTGTATTACACCAAAAAGCGGGGTAAATCTGATGGCGCAGAGAACATAAAACAGCAAGATGTCAACTCCCATAAAAGTGCCTCTTCGCACCTGTCTCTAGGAGAGCAAAATTCCTAAAACTAACATCTGGATATATAATTATAATAGTTAAATTATAAAATTTATAACATCCGTATAAAATAATCACTGTCTACCTGATAAGTCGTACTTCGTGAAAACTCGCAGTTTTTTTTAACGTATCTGCTAGCCACTAATCACATTTAATCAAAATACTGATAATGGAATTCAAGGTTGTTTCATTTGGGATCTTTCCTACCCAGTATATATTGTGGTATTCTCTAATAGCTATTGTAAATTTTCTTTCTTGATCCACAGTATTTTGTTTTAGATGTTTTGATGTTCAGATATTTTGTTTTAGACAGGCGAGAACGTGGCTGTAGGGAGGGGGGGGGGGGAGGTCACAGGAGAGAAAGTATTCTACCTATCTGAGAGTACGAGGAAGTGGAGTGTAACTTTTGATTGTTGCTGCCGGAGGCGGCTAGTTTACTGTGCACCCCATACTCATCCTGTGAGCTGTAGCGCCAAAAGCATTACAGAGGGCACAAAAGGTGTGTATCAGACCTCAACGTAGATTATCACATAAACAATTTCATCTATCCTTCGCTCCTTATAATTACAATGTCAGCTAGTTACAGAAAATGTTCGGTTTCAAGAGATATATATTTACAGTAAGTCATTATATATTAATGGTAGGTCTTCTCGCTAATACATACTTGTTTGAGCAATGGAGATATTACAGTCAGAGTAGAGCTGCTGTTTGTTATTTGTCTTCACAATACACTACTTGTTCCTTAATCTCATATGTCGTTTATCTACTGGAAGCGAAATACGGATGTTCGAACATCACCAGTTGTGAGTCGTGTGTAAACCGTTTTTCATTTATAAACAGGGAGGTTGGCGGGTGCATGGAATCACTTTTGGGTCTTTTGTTTGGAGGACGGGCTGGGAATAGAGGTCGTCAGCGAAGCATTCCGATAAATTTTCGAGTATCAGTTGCGAGTCGCAACTCACAATATACCTAGGCTATACTCATTTAGTTGTACTCGTCTACTTGTGCTTGTGGGGTGTTGAGCTTCGGCTCTTTGGTCCCGCCTCCCATCCGTTAATCAACTGGTGTACAGGTTCCTGAGCTTATTGAGCTCTATCATATCTACATTTGAAGCTGTGTACCGAGTCTGCCTCCACTACATCACTGCCTAATACATAACATTTACTAACTACTCTGACACTGATGTACTGATCGCGGTGCGATTCCTTCCAGAGTTTCGGACAAGGAATTCGGCAGTCATACTATAAAATTGATCCTATGAAATTTGATCATGAAGTTCTTTCTGATGTGTCTGTGGCTCATTTGGTACTCAGTTTCCACGTGTGTCCTCTTGTAACTGTACCACCCGTGTTAAATAATGTCCTTATCTATCTGGTCAATTTCCCTGAAGATTTTGTACACGGTCCCGAACTCTTCTGTCTTTCAGCTACGTGAGGTGCAGTTCAAGCGGATTTTCCACGTAATTTTAGTTCTGGGACTTTTCTAGTGGCAGACCTTTGAATCTTCTCCAGCTTCGTCTTATGTTTGACAAGGTACTAAGACGGGAGTCGCATATACTCCAGTAATGGTCTTACATATGTGGTATATAAGGTTCTAAATGATTCCTTACACAGGTTTCTAAAGGCAGTTCTGATGTTAGCAGCCTCGCATAAACCGTTGATGATGATCTTTTGATGTGGGCTTCAGGAGACGACAGGTTCGGTGTGATATCAACTAGATCTACTTTCATTACCTTACATTTATTTGGGTAAATGTACATTTTAAATTTTTTCTATTACATTTTTCATTTCATTAAGTTTTTCATTACCTTACATTTACTTAACACAGGTAAATGTAAATATATTTCATTTAACGTTATCAAATATACAAAATTACTGTTCACCTGGAATCGCTGTTTATAATAAAATTGGGTCTTCCCATTATTGGATATGAAGCCTGTTAGGCTTATTCATAGGCCTTTTTTTTCCCTTGGCCAAATTACTGACCTTCCTCAGGCTGCAACTCAACAGCTGACTCCTTTGACTATTCATTGTAATCCTAAGCGTGTAACATTTACTATTGAATTATTTATATATTGCATATAGTAACCTATTATTATAGCCTACATAGAACAGAAAGAATTTAAAATTTTCTTTCGCAGTGTTTCCACAAGATATCAAGTCCATTTCTCCTGATAACACAAGACAGGTGCCAAGTATCACAGGAGGATTTCAGTAACATGTTATAGGCATGAGAGTATAGTGCCAACGGTGGAGGTGCCACTGGTCGCCGCGGCGAGGGACTTGACACACATAAAAGCCTAGTTGTCCGTTTGTATTACAGTTACAGCCCCGCGCCTGTGCCAGGTAAGTCCGTAGCCCGTACTACTCGGAACTTTTTTAGTAGCTAAATCTAAAAAAGTTAGTGTTGCTTATCTAAGCTGTAAGGCGGTTAATGGAACAGCCTCGTCGTATCTACTGTAGTGACATATGTACCTTGTCCGCGTTACCGCTAGTCCTCAGCATACGACCATCCTCACGGAACAATTTGTTGGTCTATTAAGAAAAGAATTTTGGTAACTGCAGAAGGGCTATTGACCCATAAGAGGCAGTTCCCATTTATATTCGCACAAACGCGTTCATATATCTAACCTAAGCTTGAAACAATCCATCGATTAATATGGTTCTAAATCGATAATTATTATTCTTGTAGTGGACGTCTGCATGCGTCACGGGGGACGAAGAATATCTCGAGACGAGTAATTTGAAGAGCGTTGAAGGGCTCCTTACAAGGGTTGAAAAGCAAGATGGCGCACAGGAAGGTTATCAGCAGTTTGGATCAACACGTGGAGATACTGCAGTATATCTTGTACATCTTCAACACTATATTCTTCGTGAGTATCCTCGTTGCAAGTTGTCTGTCAAGTTTTTGTGTAGTGGGTGGGGACCTATTAGTTAATTGTGCACCCTATATTCGTCCTGTGAGCGCTAGTTTACTGTACACCCAAAACTCGTCCTGTGAGCGGTAGCGCAGAGCATTACTAAGGCTCAATTATGGTGTAAACCAGATCTCTATCACCCAGTGAGAGTTTGACAATGATTATTAAAAAGTATCCAAGTACACCATACTTATGGCATTGCTGCTAACAGAACTACTTATGGAACAGTAATATGTATGTTAAATAATGTAACTTTGTACGGTGGAATAAAGTTATTTTAGGAAAAAGATTCCATAATATTTGTAGGCTTGGTTATTACAGTATACAGAATTTTATTGACAAAATGATTTGATATTTCGCCGTTAGTTTAGGTGAATTTCTAAACGACTCATTTCTTACAAAGTATTTACCTGAACTTACCTAAGTGCCACCATCTCTCGAGTGGTGTCGACGAGGACAGGAAGCCGTCGGCTTGTCAAAGGTCCGACCTCCCCACACCCCCCATTTGTCCTGATGAGTTGCATTTTGAAATTCAGAATTTTTTTTTCATCTACGACTTCGATGGGTAGGCCTTTCGTAGGATTTATTACCCTGTGGGTCAAAAAGCATCTCCTGTTTTCTGTCCTACATTGTGGCTTGAGCTTGAAACCGTTGTTCCTTGTTTGTTACGATTTATCTTTTGGAGAAGTTGTCTGGATCAGTATCCTCCAAATTGTAAAATTCCGTCAAAGGTCACCCACCCTCCATTTTTCCTAAGGATATTTTCCAGTTGGATTTTTTAACTGCAGTAATGAGATTTTTGGGATAGGCGGTTCCATGGGCAGATAACTCTATTGGTGAAAAAAAATCTTTTGTTTTCTATTCTATATTGGTGCTTGAGCTTGAAGCTATTATTGAGATGCCATATTATCTGTGCTTCTTTGCTAAATAGTCTTCTAGACTAGCTGCCTTCTTTAGATGATACTGTAACTCGTCTTAATTTAAAGAAGGCAGTGTTTTGCTGGATTCCTAGACATATTGGATTATTGTATCCAAGCATAGAGATCTCATCATCAGAAAGACATACCTGGTTTGGAGAATGTTCAACACCGGTCAACAAAAATAATTCCAGAACTAATTGACTCATACCAGGAAAGGTTGAGGGCCACAGGGCTAGCAACACTGCAAACCAGACATAACAAGGTGGATCGCTTCGAAACTTTTAAAATATTGAACAGTTTGGTAGAAGTTGCCCCAGACAATTTATTCAAAAGGTCAGATGTAACGCAAACCAGGAGCAATGGTTTTAAGCTTGACAGACCACAATGTAGGACAGAAAACAGGATTTCCTTTTGCACCTACTGGGGTTATAAACCCATAGAACCGCGTACCCGGCGAAATCGTAAATGACAAAACTCTGTTGAAAATTAAAGCCAGCTTGAAAAAAACATCGGGACAAATGTGGAGACCTTTTAGAAGCCGCCAGCTTTCTGTCCCCGTTGAGGCCATTAGTGTGTTAGTGGCCATCAGGCAAATATTAATATGAATCTTTTAAATGCTGCCACTAAACAGGCCAATTGTGCTTCTTCGATCTCCAGAAGAGAATGTCTTTAATCAGATTTCCACCATCACATTTTACAACCATTGGAGAGAGCTAATTAGTATGCTATTTATAAAGGTTATCAAATATAACCTATCCTTGTGGCATTTGTTATTTCAGGAGCAGGAATTTGGGAGCCAAAATGGAAAGGGAAATTTTCTCCCAATGTTTCTTTTGAGTCGTGTCCTTTAATATCCTCGATGAAGTCATTCTGAGCTAGTTCCTGAATGACATCTAGGAACTCTTGAATAATCTATAACAATGCTCTGTAGCTTTCTGGGCTTACAGCACTTTTTTTTGCCCGAAAATACTGGGTGTATTAGTGGCCTTAGACATAGAGTATACTAGCGCTCTCTCTAGTAATCCAACATTCTGCTTGTAACTCATTTTGTATGTATGTACTTTTACCTGAATAAACATTATTATTATTATTTTGACAATTTAATTTTACAGTACTAACTTGTCTCTAAATTGGGGGTTCATAATTTCCGAAAGGTTGAGTCCTCTGTTCTAAAAGGTTGGCAGTTTTGTCCTTTAGACTTTTAGAGTTGTTGGTATACACTGTATGTTGTTTGTTCATGGATCTAATCAATACAAAAAAGATAGTCTATGTCTGTCTGGGGCTGGAGTCAGGGAAAGTAAAAAAAAATAAAGCTTGGCAGCAGTAGTTGCTTTTGGAATCTTTCCTTATTAAGACTACTCAATAGCCCAGTCGATAGAGTAGGGTATAGGACCCTACGCCCTCACACGCGTAGGGTCCTCTTTGAGTCTCCTAGAGCCAAGGTGAATTATATGTTTATTTCCATGGAAGTGTGGATGAGACTTTATTAATATTCACGTTATCGTATTAATATTCATTAATAAGCTTCAAACTCGCACTGTATCTTGTACTACCCGCTTTCCCAATATTAGTACAGTACTTAAGACATATATCCTTACTAGTGTAATCACCTCTTAACTTACATTGTAGTTATTTGTTGATATAAAACCCTGCTACAATGTACCTTTTCATCTTACCTGATATGTTGATCCTTGCTAAAATGCTATGCGTGTTAGTGGCTTTGCATGAATGTTAAAATACCAATCTTATGTAATCTCATCAAAAGATAAGGAGTGTAAATTATGTAGTATGCCGCACGCCCACACTTTAGAACATTATGTATTAGAGTGTCAATTTATTGAAAACTATAGAAATAAGGAAATAAATAGTGTACCACATCAAATTGTATGTGTGATAATGGTATGATAGACAGTATACTGAGGAGCTACAAGAATTTTGCCCCAAGAGTGTAACAATTATATGCTGTACTTACTATATTAACCTGCAATGTTAATGGGATTCTTGTAATGTTATTTGTCTATTTGTGCTCACTGCATTTGTGCGCCCCTTGAGGGACTTGAAGTAGAGGGGGATAGAAATAGCCTAAGCTACTCTATCCCTTTGAGATGTATTTATTGCTCATCTCAATAAACATACTTGAACTTGAACTTGAATCTCATCAACGCATTGTAGCTTCCTGCAAATAAAAATTATTATATTATTATTATTATTATTGTCATTTAATATATATTAATATCAATAACAATAACATTAATATGCAATATAATATTATGGTTATTAATGTTACAATTCAATTTAGATTGCAGCCTCAGCCTTGTTTGCTCTGACGCTGTGGGTTCGCTTCAGAAACGAGATGGGTGACTACATAGAAGGACTCTCCATATTCTACTATTGGAATGCCAACACTGTCTTCATGGTGAGCGCCATCCTTATCATGATAACCTCCTTCCTTGCTGGCTGTGGTGCCTTCAAAAGATGTAAATTCCTACTTTTTGCGGTGAGTACCGTATTTGGTATTAGATGATATTGAAAGCTGGTGTAAGACTTGTGTGGTGATGAGGTATGGTGCTTGGTGGGATAAATTACATTGTTGGGGACAGGAAGCCTGTACTTACTCTAAGGTTCCTTTGGGTCAACTTCTGTATTGACCAGCTCCAGGATGCAACCTACAACTTGCTCTTAATTACAGCTCCTGTTTACTGTTAAGCAAACAGATGCATCAGATGAAAGGAAACATGCCCAACCATTCCTGCCCCACTCAGGGGTCAAACTTATCTATTAGGAGCCGAATGTAGATCACCATGCCCTATGGCGCCAACCACAGATTGAATGAGCTTAGCGTGAAAGTGGGTTGATGGAGCTCTACTTGACTGAATACAGACTTATGGGCATCATACTTTTAATACATGCATACTCAGGATATAATATGTATTAGAAGGCCCTGTCCTCGACAGGGCCTTCTGTCCACTGTCGAGGACAGAAGGCCCATAATTGGATCGTTGCAGCCTCCTTAGCTACAGACTAAGGCTGTGCCCAAATTACCAGAGGCAAATACTTATCAGATACAATTATACTAATATACATTTTCCCCACCTAATGATGCCATGAATACAACAGTATATGGTGATGACGGTGATCATCTTCATCCTACTGCTAGCGGCGTCGGCATTCCTGCTGGACAATGGCCTGGAGGACTCCCATCTCTTACCGTTCATCCAGGACTCCATGAGGAGCCTCATTCACCAGTACCAGTGGGATGTAGCAGCCAGAAGGTCCGTTGACATCATCCAAGAAAATGTGAGTTTACCAGCATTTTCTTGGCTACAGAGTTACAATGGGAAACAATATTTCTGCTTATTTATTCTGTAGTACTGGAAAAGTAACTTATAGTGAAGGAAACAAAGATATTTAAATAACTTTGCATTGACGTTTGCATTAGAAAATTTGAATCATATCGAGATTTGGTGTTAATCTTTGATTAAAATTATTTTCTGTGTAAGATGCTTCAACTGCTAGATTAGTAGCATGCAAGACATTTCTAACATCTATATTTGTGATCATTAAGGACTAACAGCACTAAATATAGACAAACATAACTGCCGAGCCTGACAGACTCTAGAATAGAGTACTGCATTCAAATAAAGTTCTTTATTAAGTAATTCAAAATGATTCGTTGATCTTTATAATGAACAATGAGGAGCTTAAGTGTAGTTGTTGACGAACTCATGAAAATAACTATTTTGCACTATAATAGAACAACCAATATGTAGAGGCTTATCAAACATAGTGGTTTCCTTATTATTCGGATGCTCACTTTTTATGAATTCTCAGGTTAACTGTTAAGATAGAACACATGCATGTCTTGCAAATGAGAGTCCACCTTGACTAGCCCAAGTCATTACTCGGCAGTGGATGAAAGTCATTTAAACCAAACCAATTTCAGAATTTCTTACATATACATTGATTCATTCCCATTAAAATGCCAATCCAGTGCAAGTACTTTTAGCACACTTTTACCATATCTATTAAAAAAAGATTCCCACATCAAAAAACAAATATTGCACCACAATTGTCTAAAATTATCCAGAATTTTAGTTAACCAAAGGGCCACAAGTACTGATTAACTATGACAATCAGGGTCACACTGTAGCTAAATTCCCAACATGATTTTCAGAAAAGTCATTCACATTCAAGAAATCTTCTGTATTTCCTTTAATAGTTTTAATATCCATAATGAAACCATGACAGTAGAAGTGATTTTTCCATAATTTACCAAATTGTTTCCAGGTTTGTATTTTGTTTAATCATTGAATACATCAAATAAAAGTAAATGCAAGTATGTATTATAGGCTTTGGACACAAATGTGTAGTTATTAATGGAAGTGCATCGGATTGGATACACAAGAACAAGTCGTAAATTCAAGCTAAAGAAACCAAGGTGCAAAAAAAATATTAGACAGTTTTCTGTTGCAGTGGTAGCTGGTTGAGACAAGTTAAGTGAGAAGGCGGTGGATGCCAACAAAGTCGGTAGTTTCAAAGCATCATATAACATTACTGGGAAGATGGAAAACAAAAAGCATAGCTCTCATCCTGTAGCTTTTTATTTGCATAAATTACAGTTAATTTATAATGGGCTAATCTGTATAAGGGCAAAATTCACCAATGCTGAACTGAAAACAGTTGTACTTATGATTCACAAATCACAAATAGTCACAGTATATTGTGCAGTCCCCATGACTTAGTGGTAAGATGTGCGTTTGGAGTTTTGAAATGCTTGCTTTGTCCTGGGTTCGTGTTCTTTCAGTAGCTCTTGAAAGTAAATAAAAATCATGGCTTTTTTTTTATTGTACATAAGTACAACAGTGTCCATAGCATTAATGAATGAATAATTAAATAATATCAATACAAATTTGTACAAAATTAATCAAAATTCTCAGATGGCTGCTTTGAAACATGAAAGTAAACAAAACCAGGTGATTTTTTAATTGTGCATATATTTATATTAATTAATTGTACTGTACTTTCATCCTTACTCAATAATATTCTAACTAACATCTACTATTCATGTCACCAAGTGTTTTGATAAAATATAACACTGAAAACTAAATTATTTTAAATTATGTATAAATGTTTGTATAATTAGTGGTTTTTATATACAGTAACATTTACACTACTGTACCTACAGAAATAACCACTGTAACATGCATTTCTTAGAAGCAAAATACTTCATAAGAATAATTTGGTCCACAGATTGGGTGCTGCGGAGGCTACTCTGCCGATGACTACAGCACTATTCACCTGCCTGTCCCAGACACCTGTCGTGACCAGGTGAGTATAGCACATCTGTTGTAACCAGAGGTTTAGGTGACATCTTGTATTAATACATGGACTCTGGGGCCATTGCAGCCCCAGTGTCCCCCCTCCTTCCCCCACATACTGGGGCCACTGCAGCCCCAGTGTCCATCCCCTCCCCCCACACACTGGGGGGCCACATCTGCCCCAGTGTAGGGTGGGGGTTCCATCCCCCCACACTGGGGGACACTGCTGCCCCTGTTTAGGGGGGTGTCCATCACCCCCCCCCCAAACTGGGGGACACTGCTGCCCCTGTGTAGGGGGGTGTCCATCCCCCCCCCCTTCACTGTGTGCCACTGCTGCCCCAGTGTGGGGGAGGGGGGTCATTGCCCCACACACTGGGGGCCACTGCTGCCCCAGTGTGGGGGAGGAGGGTCATTGCCCCACACACTGGGGGCCACTGCTGCCCCAGTGTGGAGGGGGGTGGTCATTGCCCCACACATTGGGGGACCACTACTGCCCCAATGTGTGTGGGGGTGTCCATTCCCCCACAAACCAGCACCACTGCAGCTAAGGTGTGTGTGAATGGGGTGGGGGTGCCCCACATACCCCCACAAATTGTGGCTTAAGTTTGGGTAGCTGCTGATGGGGGGGGGATCTTCCCAGAAAAACCATTTCAGTACTAATATAATGAATGTGTATGTAAAAAATGTTACATTGTGTGGACCCATGGACCACAGTTTAGTCTACTGTTTTGTATTTTTATATGGTCAGTTGTCATTGCAATGAATCCCTGTAGGATGTTTTGCCCTCTTTTCTTAACTTTTATATATTGATTTTCTGCTGATCTCATTGGCATTTCCTTGACAGATAACAGGTAACCAGTTTAAATACTCTTGTGGAGAAGTGTTATCTCAGTACCTGGAGATACTAACAGGATGGATCACCGGCATCAGTCTCAGCATCTGCCTCTTCCAGGTTAGCTCTTGTCACTTACCCACAGCCCATTCTCTTCATCTGCCACTCCATAAGACTGCAACCATTTTAACTAACCAGAAGTGTACCAGCCAAAACATCCCACCTAATGTATCAGTGCTTCAAAAATGCAATTACATTATTACTGCACATTGCTTTAATTTGTAATAATACAATATGTTGCATTTTTAATGAATTTATATATTCCATAAAACATGTGATGTATTAGGTAAGAGGATGGGTTGATCACACTTTGTCAGTTATGATTTTTGCACATACAGTACCTTAAAGCTACTCTTGAGCAATAACAAGGTTGCTGCTTTTATTTGAAGACAATGGTTGAACACTTCCTCTAGGAATCATTTGTTAAACTACTAAGATAGTATTTCAAATTTGCAACTTCCTTTTTCTTTTCAGTGTTTCTCCATGGTGGCAACAATCTGTTTGTGGCATCTGATCAGGGAAATGGAATCAAGATAAGTCCCTTGTAGGTTTTTAAGATTGGACACTAAGTAAATTAATACTGTATAATGCTTTGATACTTCTGCCAAGATGCTGCCTTACCGTGAGATGGTTCAGAGGATCAATGTTCCTGTGCCCCGGTTTTGGCCTCCTGGTTGGCAGACTGGTGTAGTTATTACAGTTAGACACGGATATAATGAAATAATCAATGATGGAGTCGGAGTCTGTCTCCTGTGGATTCCTTCCCATATTGGTCTCCGAACGCTGGATAGAACTGACAAGTTAGCCAAAACTTTTGCTCATAAAGAGGGAATTGATTACCATCTTGGACTGCCTTTGAGCAGCCTGAGGGCAATAATATTCCGGGAACATCAACAAAATCTTGTAAACTTGAGGCAAAGTGAAATTCACACCAGTTGCTCCATTTATCATCATTCTATTATGCATGAAGAACCTCACATCTATGGGTCATCCAATAAAGTTAGCAGACTTGAAAGATGTTACTACTGCTAGGCTTAGGCTCGGCTACAAGTACCGCTGGGAGTTTGCAACATCTGTTGATGTAGATTTGACTAAATGTATACTCTGTCAGCAGGACTAGTCGCATACTTTGCGTCATTATACTGTATATTGGAATGTGAAAAAATCGCAGAATTCAGAGATAACACCATCAATGTAGTCCAAGAAATGAGTAAGTATACTTCATTCATATGACGTACTGCCGGGAATCTTAGCGAAGTATCCAAAAAAATGTGCTTACTGTAGGTGCAGCCTGCACATGACTGTAAAGCTGCTGCCCAGTTGGGTGGGTTTGGAACAAGACTAGTAACTGTGACTCACCATAGATGTAAAGTGCCTTGTATACTGACTGTTGTAAGCCTCTTATTGACTCACTTGTGATATACTGGTACAAATCAATCTTTTTACAGTATATGTATTTATGTAAATGATTATACTTGTACATATATATATTATAATAATATATGTGTGTGTGTGTGTGTGTGTGAATGTAGCATTAACAATTGTGTAATTAGCTTTAAAAGATTTTCATTTGCCTAGTTAAATGAACTATGGGTTCAGTTCCTGAACCCATTATGTGCCTCTGTAACCCTTTCCACCACTGCCCATGGCATGGGTATAACAAAGAAATTGAATTGAAATATTACAGCTTCTTCAAGATATCCTGCCTGGTTGGATACCCTGTTTTCAGAAGAAACAATAGTTAGGCCTTCATAAATAAGTTTAGGGCCTCAATAGTACAGTTGGGTTTATTCTTGACTTGTAATTGGGAATCCCAGTTCGAATCCAGGCAGGGAACAGATTTGATTGAGCAAGTGTCACCTAATGCATCTGAGATGTCTAATATGATATGGCAGGATATGCAAAAAGCCCCATTGAAAAGCAAAGGTGCATTTGGGATGCTGAAAGAGAATTTGATCAACATGAAAGGTCCAAGATTTTTTCAACTCTTTCACTACACATACTTGTAGAGGAAGAGTTCCCCATAACTGGTCGACCTCTCAGTGTTTAAAAGAGAACTTGCCAAACACCATCAAATGATACCTGATCAATCAGGCTGTAACTCTCACATCAGGCTGGGAGCAGCCACATTGAACAGCCTGATTGATCAGACCATCAACCAGGAGGTCCTGGCCAGAGATCTGGCCCCAGAGACATTGATTCTCGGAATCATCAACAGGTATGTGACAGAAATGTGCAAGGCATGAGAACACAGCCAAGGACAAGTACAGTGCCACAATTTTCCCATTGGTAGTGAGGGGGTATACAGTGCAGCCATGACAATCAAGGAATGCGCAAGGAAAGAAGTGATGGTTACACTGAATGATTTAAGAGTAGCTGTAGGAAAAGGGGAAGAGGATCAAAAGGGTGATCAATAGGCAGTGCCAAGTCAAGGTTCCAACAACAGAAGCCATGGAGCCATCGGGGAGCAGATATAATTACTGTAGTTGCATGCTAGCACAGCAGAGGGAAGTAGAAGCCACCCTCAATTGCCTAAGAATAGGGCACAAGTGCTCCTTGCCTTGTCAAGACAACAACCAAGGGGGTGAATACTTTCAAAGTTAATCCTAAAACTTGTGTCACCCTCCATTGAGCTACACAGCAGTGTGATTTAGTTTGAAAGTTACACACCAAGTATTCTAGAGCAGATAACCTTACCTTCATCTTTTATGTTGATCAGCTCCACTTGCTATTTGCTTGATTGTCTTATTCACAGGGTCAGCGAACTCTGCAAACTATGTTATGAAGTGTTACTTAATCAAATGTACACTCAGTAATAGACTACTTGGCTAGCAGTTCAAGTAATGACATGGGTAGCTTCTGATATATATGGGTGTTATGTTTCTATAAAATCCACATAAATAAGAACTGCACTTACCAACTTAAAGGTACAGTTTATGGAAAAACTAGGGTTTGCACTGCACTGGCCCTGCCCCAGTTGTGGAATGTTTTGCACCTCCATCTGACTGTCTGCATTTTGCTACTCCGGCTACAGAGGTTCACTCAGTGAGTCTCCAGTCTCCATGCTTCTGTTTGGCATGTCTAGGGTGTCCAGTAACTTTTTCTGTTTAGCTTCGTGACAGTCTGAATGCTTTGACTTCAATGCTCAGAGGTGGAGTCTCTTTTGTCTACGGCGAGTGCAACAGTCTATCACTCTCTTTCCAGGCGGTGATAATAGGCTTCTTTGCGGCTTGTTGGGTGTGGTGCTACATGGTCTTCCTGGTTTGGTGCCTTCTTTTGATAATTACTTACTTTGCGGCTTGTTTGGCACACTGGGTGGCAGTTCGGACTCACATTATGTCATTGGCTTGGTCACTTTCCCCTCATGTCTGCTTCATTTTCTTTCCTCCTGTTTCCAGGGGTAGGGTTTTTTCTGTTTTGTCTTCAATAAGCACTCGATACAGTTCAAGAGTTAGCCTCAGTCTGCCTTGATCTTTGGCTCATTTGTCTTCTGCCTATTCAACCCATCCTCGCATACAAAGATCCAAGTTCATTATTCTATCCACCAAACACCGTTTATGAATGAAACGTGGTTTACACACAACTCACAACTAATGATGTCCAAACATTTCCGGAACAAGTGCTTCGCTCACGTCCTCTGTTCGAACCACAATTCTATAAATGCTTCACCCATGTACTTCAAATACAAATAATCACCAACAGAACCCAAACACCTAACCTTACCCATGCCTAACTATACATAGAAAGTTTATGAATGATATTAATTTATATATGCGAAACAAATTTTTTATGCACCGTATGTTAAAATTGATAAATGCGTCTGGAGAGGACGCTGCTTTAAAATCTAACAGCCTAGTGTGTGGATGGGTTGGCCCATCATCTGTTGTGGGATTCATCCTGGGGAAGGAGACTAGTTGGCCTAGTGGGGACTTCGATAAACTTAGCAACCTTCCTGTCCCCAAAATTAAGAAACTGTCCACATCTTAATAATAATAATATTTTATTTTATTTAGGAAAAGTACATACACAGATGCAGTTACAAACATTCTGATTGATTTATAGATAGAGCTAGTACATACAATACCTAAAGCCACTAGTACGCATAGTGTTTCGGGCAACATTCGTTTCATTTCTTGTTCAACTGCTGTTCAGTGTCCTTATAGTCTATGAACAGGGAAACTTGCCATTTCATTTTTTATAATTGTAATTAATTGGACAAATAAATGCAGTAAATAGTTATCACATATATTTAGTATCTAAACTGCATATAAAGGACTTATAGCCAGGTAAAATCAAGTACATAACAAAAAATTAAATGTGATAAGATGATAATAAGGTACAGTACTGTGAATCAATATTACATTTATCTATCACCACCACTTATTCTGTGAGAATATAAATATATATCAAATTGTACTCAATAACCAGAACTGCACTACTAGCCTTAGTAAGCAAGTTTGTGCTAAAATAACTAACATTATATTGACTACATGAGTTTCTAACGTAATACTAAGTTTTATCTATGTTAGCAGTACAGTATCGAGGTATAAACAGCATATGTAGCCAATGTTAAGTTGCTAAGTTGGGGGTTGGTTTGTTAAAACCAAACTGACTAGTTCATTAAATTAAACCATCATCAATCTACAAGTTAAAATCTTTCAACATAATTTATTTAGCATAATTCGGCTTGTTAGGTAACTCTGGCTATTAAGTACAACATGTCTGTATTTGCATATAGGTATACATAATAATTATGCAATTTTCAAGTCGTTCTTTTTGAGGAAACGAACTGAGTATGTGTGATGTTATAAAACCTATAGTCGTCTTCAATTTATGATTCGGTACTAAAACTGTTTAATGGAGGACTAGAATTACTTAAACTTATATTTATCTGACAACCCCATTTTTATGATAGACAAAATATGTATGAATATGTTGAGTAATATAAATGAACCCTTTGGGAATTTATTACATAGGATTTTCATTTTAAATTTATTTTGAATACTTTTAATTAACTATCTCGCTGTAAAACAGAATACAGTTAATGTAAATAAATTACATAATGAATTTTTGTCATGATAGATGCTGTTAACACAATATATAACTACCGTATATCTATAAAGCAAAATATCTGTCAGAGGTTGGAGGCCAAATACTTGGGGCTAGCGTTGGGTAGGGGAGTGTCATAGGCCAGTCGGTGTGGTTTAAAAAATATCCACACTTACGAGACCCGACCATGCAATTTTCAGGAAGTCTGAAATACTCATTGTGTTTCCCATAGTTCAGCAGTTACACTGTTTTGTAGTAAACTTCCTAAGAGGAGGAGGTAGAGGGGGAAAGGACATGGGAGAAAGGGGTGGAAGAGGAGGGGGGAGAAGAGAACTGGGCACAGTCCAGTATTTACAGTATTCATATTATGGTGGACTAAAAAAAAAAAATTTACATGAATTTAACTTCAAGACTCAATTTTTCAAAGCCCCTGGAACTAATTTTAAAATTTACTCTTTATTTTTGAAGATTTTACCATTTACAGTATGTTTATAAACCATTTGCAATTGTGTCAATGATAATTCATACACACAAAGAGCTACTGTTTACCAATGACCTCAGATATTTAAAATTGGTTAATTAAAAAAAAAAAGCAAGAGTCAGTGAGAGTAATTGCCTAAATGTAGTTACAGGATGAGAGCTACGCTCGTGGTGTCCCGTCATACAACTGAGTGAGTGTGAATATTTGTATTGCTGAATAAAAATGGGAAATAGGTTGAGCTTTAAAAATGAGGTAATAAGCAGAAAAATATTGGCAAGAAAGGAGAGCAATAGTTTTGGAGTTGGACCTCTGTGCCTTGAAAGCTCTGCATCACAAATAAACAAAACATGTAACTAAAGGAATGGAATAACAAATTTGTTAAGTTAATATAGTTTTGTCAAGAAAATAACCATTAACAATAACACTATGTAACTTTTTTTTCCTTGATAGCAGGTGTTATTTTTTAATTGCTTATGACTCCAGTATATAGCAAATGTCTATTATTCCCCTAAAACTTTGCTCTGACCTTTGCCTTAGACAGCTTAAGTTAGACGTTATCGAGGTTACTTAAAGGCTTCTGACTCCATATCTAGAGCTACTTATCTAAAGCTACTATTTGTCACAGCTCTAGATAAGGAGTCAGCACCCTTTAAGACATCTTCCCTAAGATGTCTGAAGCAAAAGTCTGTGTAAAGTTTGAGGGGAATGATGGCCATTTTTCTATACATTGAAGGCATGGGCAATTAGAAAACACTACTACCCAGGGACAAAATTTGTGTTACGTAGTTGTATAACAAAAGTGTTTTAAAAATTGAGTAGGGATGACAGGCTGCACATCAAAGGGGTCATATCAAGGCAATTCAAGCACATTCAAATTAACTAACTAGAAATTTATGAATACCTGTATCTGTACATCAAGTCCGTGTGCTCACCAATTATAATTATGTACTGTGGTATCAACCTTACCTGTATTATTAAGGAGCAAAATGTAGTGCTTCTCATGCCAACCCATTCTTTCGATTTGTTACACTGTAAAAATGCAAATGCTGTACCTAACCAAAAATGTACAAACTGAAGCAACCCACTTAACCTATTAACACCGATGCAGAAGAAACTTACATTCTGCACTGCTTCAATTTTTACAAATGTCTCATTTTTCACAGATTAATTGCATTAAAACTGCAATGCATTACATGCCATGAAAGGTTGGTCATGCATACATCTTAACATTCAACCTTTTATCTCTCTCTAAATATGACAAAAGACTACACAGTCTGTCACTTTATCCGACATTTTTACCTTTTACAATGTGGGGCTCAACACATACTCTGGTGCTTACCATTTACACAGTGTGGGGGGGGGGAGGTTCATCATTTACGCACTGTGTGAGGGGGGCTCATCATTTGCACACTGTGTGAGGGGGGGCTCATCATTTACACACTGTGTGAGGGGGGGGCTCATCATTTACACACTGTGTGAGGGGGGGCTCATCATTTACACACTGTGTGAGGGGGGCTCATCATTTACACACTGTGTGAGGGGGGGCTCATCATTTACACACTACACAGTAGCTCATATATACAACAACAATAATAATAATAATAAGTGTAATACATTGTAGAAAAACTTTGGTATTCTTGCTACCAAATCAAGAAAGGATTGCTAAGAATAATATTTACTAGCAATAATATATAAAATAATGTTACTAGAATGTTACTAGCAATAATATTTCTAGTCTAAGCAATATTACTTACCAATAAAATTATTAGGAATAATACAAGTAATTATGTTAATTGAAATGTAACTAGAAATGTTACTAGTAGTAATATTGCTAGGGAATAATATTGCTATTAATAATATAGCTTGCAATAATATTACTATGAATGTTAAAAGCAATAGTATTGCTAGGAATGATATTTACTAGCAATAATATTCATCACAGTCACAGCTTCATTTTCTACATGTGGAAATTATATTATATAATATATTCATATATATATATAATATATATATATATATATATATATATATATATATATATATATATATATATATATATATATATATACATATACATATACATATATATATATATATATATATATATATATATATATATATATATATATATATATATATATATATATATTTATCTTTTTAAAGCTGCCATTTGAGCATTAAACTGAGGGGGAAAATACATTAGAAGATTAACGAAAAAGAAAACGTATAGAGCACATAAAAATGCACAATGCTGCTGTGTTTCCTTATTATGAATGTTTCGGTGCAAAAGTAATACATGCACTTGTGATGGAATGAAAAACCACACGAAGTGGAACCAGCACTGAACCCCTTGAAGCCCCGGACATCCCAGTCTTGGTTATAACCAGCTATTTAACCATTACAACATCAACATAATCGTGTGATCCATAGACGCTGTCTACGATGTGTCTGAGAAACAGTTACTATAAATAAGAGCTAGAAATTAATAATACCGGCATTTCATTAGACCATACATAATTTGCTATGCCAGTTAAAGTTATAGTATTTATTAAAAGTGAAAAAATCTATTTGATAAAAGTATAATGAAAGTGCATCATCTTATCATGTTTATAGTACAGTGTACTCTATTTAAATTTGTATGAATGAAATATTATCTTAACAGACCAGTTAATGTAAAAATTATTTCCGACATTTCTAAGATACAATTTCCTTCGGAATTAGATTTTAAATACCACAATTATAAATTTATGAACAAAATACACTTATTACAGTACCGTATGTTGCGCAATAATTTTGTAAATAATGGTCCAAGCCACTCGGTGACTGATTGAACTTGCAAAAATGATTTGCATGTGGATCAGCATTTCATCACAACATTACACTTTAAACAATGACATTTATAAATACACTGATTTAAAACATTGCTCTCTCACTCCACAAATGCTATACTACACTGCATTATTTAGTGCAAAAACATACACATGAGAAGTTAACACACAAACATTTTCATTCTAAGGTTATTCCAAGTTGTTGTGTCCCCTTTCCCAGTGCAGCTTTCTCGCTTACGAGATTCAATTCTAGTGCAAGAATTTTTAATACATATATTACATGTGGTGACACATGTAATGAATCAATGAATCATTTAAAAACTGGATTCATAACAAAATTAGATATATAAAAAATTAACCTTAATTATTGTTTTTTAAAGAAAGAACATACTATACAGAATACACAAAACAGAAAATAAATACATCTTACATGTTCTGGAAACTGATTAAGGCCAGTTGATGACTAAATATAACAAACCGGAACCAGGAGCCATCTGTGTGTCCACTTAAAGTCTGTACATTTTTCATCAACCATAACACGCATTGTTTACATTCAATAAACAGTATATGACCTCAAAAGTGCTACGAGGCTGCATATAGCAACAACCTTGGGTTGTGATCTTCTAATCTCAAACTGTTTAATAAATACAAACTAAACCACAATAATCAAAGAAACTTGTACAGGTTTTGTAATTGAACACGTAAATTCTTGATGAATCCTGGCCAAGGTTTAATAACTGCAGCAAGTTTTTCTCTTACCTCTTGGGTTATCTAAGGCAGCACTAGGTGGTCAGTGACAATGATCTTCTCATTTCTAGTTACAGCAAACCCTGCATTACAACCTTGGAAAGTTCTTTATGACCACCCTGAAGAGCCACATGAACATAATTCTTAAGAATTCATTGTCATTTCTCACCTTTAAGTGACATCAATTCACAATATATGGTGACGTTAATTTTAAAATTCATCATCGTCAGAGTGATGATTGGGATCTTGATTTCTGGCTAACATGTAGTTATCCATATCAATGGAACGACAGTTGTTAATTGCGTAACGCATCCTTTCAGCCATCACTTCTTGGCTTGAGTATGGTGGAAGCCTTAGCTGGAAGAAACATGTCTGAGCAGTTGGGAGTGTATCAATAGGCCTATCCACCCGCATTACCTGCAATGGGGAATTGCATAATTATAAATTTGTAAATAGAAATCAAATATTTTATCTCTACAATAAGATACACAGTATTTTATATCATGTAAACATCAATGTACTAGACCATGCAATTAAGAGAGACAAGGCAACTCTCATCCCATCAATTTTTTTGTCTGGTATAATGTAAAAATACAAGATTAGTTAAAGTCTTCCATGGAAACAATACTCTGAGATAAGGTGGCTACACCCACAGAAGCCTGCAGGACATCATTACAAGTTGATTCTGGCCCCAGGCCAAGCTTGGGGAGTAAAACAACTCCCAGAATCCACTCCATGTATACTCCAGGTACACAGCAAACATTACTTTCGGAGATGGTGTTGCTTTACATGCACTACTGCATGTTCACTATGGCCACAGCAAACATTATTATGCCCACACTAATGCTTGCCCACTTTGGAACAAGAATTAGCAACATCTTTTGGAAATGGTGCCACTATACCTACATTATTGTCTGTTCTCTTTGGTCATATTCACCACATTATTAATTTTTTTCATTTCCTTGAATGCAACTCTATTTAAAATCATTTTTCCTCTTCTCCCAGCAAATTCCTGACCAATGCAATCTGCTCCTTTTATTTCACAACACAACTTATTTTTCTCTAAACATTCTTGAAAGACAAGAATTGGAGGTTCCCTTGTTTAAGGGAACAAGTCATCAAGGAGGAAAGTTTGTAGGTGATATCCTATCTGAGGTTACAAAGGTAGAGCTCAGCTTACAGTGTCCCATCTTTTCTTTATACTCTTGTTGGAGTTTCCAATGATTTTTTTTATACCACATCTTGAGGACTATCCTCACCATCTACCAATATTTGTGAAGAAGTACTTGTTACTCTCATTTCTACAGTAGTCTCAGTAAATGGAAGTTGCAGCCACTCAATCTACACATTACTGGTTTCAAAAGACATTTTACGTTTCATTTACAATCTAAACTTAAACAGCGTGTGGTTAAGATGCAATCCACAATAGCGTGGGGTAAGAACATTTCATTCATTTGGATCATTGGATATTCAAGCTCTTGGGTACCAGTTCGGTAATTCTCAGATCCTTTTTTGAGAGCATCCATGGTGTGGTTGGCAAGGTCACGGTCTCTTATTTTTCATACCCAAGTTCTTCACAGTTTCTAGCCTTTCGTTAGGAAATTATTAGATATTAGATTTAATAGTAACAGCCTATAACTATTCATATTATTATTACTTTGCATGTTTTTGAGACTAGATTCCAACAGCTATGGATATGACTTATTTTCTATCTTATACTAATCATCTTGCTGCAGTTTGTAAGCATGTTTGTGCCTAATATTATTACTTCAGCAGATATATGATGAGCTATAGTTGTAACAAGGCACAATGTGTCAACAAAATATACTGTATATGAATATGTATGGGTATTTGTGTGTAGTTATCTAAGTGTAATTACAGAATGAGAGCAACACTCATGGTGTCTTGTCTTTCCCAATAAACTATACCATGTGATGCTTTGAAACTACTGATGGGTTTGGCATCCACTGCTTTCGCACTTAAATTGTTCCATCTACATCTCTGTTCACAAAAGACAAGGTAATTATCAGGACAGAGCACTAAGCCATTATGCCTGTAAAGCACTTGGAAGGGAAGAGATAAGCATTTGGTATTGGATAAGGTAAGATAATTATCAGGAGAGACTTTGGAAAACTTTCATATACAGTATTTATTTGACATTTTTTGTTTCCTTTGCATGATTCTATAGCATATCAATCTTAATGTTGCTTATTTCAAAATTTCCTTTTGTCAATTGTGTTGAATCCTATCACTATGTTGCATACGGTGTACATGCGTATGTATGCGTGCATGTGCTTATGTGTGTCAGGGGGGTAGTTTTCACAGCTGACCAAGTGTCAGTGTGGATACTTCACGAGTGCACTGGACCTAAAGTGATTATTTCCTGGATGATCCACAGATTATGGAATATATAAGGATAACTCTAATTGTGATAAGTTGAGTTTTTGTTTGTTTTAGTGTTAGTGACTGATACTTAAAATTAACAGCAATATTGCTCACACTGAAGTGCATCCGACATACCTGGAAGCGTTGGGACAGATCAGCCAAGTTGGCTGGAAGTCGTGACCTGCCAGAAACAAATCTAACAAAAAGAACGCGTTCACAGGGGCTAAATGACTCCAAGATTGACCACAACCATACCACAAGAGGATCATGTTCGTCCACTTCACGATACCTGGCAAAGATAAAAAGTGAAACTACAGGTACAGTACTTCAGATTTATAAAAGAATAAATTAGCTTCTATCAATAAGCTTTGCATAATATTTCCAAGGCATTAAAATATCTAAATTTTATACAAATCATTATTGATTAAAAATAGGTTAATAAACAAAATTTTGGTTATAAACAAAATGGGTGAATGTGACCTATATGCCTCATTGTCATGGCTGTCATGGCATGGGATGGCATTTGGCATTTAGTTGGGAGACAATGGGTCTTCAATCCCATCTCCTGTATCATTACTATAAAAAACAGGGAGTTGTTTGCACCGCTGAACAAAGGATGATGGAATAGTCATATCCATATACAAGGAAAAATAATCCATCCATCATAATTCAATTTTTCCTTATCTAAATTAAAGTTCTGTACTATGCAAAGAATAAGTCACAATAACATCACAAACAAATAACCTAACTCACATTTTACGTGTGTGGATTACTGTATGCTGACCTAAATTTTCACAAATATAAGCTGACCCCAATTGTAAGTTTCAGGGTGAGTTTTGGACATATATTCTATAGCTTTTCTGAGGGTAGCCCCATCGGCTACCTGAAGCTATCAAACTGACATGTGCCATATTAGTTTGATAGCTTCAAGGAGCCTCCGAGACTCACCCAGAAAATGGCTTTTCATTACATTCAATGCTGTTTTTTTTACTGAATAATATATGCAAATTTATAGAGGCACAGTAATGTAAGTTTTTTCTATATATGTAGCCAGGGTACCACATGGCTGCATTTGCTGGCAGACAAGCCACATGTTTCTGGTAGACCATCAACCAAAAATAAATAAATATTTTATGTATATATATATTATTTACATATTTACATGCATAAGATCAAAATCAGCTTCAATAAATGTATGATGAAACATACTAAAAATGGTTCTCTCCACAAAATATCTTACTACAGTACTGTCTGGAAAATACTTCATCTCTATTAAGAGATATTGTACTACATGTAGATAATATTCACAAGACACAAGTAATTACAGATGACCACTCTCTTACCTCACAACTTTCTTGAGGGTAGCTACGGATATGTGTGGGAGGCCACATACTAGTTGCTCGAGGTGTGAGGACGTCATGAGGGAGAGTAATGGTACGGGCACAATCCACGCCATACCTTCTCTCACAGCAGCAACCTGAATGTTTACATTGTGTCAATAAAACTATGTAAAGCACCAAAAAATAAACAGTGGCATGTTTTTGGTCCACCACCAACAGGATACATATTATTTTTTACATGTACAAAATCCTTACAGAACTACTTGAAAATCACTTTTAATCAATGTATAATGAAATATACTAAATACAAAATTAAATAATATACCTTTGTAAATTAGGTACATTTTTATGCCAGAAAATGCAGTAATAAATTTTCCCAGTGCTCATTCAACATGATTATATATACCGTATATTTCTACCCTCATTGTCTCACGCTCTCTTTACTTCCAACTCTCACTAACCTCTCTCCCCACTTCCAATTCCATTTCCATCTCTATTTGTCTAATGACTGAATAATTGATCTACCCAAACACACACATGCAAGAAAATGGGACACCACGAGTGTAGCTCTCATCCAGTAACTACACCTAGGTAGTTACTTAGGTAATTACACACATGAATTCTTGAAATCTGTAACTTCAAGAACAAGAGATCATAGTTGAGGAAAGAAATGTACCAAAAAAATATTAAATGAGAAAGTTCTCTTTTGCAAATGGAGTAGTAGATGACTGTAACAAGTTAAGTGAGAAGGCAGTGGGTGCCAAACAGTTAGTAGTTTCAAAGTGTCATATGACAAAGAGTACTGTGAAGATGGAGCACCATGAGCGTAGCTCATCCTGTAACTACACTTAGGTAATTACTCTTAGGCAATTACACACACGTTCTCAATCTCCCCTAACACACACATATTTGCCCAAGGACATAGAATAATCAAACATACAAATCCCAACTATATAATAACTAAAAATTCAAAAACAAATAATCAACTGCTAAACTCAAGTGTCAGGAGAATTTAATTCACATCACTATATGTAAATTCATCCATATTACACAACAGCAATATCTACAAACCTGTCTGTCCATCTGGTGCAATCTGTAATGTATAGTGCGATTGACATATTCCTGGCGATTGGAAAACGTAAGAGGCACAGCCCGGCCGCCTGGCACAACAGCAACTCTTGCTCCGGTCATGCTCATGCATTCAAAGCTCTCCAGAGGAATAACCTGTCAATGAGTGAAATTAAGATTAAAAGAATGCATATACAGTACATGCCCAATAAAATTACAAAGAACGTGATGACATTAAGGATATTGAAGCTGTACACTGGGATCGAACTCGCACTACCAACTGGACCATGATAGATTAAAATTACTTCTGGTCGAGATACTTTCAGCCCATCATGATTCAGCGAGTAGTGTTAGAAGAGTTAACTATCACGGGTTCCTTTATATGGCCTCAATATTTATTCAATGCATAGATCACCATCTGTCTCCACTTGTTCTGGTCCAATCCCAAGATAACTTCAGCAGCATATACAAGGTTACCTGGAATAATCTTAAGAGTCGATTCCAAAGACTCTTCTCCTTGATAAGCCCAGCCTGGGGCCTAGTTTGTTTTGTGGTGACTTGCTCTAAAAGGCTTTTGCTTGGAGCAATCTGCAGGCCCACATATCACCTGCAATCCGGTTGATCCAGTCACCACAGGAAATTTTCTAATCGTTTCTTTAATACGTCCACTTTTGTTATATGGCAATATTTGTTACATTAGTTAGGAGGAGATCAAATAGCTGTAGACCTCTGATGTTCATACAGTGTTCTCTGATTGTGTCTGTGGCACCTCTACTCTTCACTGGGTCTATTCTACAATTTGGTTGACAAGTGTAAGAACACCCATCAGGACCTCCAACAAGGAACCACGCGGGATACCATCCACGATACACATGAAGACCAACATTCAAATATGTGGCACACACATGGAACCCACAACTTTTCAAATACCTTGTACACAAATATTTCTTTTCATGCTTTGCTTCTTCACTTACCCCCCTTACTTTACCTTCCCTCTTGGCTCATATTGGTTCTTTCTCACACTCCGGTTACGTCACATCTCAATAAGGGTCCACAAGGGATATAAGCAGCATTACTTTCATTCCATTTCACATGTGCGGGTTGGGTTACTTACTTGAAGAGAAGCGGAAGAAACCAAATGTCACATTGCTAGATAAACAATGTGAGAGTCTGATCTTTTCTCTAACATCAGAATAGATAAGCTTATGCCATGCATGATACTTACAGGTAAAGTATTGACACAGTAAATCAAAACTGCTGGTTGATGGGTGGGACCAGAACAAGGGATCTGCTATATGGAAATTAAGCAAGGATGGTAAATAAATGCATTTGACTAAACAAAAAAATTACAAAAATAATTATAGCATTCCAAAAATATAAATGCAGTCCATTAATTTGTGTTGCTTGATCCCTGTCCCTCTGTTATAGATTTTTACCAGGTTTCCGAGGCAGAATTTTCAATCACAGTACCCATGCTGGGTTTTTGATACACAGATCTTTCTTTGACCTTGAAATTCCCAAATAATTATATTAAAACTTAAACCAGTTGACCTTACACCATATTGATCACTTGCAACAATTATAAGAATAACATTATGAGAAAATTAGTCCTTTTGACGCCCAAGTTCAAGTCTTCAATGGTCTATTTTAATAAAATACTAATGCTTAAGTTAAATTATTTACTGTACGAGCACACCATCTTACATCATGGAAAGTGTCTTCAGTTATACCATCTTGATCAATATCTCTGATGGCCCTTAGGCTCTGCATGTATTCTACGTCCACCTGAAAACAATAAGTATGTAATAGTTCAATAAGTTGTGTTACTGCATGTACCATGGTAATACCGTATAGCATTGATGAAGAAAATAAATCACAATAACATGAGCGACACCTAAGGGTCCAAGACAGACTGAAATGTAGTCACTTTCCTTCCATACGTGTGGGTTGGGTTATTCATTTTGAAAAATCAGCAATAACACATACAAAGCTGACAACTAATGTAATTTTAATAATGGTACTGCTTGTTGCGGAGAGGCCCATAGTTGGCCAGAACCTTGCAGAGAAAATATATCAGGGATGTAACAGTCTTTCGAACTCACCCACTTTCCTAAAGCTTGATACAAGTCATAAATCAACACAAATAGGAATTCTAAAAATATTACACAAAAACCAACCAATTAATAAATAAATAGAATAAAATACAGGATTTAAACATGATAACCATCAAGTATTTCTTACCCGGGTTATATAATTATTATTTTACAGCTCAGAAATTTACAAAATCATCCTTGCTGAGAAGAAGTAAATAATTTTGAGGCAGAGAGAGCTTACTAGTTTAATCAACAGCCTTCTTTAAACAGCAAGATTCATTTTATTTAATTTGAATAACAAAATACAGTACAGTACATTATTTGTTTAATATATTAGTGGGTAGCTAATTCCACACAACTTGAAATGGTAGTCACGTACCTCTTCTAAGTCTGCCGAAGAAGGAGCAATTCCAGCTAACAGTTTCCACACTAATGGAGCAAGAGGAAGTGCTAGGGGCTTCTTAGTACGGATAGCAATACCAAATAATATCCCTGTGGGAAAAGACAAAAAAATGAAGTGCAGGAAGAGCTTTAGAAAATCAGATTTACAAGTAAAGACCCAGTGGGCACAATAGCCAAGAGTTGTGCTGGTTCCACACCAAATCAACATTTTCAATGCTAATTCAATGTTGAATCAATGTTGATGACATTGATTTGCTGTTGCTTTTGGATATTATGCCGACTGGTGAAGATTAGGAATACTGTACTGTATATAGAATAAAATGCACATTACATCTATCAAATATTTAGAAATAAAAAACTCCGTAACTACTAGTAATTACAAGTACCACCTTGCACTCACCTAAAAACTTAAACCACATGAAATGATGCGATTGCGTGAGGTCTGGGTTCAGCAAGAAACGATCTCTATTGTTGCCAGCATCAGATATGGCATTAGGTGTGGGTATTAGGAGCGGGATTGCCCCAGTGACAAGCTCGTGGCACATTTCAGTCATAGTATCATCAAACACACCACCCGCATCATCTGCTCCTTCTCCAACAAGTTTAACCTACAGTTGGAACAAAAATGCTGCCTTAATACATGGTATCAGAGTGGGTACTAATAAGAGAACAGCCTTATACATTTATGCAACAGACTAGTTGTTCTTGCCCATGAAAGTACTATCCCCTATGGATGTTTACACATTTTTAAATCTCAATAGCATCCATTTTTATCTTTCAGACGAAGGTATTTAAAGCTTAAATTGAACACAACAAGGGACCCAGAAAACAGAAATCTGTTAAAATTCAATCAATCTTGACTACACTAAGCTGAGCCTTGACCAAGCTATGCACGATTTTGATCAACCTACTTAGGGTTTTGACCAAGCTATGCATGACCTTGGAAGAAGAAAGAAAAAAATTACAAATCTGAATTATCTTTTACCTTCCAAGCTCGAGAGGGCAGCCGCAGATCAGCTGGTTTTAGTTTGACGACTTGTCGAGCCAACTGCGTAAAGATGGGCTTGCATGGAGATCCTCTACTAGATATCCTTTTAACTGTCACTTGGGGACCATAATTGCGTCCCTGAACCATAGTACGGCCCAAACAACGTACTAGAGGGAGAGTGTACACTCTGGGTGAGACTACAGAGCGTACAGCAGCCGAGGTAACTGCACTGACATTATCTACATAGCAATCAGTACCTGGAGTTAAAGTTATAAGTTTCCACGATGAATACAGTAGGTCACTGAACTGATGTAAAAGTCGAAGTCGAGCACATAGAGCACCTCGTGAAACACTCTGAAGGTTAGGATATTGCGGTGGCACTGAAACGGGAATACCAAGTTGCATAGGAGCCGGATTGCCCGGGGTAATGGGGGGAAGAGGATGAGCTGTCCAGGCAGCACTGTGACTACGACCAGCACTTATCTGGTGGATACCTTTCCCTGACAACGTCCGAATGAGCTGGGGCTCTCTTACTGCTGCAGAATGCCCCAAGCCTAACTGCCCATCACTATTAACACCCCATCCAAACACATCCCCAGTGGATGTGAGAGATAGTGTATGTTCAGATCCAACTGCCACATCCACTACAATATGATTCACAAGGGCTGGAACTTGTTGTGGGCGATTATGGCCTCTAGTGCGAGATTCCGGCTGGCCAATGAGACGGTCCATTCCACAGGTGTAAACCCTGCCATCTTTGGTGAGAAACACTGTAAACTGAGTACCACAGCACACTTTTTTTATTCCTATTCCACACATAGCCTCCACTTTCTGAGGAGTGGATTTTGATGTTGAATTACCAAGGCCTAATTTTCCATAATCACCATCTCCAAATGCCCAAACAGTATTTCCATCAGCACTACAGCACACAGTATGATTTAATCCACAAGCTACTTGACCAATTCTCCAACCATCAAGAGCCATGACTCTCTCGGGAAGTTTCTTATTTGCAGTAGAGCCAAGACCTAATCTTCCATAGTCCCCATTCCCAAAGGTGAAGAGCTTGCCATCAGAAGTTACCACGGCTGTGTGCTTGAACCCGCATGCCAGCTGAACAACCTCCTGCCCTTGGAATGCTTCAATTTGTCGAGGTCTACGTTGACGGTCTGAATTACCATGGCCTAATTTACCATAATCTCCGTCTCCCCACGAGAAGACTTCTCCACTGTCCGTCACTGCCAAGCTGTGGCCATCAGAGCCACATGATGTTGCAACCTGAGTCACAACAAAACCTAAAATAAAAATAAAATGCTTACAATTTCTTTGCAAATCCAAAATATTACACAGTAACTAGACATTAAGAGCAAACTTCATCACAAATAATAATTTGTTTGCTAGGGCTTATCAGATCTACTGGAGTCACAGGACAAGGCATTTATAAAGGAAAATAATGAGGAAGATGTAGCAAGGCCCAAGAGAAGAGGGATTAAAACCATCACAAATGTTGAGATTGAAGGCTGCATATTTTATAGACGCCTCTCGTCATTTTTTCTCTGCTGACAAATTTGGCATTACAGTTCATAAGGTGTTGCGCCTGGTTTTCACGTGTGATTCAAGTGTTGTTGACACTGTTGATGCCAAAGTCATACTTATGTTTATATATATCCTTGCACTAATTTGAGGATATGTTTTGCTGTGAACACTTGGCCACAATTACTGCAAGGTATTATATAGACCCCTGTCAAAGTTATTTGTTGCTGTTCTGCTTCTGTGAACATTGATTGTGATTGCATGTTGCATGTATTGTGCACCACATCTATATTAGCTTTATTGTAGGCATTTACACAATGCTTTATATTAACAAAGTATGTATATGATAAAGTAAAGGCAAGATAAACATTCAGAAATGTTGATATGAAGATTTACAAACATACGGCAGTTTAGATAGTACTTGTAGCAACGCTGTGGAACAGCAGACATACATTGACGTAATGGACACTTAGAAAGTAGAATTTGGTACTACTGAATTTAGACAAACCAGAAAAGGTTTTGTATCTATGTTGTGAATAAAAGCTAGCCTAACAATCTTTTTGAAAAATGTGTAGTGAAACAAATACTTGAAACTTAAAAGATTATAAACAAGTATTAATGCTTGTGTATACTCATGTGGAACATTGAACCAACTTAGTTGGTCAAATGACATAGCTATGCTTACACCTAGTCAGTCCAGTGAATTAAAGTGGTCATTCAGACACCCTGTGTAATGTGATTTCCTAATGTCGGGAACAGGAAGACCATTAGGCTTATTGAGGTCCCCTTAGGCTAATGGCTGACTGTCCCAAAGATGCAACTTACAAGAGTCACCTAAGTTCCTGATACTAACCACTGTCCTACAAGTCACTGCCAAGGCATTCTGTTAATCTAACCATGAGCTCTATTTTATTGTACTCTATTTCATTTTGCCTCCTCTATATATTACTAATTTATCTTCACTTAATTTCCAAATGGAGTTAAAGAGGTAAGAGAGATGGAAGTATACCTTGCAGGGTAGATATGACTGAGGGTGTGTGCAGATCATCAGAGTTACCCTGACCAAGGCGCCCATAACTTCCTTCTCCACATGCTAAAACTGATCCATTGGCTGTTGCAATAAAGGTACAGTTCTGGCCACAAACAACTTGTTGTGCACACCCTAGAGTCTCCGTCAGGACAGGAACTTGGCTGCTTCGTCCTGCAAATTTTTTGGGGTCGAGTTATTTCTTTCAGTCACATTATTGTGACTTATTCTCTTATTTTGTATAATATATACACACATGATTTAGTGAATTTGAATTAGTGTTCTTGGGTTTCACCTGTTTCTGCAAGTTGTCCATGTCTGCCACTTCCCCACATGTAAACTTGGCATCGTCCGCCAACCTGCCAGTCCCCCGGCTGCTGCGTGGCCCATGACATTACTGCTGCGTCTTGCTCCACATCCCATTTGTTGTTCTCGAGTGCAAGGCTCACTTGCCCTTTGTCATCTGAAAAATCTAGCACTCAAATTCAAATAATACTTCACTTCTACAATGTAATATCACAAGTGAGGGACTGAGTGTGTCAAAGGATCTGTTAAAGCTGGATTCTATGAAAATGTGTGAGTGTTATATTAGGTTCCGAAGAAGTACATTACCATGACAATTCACAATACATATACCACCTTGCTTTAACACAGAACAAAAAAGTGGCTATAGAACAAACCAAATTATAGACTATAGAGCATATAAATATATATACAAACATGTCCAAAAAGTTTTGTGCATTAAACCTGTCCTCTCGAATAATACATCACATTTTGATGTCAAGATCCCCAACAGACAAAATATGATGTATTATAAATCACATCAGCTCACAAATAACCATTTGTCTGTTGAAACTGCCCACCACTATTTTACGAGTGGGTCGTCGGACAGGTTAAGTTTCGTTTGGTTGGGGCAATTTAGTACATCATTTTGATTACGTTGTGACAATTCAAGAGGACTGGCTGGTGTATTAGTAATTTTATATATGTACTATAATATACAATTTCTGTACCTACTATTTAACCACTGTAATATGCTATAAAGTATATTTTACAAATAAAATTATTATAGGTTATATACAGTAATTTGATACCTAACTTACCCAACTGTTTAAAATGCCTCGTAACAAAAGAGCGCGGGAGAGGAGTGCGATTATTCAAACTTTCAGCCGTGCTGACAGCAGTACACAGCGTGTCTAGCCAATTCCACTCAACAACTGAAATATATTGTAAAGTTTAGACAATAGAAATTAATTTACAAAACACATTAATACAACAAAGTTAAAAAAAAACATTTTCCAAATCTGGCTGTAAAGCTCTTCATTACTAAAGTTCATTAGGCCTGCTGTATATATTTCTAATGCACATAGTATGCATCCCAAATATAAAACAGTTTCCAATAAAGAAAACTACAATAAAACCTGCTTAAGTTTCATAAATTACCAAAACTGTAAATCAACACTGTGTATAAGCCCCCAAGGCACGTCTGCGCCCCCTAACGTTCAATAAGAAAACTCCAGATATATCCAAAAATGCACTCCAGTAAAATATTAACATTTAATTAGTCTCCAAACTACCAACAGGTACAGTAGTTCCAAAGCTTCAAAGCAACACACAAAAATATATTATACCAAGGCAAATGTATTTCAAATTCAATACAAGTTGCATTAATTAATCTTATATGCAAGTAATTATCAGAAGAAGGTATCAAGGCTAGGTAATTATTTAGCATCGTTTGTATTATTAAATAGATTACAAAATTTCTAGGTATCATTCAGAATGCTAATATGCAAGCAAAAGAACACCAGTCAAGCAACAAAAAAGATACCAGATTCACTTACAGTATTTTGAGATATTTTCAAAATACTGTACCTTAAAAGACAAAATGGCTGGACCAAATATATATCCGAATATATAATGTCATAATGTTGTATATTGAGTTTGAAAGCAAGTCACTGAAGCAGCCTCAAGCTGTTATTCAGTGGAATATAAAAAAAAAAATAATTCTGCTGAATCATGTATTTATTGAAAGCAATCTTCTAGTGGTTTCAAGAGATAACTCATGATTTTGTTCATGTTAATGCAATGTACAGTATAGCCACTTAGTGTAGACCAAAACTAGTGTTCTGTCTGCCAGAAAATAAAGTACATTATCTTCCCATTTCCAAATACAATGCTGATGAATGAGAAATGGCACTAGCTGAACCTAGCATTGTTCTTCTTAATTCATTAGCACTCTTAGTGAGTGTATTTTCTGCTTCTTACAGTAACATATAGAATATTTTCAATGTTATTCTTCACCAAATTTCACATTTGTTCAATATATTAAATGCAATTTTATGTGATGTTATTTTGACATGGCAACTCTAAGGCAGTGGTGAGGAATGTTTGGCCAGCCATCACCATCACACTACTGCCTTGGGCCGGACAGTAGAGCGACAGTCATGCTTCATGCAAGTCAGCATTCAACCCAACCGTCCAAGTGGTTGGGCACAATTCATTCACCCTGTCCCATCCCAGATCACTATCCTGATCTTTCCTAGGCAGTCGCTTCCAAGTGCTATATATAGTTATAATGGTTTGGTGCTTTCTCCTGATAGTTCCCTTCCCAACCCTCAATCTCCAGTGGCTAGGCCAGTCGCTACAACACTGCCATTCACTGCTGGTCTAGGAACTGTTTTGGGGCATTGCCAAGATGGTTGCCATAGATTATTAATCTTGTGAGTACCATAACTAATTTTTTTTTTAACATAACAACACAAAGGTACACCCTCTTTTAGAAATGTGTTTCTGCCAGTCCTTATAACTAACGATAGCACTGTTATTTTATGAATTTTTTAGTGGTATGTGATCATAAAAATATGTAATGCTGAAAGAACAGAAAAATTAAAGATGAAAGGAAATGTCTAAAGATTCAGAAAAATAAATTATAATAAAATATACAGTAATAGAATTTAATATTAAGGTAAATTTAATAATATTCAAGATACAGTATATAAATAAAAAAATTATTTATCAAATATCTTAGAATTCTCTGGTACTGTACAATTTACCCGAGTCTTCAACCTATTCTTTCACTTAACAGTCATGTCTTTTATGGAATCGGCATATCCTTTAAAAAGTGGCATATTTAGTCAAAATTAAGGCACCCTAATACTAACATTTTTCTAAACATCGACCTCTATAAGTTAGGCGAGTAGCTCAAGGTCATACATTTCTGCTTGAACAAAGCAGTCATTTTTGGGGGGTTCCTGTTTAGGCAACACCACTGCAACTATTTTTTTTTTTTGTGGTAAATCAAGAGAATGAGCTGGGGAGTTATAGATTCTAGAGAAGCCTGTAAATTAATAACACTCAAACTACAGCATGCCATTACTTACAGCCTTGAGGTGAATTGTCAATAGGAATTAGCACTGGGTAAATAGAGAGAGAACATCCTGGAATTGCACAATAAAATCCCAAAAATATATACTGTATATTTATGAGACAATTTTGAAGCCATACGATGATATCAAGCTCCTGTCCAATCATACAGCTCCAATGTGTTCTCGTATCTTGCAACTTTTCTAAAATAAACCCCTTCCCCCAAAAACCACATCATCTCATTCTCCATGTACAGTACTACCTTCGTTAACTGAATGCTCCATGTCATCAGCATCGTATATACAGACTGAGGCATGTACAGTGACTTCTTCAGTCCCTCTCTCAGTTTCTTCGTCACTCTTGGCTGAATAAAGAGGGCAATGCTATGAGGTATTCCCTAAAGAAGGGGAAACCTAATAAAAATAATAAGGTAGCAATGAAAACAAAAGAATTCAAGTAAAGCTTTGAGTTCCTACAAAATGCTATTTTTCTGAGTGGAATTATCCAGGTGTTACCTACGGTAAGATCCCATGTTCTCGGACAGGACCAAAGAGAGTCGGGCAGGAAGGAAAGTAAATGCTGACAAAGTTATACAGTTTCTTAGGTAAAGATAGGTCAAACATAATATTAATGTTAACCACATTATTGTACACCCCCCATTTTTCATTCCCAAACCTGGGTAGCCTTGGCACACAATCCTCTAGTTGTCATCACCCTTAAATCTATTATAACAAGTGTATTGTACAGGAACAGTATTTCTATCGAGACAATCATTTAAGTGTTTTATTTCAACCACTGTGTGTGGTGGAACCAGGAAATGATACAAGCAACCATAAATCTGCTACCTCAGTATTTAATATACCACCACAAATCACCACAAACACCAAGTCAGGTACAATCCCCTACCACTCATTAAAAATATACTGTACTAGAAGTAGAAGTAGTAGGCATCAATCAGTCTCAGGAGACTATGGAGTGGTAGGGGATTGTACCTGACTTGGTATTTGTGATTGGTATTATTTAACTGTTGCTTAATTAGTTCTGTATTAATAGTATTTAAATACTGAACTAATTAAGCAACAGTTAAATAATTAAAATACAGATAAAATAAGTGTTTTCGAAGTGCCACAATATCAGCACAATATTAAGATTCTAAGAAATATGTAGGCCTACTTTTGAAGAAATGTGCATTAAATTTGGCCCCAGAATGTTATGAAGCTAAGCAAAATAGCTTACTCAGGCTACCATAGAACATATATACAGTGTACTAAATTTTACATAATCTGAATTAAGCATTATTTACTGACAGTACTGGCCAAAAATAATGATATACTGTAATTAAAAAAAATTGAAGCTCAAACTATCACAAGGAATATGAAACTAGAAGTAAATCAATAATGCACATTACACCACCTGTAGCCTTGAGGTACTCTAAACCAACTGTACGACTCATTACACCACCTGTAGCCTTGAGGTGCTCTAAACCAATGCTGTACCACACATTACACCACCTGTAGCCTTGAGGTGCTCTAAACCAATGCTGTACCACACATTACACCACCTGTAGCCTTGAGGTGCTCTAAACCAATACTGTACCACACATTACACCACCTGTAGCCTTGAGGTGCTCTAAACCAATGCTGTACCACACATTACACCACCTGTAGCCTTGAGGTGCTCTAAACCAATGCTGTACCACACATTACACCACCTGTAGCCTTGAGGTGCTCTAAACCAATGCTGTACCACACATTACACCACCTGTAGCCTTGAGGTGCTCTAAACCAATGCTGTACCACACATTACACCACCTGTAGCCTTGAGGTGCTCTAAACCAATGCTGTACCACTTATTACACCACATCACGGCTAGATGTACTCTAAATGCTAAATTAATATTGTGTATTTTTAATAACCTCCCCTACAGGCTGCCAAGCTCCTCGATCGTAAGGTTCTTTGCACCTGGAGCACTGAACTAAGAATAAAAACATCAATAATGAAAGAATTCCCACCTGGTTCTGGGTTAGCCACATGGATGGGAGCAGGTTGAGTGCAGAGAACACTGTCCAACCTCAGCAGAAGAGCCAGAGAACACAGCTGCTGTAGGTACCGACTGTGTACTAGTTGTTCCCCGCTGCTCACTGTCAATATATTGTGCGCCCTTTACATAATGCCAAGATTTTACATTTCACATACCTTTACAAATAGTAGTAATGTGTGCACTGCTTAAAGAAAATTGACAACATTTTGGCCCATCCTGGATCCTTATAAAGTTGTGACAAATTACCGGTATGTCATTATGACAGTACAAAAGAATTCAGTTTATTACAATATAAACCTCCACTTTGTATTAAATAATGACCTTTAACTATAATTCTGATATTCCCTTAAAATTAAATGACTTCTTCCATAGGCAGCACTTCAAACTGTTTGCAATTTCTTTGTGCTTTGTGAATTTGTATAGACAACTCTAAACTGTAGATCTTACCCATCGGTTTCTCATGATGATACTGTGAGAGGAGAAGTGATGGCAGGTGGCACAGCAGAGCTCGGAGACAAGGTGCCTGGTGTAACCCAGACATGCCCCAAGCATGTAACCTTGTACGGCACAGTGCAACCACCCGCAATTTGTAAAACTGGTCTTCCGTCAAGGAAATAAACATCACGTTCTGAAGCACGATACATGAACGTTAACAGGATATTACTTATAGAATTTATTAAAAAAATACAAAGCATTCCATACAAGTGAATTAACTGAATATCATTTTAATTTCCTTAAACATCACTCTTAGTTCTTCATTCCACATTTCTCTCTGAGGTACAAAACCACATGACTGATTAACTCTCACCTGTGAGTGAGTCAGACTAACAGCGAGGCCTGTTATACCAGCCCATGCAAGATCAGAGATGCCTCCAGTGCCTACTACTGTCTGTAGTAGTGACCCATCCTGAAGCGACCAGACATTCACTAGCCCATTTGTGCTCTTCATACAACCTACAGACCATATAATGACATTAATATATGTAATATAAAAATATATAAATATAAATTAATACAATATAAATATAATAAAAACTGTACAAGAAAAATAATTAGAATTCACAAGATAATCTCATAACTAAATAATACAAGACAATCAAAATTCACAAAAAATCTTGTCTCCAGGATGCACTAAGCAATTAATCTCAATCTCATACCCGTGTTAATACTGTATTTAACATACCGTAAAAATTGTATCTTCCAAGTGCTCCACTAACCTGTAGCCAGCATGAGCCCAGAGAGTGATATATCTAGTGAGGTAACAGGACCCTGATGACCACGAAGCTGTAGCAAGCAGCGTGGGCTGTGTGACAGAGTCGGTGAGCAAATTTCAGGTTGTTCGCTGTTGCAGAAAGAAATGTGTGTTGGAATGCATCCAATTTTTTCCATTATTGTAGATCCTAAACAAAAATCTACATCGTGACGATGTATGCCAGATGTCATGGGACCACATACCTCACATAAACCTTGGAGTAAAAAGTATTCCAAAGAAAAATATTTCATCTTACCTTCCCTCATACTCTGAAGAATCTGATGCAGGAGTCTGAGGAACAACCCAGACAGTCACCAGCCCATCTTCATGACCAATCACCAACATGTGCGCACACACGCCTTCACTCACACCGCCTGAAAATATAAATTCTTACAAATACTATACCAAATTTAAATATTTTCTTGTAAGACGCACATTGCAATAATGTCAGTTTTGGTTGGAATATTCGGAAAATTTAAACTAAACAAAATTAACAAGAAATAATCTTTATTCTACAGTAACATTTTCAGCCAGCTATCTTTGTTTACACAAAAAGACAAATTACTATTTACTAAGCTAAACTAGGGAGTAGGTATAACAATTATCATCAAAATCTTCATAGGTATAGAAATTCAAGGATTATGCAGTAGTTCATAATCAATACCATGAATCAGTTCTTGAATTCCCATAATCGGAGACATGAAGCCTGTACTAAGGCTTATGGAAGCCCCCCCCCCTCCCCACATAAGGCCATCTACTGACCTTTCATCACCTTCAGGCCAACTACTGACCTTTCATAGGATGCAACCCCCTCACCATTTGCCTACCTCCCAGGTACCTATTCTAACTCCCAGCTAGAAAAATAGAGGTATCTGGTGAGAGGAAATGGGCCCACCTGTTTCTGCCACTCAGAGATTGAACCCAGGTCCCTCGGTTGTGAGGTTGTGAGTCGAGGATATAGACCATTGAGCTAAAGGACCCATTAATACTAGACTATGTATTGTAAATGGTTTGTAAAGTAGAGAAAAATACAAGGTATAAGGGAAAACTAATCTTGTTATTCTTACACACTGAAATCAAAAGACATGATGAATCTATGAATTAATATCGAGGACATACAGTGGAATTGAACCTGCATCCCTGAACTCCAACCAGTAGCGTGTATGCCTGAGGCGTTGAGGGACATTGGTTTGCTTTCACTGTACAGTCTCAATAATTATTCACTGGTATCCTTACTTATAATTGGAGACCATTTAACTGACGATGGCAGAGACTTGTAATCTAAGGAGTACACTGGTGTCCATCCATTTGCGGTCTGTGCCCAAACTTTTGTTCCGCCCTCACCACAAGATGCCAGCAGGCAGCAGTTGCTGCTCCACTCCAGACAATGAACAGGACCCTGTGGAAAAAATGACCATCAGAAGCAGGCCACATAGCTATGAGTGATGACTCAGCCCAGGTAAGTCGCTCTGGTTTGTTTATACAGTCACAAACCCAAGATGATTAAAAGTACAAGACAAGATAATTCTCAAGTTTAGCAGCTTTGAGAAATATTACAAACTTGTATTATCATTATCTGCCATACTGTATAAGAAAAACCAGAGAGATCAGCTTTCTATTTCTTTGTGGAATGATTCTTATGTCTTAAGAATATAAAGCTTGATGGAAATGCAGCAGGATGCAGTCAGGAATTTTAAGTTTATGTAAGTAGTACTTTATGCATTACTGGTATACTATTTTAGTTTGTCATTAGAGACGCGTATGATCTTGTATCCACAGACAAGTAATAGTTGCCCAAGGACAATGATTATCATCATTCAGATTAATAATTAAAATTTACATTGGTTTGTGGATATTTGGTCTGTGACCTCTTAAGCAGTGAGCATCTCAATCTAGGTCACATTATCCTAAATGGAGATACCAGTATTAGAATTTGTCATTTAGACTATAAGCAGTTAGATTAAGCAAACTTGCAAATCTTTTAATACCAATGAAAACTGTGCAAACAAGACTGTTTGCCAGTCAGTAGAAGTATTATGAATGCTGGTTTTTCAGTATAAATCGGCAAATCCCAGGGAGTAAAAATATGTTCAGGTACGTAATGCAAAATCAACATAGGATTTATATTATCACTGTTGATTAAAGGTTACATCAAAATTTACCCAGATTTCCCCAGTGGTCATGGATAAAAAGAAAAATATTACTAAAAGCATCTTTTAAAATGTCTAACTTATCTAAAGGGGGGGTACAACAAACTTTTATATAAATGAATTAACTAAATGATCCAATAAGCCCATTTAATTGACTCAAAACTCAAATTCAGCTGTGCTGAGATCAAAACACTGGAATGTAAAGTCTTACCTGTTGTGCTCTGAGGGTGACACTGTCCAGGTCAGTGTTGACGTAACAAACACGAACAATTCCATCACTGAAGCCCACAGCTAGTTCCTTGTCTTGGTCTTTCCAGGCTAAGCAACTCACATACACTGCATAGAGATCAAATATTCATTACCTTCATCAGCAGTAATAAATAAAATACTGTATAACATATGCCTACTTAACCAAGATATTTTCTGAAAAAACACACACACAATCATACATACATATATACACAGTATATGTGGTTGGTTATTAACCAAATACATGTTGACCAGACCACACACTAGAAGTTAAAGGGATGACGACGTTTCGGTCCATCCTGGACCATTCTCAAGTCGATTGTCAACCAAATACACATTAACCAAATATATTCTCTGCAGAAGTGGTGCACCAAAGAGTGAAGATACATACCATCTTGTCTGCCAGCATGCATGATGGTGGAGGGCACAATACCAGTGGCGGTAAAGGCTGCCAGTGTCACTGAACCATCGCGGTGACCAACAATTACACAGTCACACACACCCTGGGCTGCAGCCTCCAGGCAAGTTATTTTACTGTTGCTAGACCATGTTCCAATATTTCCACCTGTCACAAATATTTATTTATATAAATCACTGAAAAAATATCACTTATAAATCAACATCTAGATTATACAGTATATAACTATATTTTTCACAAGGTTATGCTGCATTTTTATTTTCTGTTGAGTGAATGTAATGAAATCTTGTGTAGACATATAAACATAAAAAATATGGGATAAGGTTTTTGAATTAGAATATTTTTAAAACTATATGCCACATGTCAATACAAACTTAAAATTAAGTTTGCATGAAAAATGCAAGTGAGCCAACTCACTCAAACAACTCACTGTAAGGTAAGAATTTATTGTCAGTCAGTCATCACAGGGAACATTTCAAATGTCTTAATAAGGTCATACTAGTACTTTAAAGAACACACAATTAATTCTCAAAAGAAGGCAGTAAATCTGTATGTATGTAGTTGTTGATGGTGTCAGTAGTTCAAACATCATCCTATCTGATAGCAAATTCTTCTTCATGACAGCAGTAACTTACTTCATGAAAAACACTTTTTAACCATAAGTTATAAAATACACAAAATGTTAAAGTTAAAAACAAATATTTAGAAACCTTGACCAGTAGTCATCAAGCATTTACACGTCCATTTACACAATATGTACGTCTTTCCTCAATCATGGCAACTTGGTCTGTTTTATTGAATAGTTTACAAGCTTCAGAAATCCACAATCCAAGGTTATTGTTGTTATAGACATCCTCGTGATGGTTCGGAGATCAAACTTTAAAATAGATGAAAATTAATTAAGCCACCATGATTGGGGAAATATGTACAGGTTTTGTAAGTGGACACACAAATGCTTGATGACTCCTGGCCCAGAAGTGAACAAATTGCCTTACCGCTCAGAGCCCAAATATTAAGAACATGTTCAAAGGTGGCCGCAACACATCGTTCTGAAGGAAGGACAACCAAGTGTTCCACAGCAGCAAGATTTACAGGGTAGCTGCTGCTGCTGCTGTTTTCACTACACTGAAACACCAACGTATGTTCTTGAGGGCCAATACTTCGCTGCCCAACTTTCCAGGTCCGTACTGAACTATCGTGCCCGCTGTTAAAATTAATTTAGATCCTATTAATGTGGCATACAAGCATTCTTTTGTACTGGTATGCAATATACCCTAGTAGTTTTCTACATATGCATTTTGCAAGGTTGCAAGAATCATTTTAACACATTTTTTTTGAGCTTTAAAAAAAATCAACTTTAACAACTTAGAATAATTTGTAAAAATTATTTTACATCTACATATGGCTTTCATTTGAATAATGTTTAATTAAAATTTGAATGAAAAGCATTAATGCAAATGTACCTTGTTACTAATAAATTCCTTGCTTGAAGCCACAGAACATTTGAGGTGGGAGATGTATGGCCCTCTAAGAATGTGGTCTGCACATGAGGCAGAGCTCCGGTGAAGTCTGAACTTGAGAGAACATCAGAGCCAGGTAGTTCGTTGTGATTCTCAATTAGCCGTGCACGACCACCAATACATTCAACCTAAATTATGAAAATATTATACATTAAGCATAAATCTAAAAATGTTTTCTTATACCAAATTCTTTGGAATATAAGATGCAACAGTCTTTAAAATTTTGTGGATTTTTTAGTATGTTTCATCAATTTACTGAAAGTGATTTTTTAGTAGTTTTTAGGGGAAAACCATGTGATTTTATGCGTGTAAATACAATGCAGTATATGTATTAGGTTGGTGACTAAAAAGTGTGACCTATCATATACGGTAAATAGTAGACATGTACTAATACTGATCCAGTAAATAAACAATCAAATGACACATTATAAGGCAGACGAGACACCGCGAGCATAGCTCTCGTTCTGTAACTACACTTAATAACAAAATCCAAATTGGCTTAGGAAGTTGTGAACTATCATTCTACATCAATTAACAAACATATGCCAATATTACTACTGTTAAAATTATACCGACAAACCCACCAATTGCGTTGCAGACCACTGGCGGTGTGAGTGTGGAAGGTGGGTCGACAAAATACATGCAGCGAGAGCATTTGCTAGCTGTATGCCGGGATCACCTTGGCCTCCACCAACTCCCCGAGGAGACATTGTGCCTTCACCTGTGGTAAAAAAAAATTAACTATATATGAAAATTTGAGCAATGAATGATCACATTAATAGATATTAACATTAATAAATAATACAATTCCTCAATTTGTGTTTTTATTGTGTCTGTCTGTGTCAGAATCTATCAATGTCTGCTTGTCTTACCTGTCAGGGTCGAAGTTATGGATAACAATGTTGAACATCCAAATATGAATTGAAAGCTGAAATACATTTAATGTATTCAATGAAATAGAAATAGATACCTCCTGCATATGTATATCCATTTATGGTTATAAAGTTCCTGATTAGTATGAAGGTATGACTTTTAAATCTAGAAGATAGTAGGATTCAGACCAAGATCTAAACTGCAACTAGTCCCACATAGTACTAAGTATAACAAAATTAGGCCGAAGTTCTCCAGTCCCACTTTGTAATTTCTGTGCACATTTGATTAATTTTTGTTATTTCAATACTTCCATATTATTCAATTAAGTATTTTGAAATTTACTTCATTAATTTAACATTTTAACAATAACTTTCATAATGCTCTGAATTTTCAGATTTAAGTTTTCATACAGTTACCATACAGTACTGTATGTTAAGAAAAAAGGTGATTTATTTATAAAGTATGTTTAACACTAACCAAGAACTATACAAGATATGCCAATTTATTTATAACAATAACTATTGTGATGAAGTCAGAGTAAATGATACCATTTTAGGCAAAGCCCCTGCAGAGCCAGTAATCTAATGACAGTAATATTGTATCACTCCAGATTACTTCCTTATTCACCTTACAGGATATGCATCCAAAGTGGGCTCCTGCAACAGTTAACAGAACGTGGGACTTCGGCACCTGAAGACCTCAGTTCAAACCCTACTATAGTCTAGCTTTCTATACATACATATACAGTATACAGTACAGAAAACAAGACACACTGTGAGGCAGACTTCATACACAGTTTCAAATGTAGATTTGAGAGAGCCCAGTAGGCTCAAGAATCTGTACACCAGTTGGTTGACAGTTGAGGCAGGACCAAAGAGCCAAAGCTCAACCCCTGCAAGCACAACTAGGCGAGTACACACAGACACATTCTTGCTTTCATGGTCATCTGAGCAGCTTTACTTTATATTTAGATTAATGAACAGTAATTATGATGCAATAAAGAAAAGCACCTTTAAACTCTATATTGAACAGATGGTTTGCATAAGATTCTGTGCATTTTCCTACAAATGTGCTGAACCTTGAGCCAGATATTTCAAATCAAATTGACTAAACCGTGCACAGAGATGATGCATGGATAGTGAAGACAGCAACAGCCACTGTGGAGGGGTGAATAAAGCTGTATGGTGCATAATCCTACTACAGTACTACATTTGTACATGGCTAGTGTAGGGTGCAATACTCAGAGAATAAAACAATAAACAGAATATTTTGTTTTAAAATACTAATAATCAGAATGAAGACAATAGAGTGGTAACTATTTTAATCAGAAGAAATGATAATAATCATAACAAATATTATACAAATTCATTACATTAAGGCTCTGAATTTAGAAAATGAGGACAGGACCTGTGGGAAGATTATCCAGTGTTAATTATATTTTTTGATAGGTCCAACAATGTACAAAACAACATCCTTTGAAAAATAAAATGAATGCCACTTCATACGATATATATGCCCCCTTTTACTTTGAAAGTGTAATTAGTGCATAAGTAAAAAACGGAAAAAAAGAAAAAAGAAAAGAGGTTTCTACACCTAGTTGCTTTTGAAAAGGACTCATCAGAAAAAAGAAAGTCTGAAATTTAATTAATAAGACAATAAATTTGTCAAGCAAATCTCAAGACAAATGTACCAAGTGTTGATAGGTGGACGAGAGATGATGGTTGGTGTATGATGGAGGACAGATGCAGGTTCTTGACCAATCCTGAAATGCAGCCACAGAAAAAAAAATTCAAAATCCTACTCCTAGAAAATAATAATCACATTTTCTCAGTTAAAATACATAGTGCAATATTGCAGATCTGGCAATATCAAGTGCCAAAATTCATTGTAATAGAGGAGCAGATGCATTCCTGCCTCAGAACATTCATATCCATCAAGCACTATCAACTCTTCATTTATGATACTCATTTCATTTACAAATGAGGCTTGAATGGAAAGTTTAGATACTAATTACCTGAACACATTTAGTATTTTGGGATTCCACTAGTCAAAGGAAATCAAACTCTTTCCGGCGATGAATAGTAAGGACATGAGTATAGCCACTCCCACAGCAAGTGGTACTTGGCCAACCCCACTGCACGTGGCACTCTGCCACTTCTCCGGTGTGCGTGGGGCTTGGTCACTCCCATGGCATGTGGCATTCAGACTTCTCAATTAGGGCTCAGAACATTAGAAATCAGTGTTAAAAAATCAAACGGAAGACACCCAGGAGCAGTATTGTCCATGAACCAAACTAGAGAAATGCTGGAGAAAGAAGGGGTGAGTGTTGGGCAAAATATTGCATATTGGACTCCACCTCAAGCCACCAAGGAGTGGTTAGCACATTCTCATACTGCTAAACTACAGCAAAGAGTGCCAGGCAGGAAACTATCCATTGTAACCAATAACAAGTCACCACACTCTTACATCAGCAATGACAGGTAAGTGAGAGGCTTGGAGAAGAAGGTAAAAATGATTAGCTCATGGTACTCAAACCCGGTCTAACCCGGAGACAAGGAATGACAAAGGAAGCCTGTTACAAAAACAAAACACGAAGCTGTGTGTATCAGGAATAGACTGCAAAGACCAACACTTAGTACTGAAGAAAGTACCAGGGAACTGTAAATATTGAGGAATCCTTATGAGGAAGAGCCTGCTACTGAAAAAACAAACACCAGTTGGTTAAGTCACACAAGAATTATCAAATATTGTATACAGTACATACGACCCTGTCTAATAAATGCACTGTCTCAACAACACAGTATGAACACAGCACACAGTGAAACCAAAGTTTCTATTGATAAAAACAAGGCATACAACGAAACCCGACATCATGCCTGAGCAACCTCACTGGGATAAATTAGGACGAATGTCATGAAACTTGAGACAAGAGACTGGGGGTTGGCATCTGGTGACTGTCAGGAACAACAGCCAGGTGAGTAAACGAGGTATTTGTAAGAGTACTACTAGGTGTTCCTGTTGATGCCAAGCACGCATGGAAAGACTTTAACCCTTAAATGGCTCCAATCACTATCTGCAATTCCCTCCTGTGTTTGATTAGCCAAATGTGATTTTTTTACAGTATTTGTGTAAATTTAATTTGTTCATGCACCCCACGATGTAGGACATATTAGCCGAGGCACTTAAGGGTTAAGTGTTCAAGAGTGAACCTTGCGTAGTCACCCTGGGGCCAGACTTGGCTCTTCTGGGAGGGCCCCTTGGTAGCTCCACCAGAAACAGGCATTTCATTACATTCAACGATAGATTTCTCCAGAACCTCCTTACCACCAACTTAATTCTAGTTGTATCAGTGCCATGCCACTTTATGTTATAATCCTTACCAATGAGAACATCAACAATCTTGTTATAGGCAGGATCCTTGTGAGTTAGACCAACAAAAATTTTTATTTATTTATTTTGAATATTTCTTTATATGTACTTTAATATGAAGTGTGGAAGGTTATTTTTATATATACAGTATATAACAATTAACTTATAAAAATTACAGCCAGAAACAATGCCTGTTTTTTTTTTAATATATATTACAGAGGCAAATTGGTAATTAATTTGCAAGGATCCAGTGTTAAATACTTATAGTAGAATCAGTACTATTATAAAAATACCTGTGTTATTAATAGGATCCAAAACCTGCACTGGAATTAAAATTGTCACACATTTTGTGCACAACATTTTTATCTCCTATTTTTATTAGGTTAGAATGATGTATAAATTTAACCTAGGTTAATAACCAAAATTACCATATCCAAAACACAGCACAGGTACTAATACCTTTACCAGCCAAGTGGATGAGGGAGGAATTTGCAGCCAGCAGAGACACGAGAGCTTGGGTGACAGGAAAACTGGTCTGATGTGCACTAGAGCTGCTCTGTGAATCCCGACGGTCCCCTCCAACACCGAGGTCAACAACTTCTTCTTCCGCTGATCCTCCAACTATATCCCCACTGGACATTCCCATTGCCGCCACCATTAGATGCTGTGAACAATAATTATACATAATTACATGGACTAAATATCTCCTCTATTTAACATGTACACTCCTCCAATCGCTACCTATGATTACTTCCTGTTCCCCAATCACTACATGCTGGATTTTTCCATTGATTTGTGAATTATCATTAATCATGCGTACCTCGGTGCAGGACTTTTAAATAGCTGCACAATTTAAGGGTTAAGCTATACCATACATCAGTACAGTATAACCTATGAACTTTATTTACAGAAATTTAATGCCCACAATTATTTGAAACATACTCTATACATTTGCTTTTACACATCCATATTTATTTATTCACTTGGATTACTTTAAAACAGTCTAAATCCAACAGTCTACAGACACCGTAGATTTGATTTAGCTGCAGGTTTGATTTAGCCTGACTCTGCTTGGTCCTCTTCAAGGACACGGTGAACCTCACTTTACCGAGTATGCATGACAATAAAGAGCTTTACGAATTCTATATATAAACAAATATGGTGCTTCAGAGATGTTACTCCTCACACTACAGCACCTATGTAATACAATGTCTGAATTGTTTAGGTTTAACAACAGTATATAGTAGTCTTCCTAATTATGAGATTCCCTAATCCTTTGTAATCTACATGAAAGAAAATATAGGGTTCATGCAACATCATTTTTGCAGTCTGCTCTTTCATTAAATTTTTTTTAACCATTGTGCATTCTTAAATGAATGGTGTGAAGTTAAATACAAACTGCAGGATACTTTGAAAAATAGCCAAAAATACAAATTTTGAAGCAAATTAGCATACCTGAGTACAAAGCTGCAGCAATAACTTGGCAGCATCAGTATCATTTTGAGCAAGTGCTCCAATAGCATCACTAAGGTGAGCTAGGCTCGTACTAACATCTGCTGCTTGTAGTACTGCACCGCACGTTTTGGCACACCCATCCAGTGGAACACGCCCTGTTATCATATAATGTTTATAAGTACACAGTCAAACCATTAATTTAGTACGCACATCAAATCACAAGAACATGATAAATCTATGAATAAATATTGAGCCCATACGATGGTATCAAACCCACGTGTGTACCCGAGGAGTTCAGGGTTGCTGGTTTGATATTTATTCAGAATTAAATGTGTCGTTTCTATTATAACTACTACATAGATCAATATTATGCATGAGCAAATCACAAAAGCATGAGATATCAGAGAAAATACTGAGGTTGTAGGATGGGATTGAACCCGCATGTGCCTAGGAAATCTAGGGACCGGGGATCATCTCATTGTACGGCCTCAATATTTTATCAATATTATGTTAATGTAATAAAATCTAACTTTCATTAATTATATATAAGCAATAATTACTCAGAACACCTCACCTCACCTTGAGCAACCAACCACATTAAGCGAACAAGGAGACGAACATCACATAACCCCAGAGCTTCTAGCCCAGCCCACAAATCGCAGGATCCGCCACTTAAGGCAAGTAGGGAAAGGGCTCTCATCACAACTGCACGTGCCATTGTGACACGAAGTGCATGAGTGGTACGACGCAATGCTGAGATTCGAGCGATGGGGGAAGTTAACGAAGCCGCTTGTTCACCAAGGCTGCGCTCTGGAGAACTAGTAACACTGTTGTCCCGTGGACGAGCTCCAGCACCTGCAGCTGTAACAGGTAAGGCCACTGGCATTTGTTTGAATAGAACCAAATTCTCCTTATGTCATCAATGATATCAGTATTAGTTTCTATAAAGTCAATTTCATAAACACCATAATTTCAAGGTCTTGCAGAAAATAAGTTGCAATAATGTAGCTGAAACAAATAATCCAACACACACACACATAAAATTTAATGCAAGTGACAATGATTTGGTCCATCCCAGTTGTGACATCTCATGACTTAATGGAGGTTCCGGAACAGATGAAGATGACATCACTTTCATTTTATTCCGAGTTGTGGTTGCAATATTCAAGACCTTTTTACAAAAATGATTAGACATACCACTTGAAGACTCTGCAGCATCACAAACATTGGAGCCCAATGTTGTAGCCCCCAGTGGATCAGCACTTGGAAATGGCATTGGATCAGGTATAGGTCTTCTTTCAGTTAAGCCTAATCGAGAAGCTATTACATTATAGTTTGTCAGCTTCAAGTCTATTTCATTCATGCTTAGTCCATCATCTGAAATTATTATACAAGGTGAGAACAGTGACACAGAAGAAGAATATCAAGAACCAGGTGACAATTACAAGTTATATTAAATAACTTTTTGTCTTGTACCTTATAATTATAATAACTAAACCACAATTTATTAACATAGGTTAGTAGTAACTAAATCTAACTTAGTTTTAACTTTAATAAAAAAATAAAGCACGATTTACTTTGTTCGCTTTAGAGTTTAAGAGCCACCATACCTTCCATGGTGGCGAGGGGAGCAGGTGCCAGATCTGGAGCTAAAACTGTAGTCAAGTCCCGTAGGCGGTCCTGGCCCTCAACTGACTCTCCCTGAGGTAGCCCCATCCCACCACTGCTTCCCACATGCTGCTCTTGACATACCTCACACAAGATGTAAGTTCCCCCTGTGAATTCAAGTACAAGATGGAATGCAAAATCCATATGGAATGAGTTAACAAGTCTGAACATCTTTCAAAACCATCTTCACCTGGCTGTGCTTGATTGGAAGGTCTTTTAAAGCCTTTTAATGAAATTACTTTGGTGATGTACATGAGTATATATGTAGTGCTTCTACATGGTATTCCTAATTGCTGAATAGACTTAAGGTTCTTAAGATGGTTAAATAATTCCAGCTGTCAGGAACAGGTAACTTGAACTCAGGCTTATTCAGGTCCTCACAGGTCAACTACTATTTTACTGCTAGGTGAACAAAGGTATTACGCAAAAGGAAACATTTCATGTCCAACCATTTCTGTCCTACCTGGGATTAAACCACAATAAATGCCATGTTATGATGTGGAATAGGAGAAAACAGACTACACTCAACCTACAAATTATGTGAAAAATCCTTACAAAATTCAGATTAAGAAAAGATCTAGATATAAAACTCACCTGAGGATCACATAACGAACATTGTGCAAGGAACCTATGCTACGCTTTCCAATTTCAGAATTGCTTTTAAATACATGGATGGTGAAATACTAAAGAAATTGCTCATGACCTTTGTGAGACCAAAGCTGGAATATGTAGCAGATGTATGGTGCCCATGTCTTAAGAAGCACATCAACAAACTGGGAAAAGGTGCAGAGAAATGTAAGTAAATGGCTTTCGGAACAGAAAGACAATAACTACAAGGAGATATTAGAGGCATTAAATACGTATGCCAAAACTAGAAGATAGAAGAAAAAGTGGTGATAAGATCACTACGTACAAAATAGTAATGGGAACTGTAAAATTTGATAAGGAAGAATTCCTGAGACCTGGAACTTTAAGAACAAGAGGTCATAGATTTAAACTAATTAATTAAACAAAGCTGCCGAAGAAATATAAAAAAATTCACTTCCGCAAATAGTGATAGATGGTTGGAACAAGTTAAGTGAGAAGGTGGAGGCCAAAACCGTCATTAGTTTCAAAGCATTACATGACAGAATGCCGTGAAGACGGGACACCACGAGCGTAGCTCTCATCCTGTAACTACACTTAGGTAATTACAAGTATCATATAGAACAGTCATTTAAAATGTTAAACTTTCATTAGGTTTAATATGTATGCAACTATTATTATTTAACTCAAACCACATTAATGTGATTTCACAAAGAAATCATATTAATGTGATGTATCAATGAGAAAATTCGTAGAAGCCATAAGGAGGATTCAAACCTATGCTCTGAGTACTCCCAAGCACACGTCTGCATGGGGGCAATGCGTGAAAGCTCCAACTTGGCTTCAGTTGAACCCTCATGACTCCTAGAAGGGAAGGGAACTGTCAGGAGAAAGTGCCAAGGCATTATGATTATATAGCACTTAGAAGGGGTCAGGATAAGGATTTGGGATGGGACGGGGGAAAGGAATGGTGCCCATCCACTTGGACAGTCGGGGATGTAACGCTGACCTGCATGAAGCAAGACCATTGCTCTACCACTGGGCCCAAGTGGTTGGCAAAGCAAGAATCCTAGAGGATTCGGATGAATCCCAGGTTGTACTGCTTTTACCCCTGTCGTGGTGTAATGGTCTAAGGCATGTGCTTGGGAGTACCCACAGCCTCCTCTTCATGGCTTCTACTGATTTTCTCTTTGATACATCACGTTTAAGATATTTCTTTGTGCATTAATGTGATTACTAAGGTGTTAACTACCACTACATTAATGTGATTACTTTGAGGTAATATGAAGTAATAAATTACTAACCAATTAGCGTGCCACAGACACCAGACATCCATGGCCTGGCACAACCTGGGTGAGCCACACGCATGTGTTGACGCAGGTTAGTTGTCGGGTGGTGGCACACCTCGCACACACTCGACGGTCTCTCCACATCATTATTTGTGGCCGCCTGTAGAAAAGTACATAAACTACCCTTTAAATGATTAAATATCAATTTGAATTTACGTATAACTTGTCATAATATTCTTAATGCCTAAAGAACAAGTATTGAAGATTTCAAGAATAATTCTTCCAAATCATATTCCATATGATTTTAAGACTCTGAGCATTTAAGATGCTCTATATACAGCACCACATTAACCAAGTATGATCAACTTCAGCAGCCATCTGGAGCAGCATCCTACTTCTCTATAAGACCAGATGCACAGTGCTCATCATGACCCAACCTGTCCTATCACTCGTCACATTTTTAATGGATTCAATCAATTATCTGTTAAAAATGTGACACATTGGCAAAATGCAAGGCATCATAACATCGACGCTTTCTGTGCAAAGGCCTTGATTGGTTTGATGGGTTACTCGTGTTGGTACATTTGTAGTTAGGCAAACACAGTTGCACTATTAATGGAGTGTCAAATACAAAAAATGGGCTGTGTGACTGTCTCCTTTGGTTCCTTTTCCTACTGATGTTGGGTTCAGTTTCCATAGCTTTAACATCATACTCAGTTCTCTTATTTCTAAAATAAATTTTAAGGTAAATCTGAGTTTATTAATTTGATTAACCTCGATTTGCAGGTAGGGGTTCCATGTCCACTCTGTATTAACAATTATCAAAAGAACGCACCAAGCCTGAAAGACTACGGTACTTAGCATTGTTTGTGGCACAGAACAGTAAGCGTGTCCTAGATATCATGCAAGATGGCACCCATTCTGTATAGGGTATTCCAGTACTGGCCTCCTGCCCTCTCCCAAGTCTTTCACCTTGTCACACATTACTATTATTGTTCCCATACCCTACCATTTGTCAAGATTATTTGGCAGCGAGTCTGTCTTTACTGTTTACATTGACTTACACTTTCCTTCAAAATTGGCATACATGATTAATAGTATTATAAACAATATACATCCCATCAAAGTGGATATTGATTCTCAGATCCACCTCAAGGTAACATGCATTTTTGTATAATTAAAATATTATTATAACATAATCAATCTTTGTCCAGTTAAAACTCGCCTCAATCACACTCCTCCAATCTTGGTCTCGTGAGGCATTGAACGCAGTCCGGTGTATCACATCTAGTCCCAGGGAACTACACAGCCAATGTTCTAAATCACTCGGCAAGGTTCCTATGGAGTCATCAGAGCCCCGATGATGATCTTCAAAAACTGCGCGACTGTATCTGAAACGGCTATCACTTCGTGTGTGTTGGTACTGCCTGGAGCTCTCCGTATCTCGACTATCCAGTCCTCTTCCTAAGGATGTGACAAAATAAAACCATTATTAGAAATTCAGAGAGTAAGCCACAATAACATGGCTGAAAATTTATACTTAATCCACACATGTGAATAGAAGCAAAGTGATGACTTGATAAGGGTCCACAACATTTCAAAACGTCATCACTTTCCTTCTTTTGTAATATATAATCTAATTACTTTCCTTCTTTACTAATCATAAGAAATTAATTGTGACAGCACTATTGCTTTACTTTTACTGTATATAAAAAATTAACCTGTCAGTAAGAGATTATATTGTCTCTTGGAGAAGACATCTTGAAGGTACTTGAAGACTGCCGACTCCTTACCTTGAGCTGCAAAACATTGTTTCATAAGTTGGCAGCCTTCAAGTGCCTTCAAGACATCTTCCCTAAGCTGTCTGAGGCAACAGTCAAAGCAAAGTTTGAGGGGAATAATAGCCATTTTCAATACTTTTTAAACTATACTTTAGAAGTATAATGAATGAATTAAAGTATAAACAAGAACTTCAGTGTGTCTAGTTCTTTATTTAGTTCATTCTGGGAGTTTCCTTGTCTTGAGGGAGGGGCTTTGGTATACTGTAATTAAAAACTAGTAGATAGGAAAATTGGAAGAAACAAAAATAGATAAAACATAATTTGATGACACACTACTGAGAAATTTAATAATTTTTATGCAGCATTTGGTATAGACCTTGAATAAACATTACCTGAAGGTCGTGTGGGTACCATGAAAGATCGAATGTCAACATAACCCCCTCTGCGAAGCATTCCTGTATTGGTCCGCCTTCCACTTAGATCTTGAATATCAGTTCGATCTATCAACTGGAAGGTAAAACATGAATTAAAAGTAGTTCAAGAAATGCTACAAAAATGTATCTACTGTATAGACATAAATAATGATTAGAATCATTTTTCTTATCTTTTATGATGCAAAATTACTAATACAGTAATTAAATTGTCTTAATACAGTTTTATTTATTATTGATAATCTCAATTGTATTGTTAAATGTAGCTGTGTTCCAAGAAACACTGCATGCCTGAAACACACTGCTTAACACTTTCGCGCTCTCCGCGAAGGTCAGGGAAACAACCGTAAGTGCTCACGGCGTTTTGCCGCGTAAGCGTAAAAACAAAAATGTGTATACTCTTTTTACTCTCATGACCTTAGTTCTCGAGCTACGTATTTCATTTTGGTACCAACGTGTTCGCAATAAAATTCTAAGTAAAAAAAGTCACGAAACATATAGGGATACCAGCACCAAATAAATAACTACGAAGATGACTCGCCGTGAGCGCCCAACAGCAACAAAATGTTTTTACTCTTGGGATTGTTATCACCTCCACACTTGTCCTACAGCGTTAATTTTGGTATCAATGGACTCGCAATGAAATTCCCAACACGGTGATATGAATATAAGCGTAGAATAATGATTGCGGACCGCCCGCAAGAGTGTGGGAAGTGGTGAAATTGTTACCCGGTGTCGGTGACAGGACGACGCACGGTGCTTTGAAAGTTTATACTTATTTCATTCTCATGACATTATTATTCTATGTACGTCATTCATTTTTGTGTCAATGTGTTCGCAATAGAATGTTCTATGAGCCCGTAGGTAAAAAAGATCAACAAAGCGTAAGATAGAATAGCGCCAAATAAAACAACGCTGGAAGATATCAGTGAGAATCAAACACACACGAAATGTTTTTACTTTTGTTATGTTTGTGAACCTTTCATGAACTTATTGTACCATGCAGCCTATTGGTGAGAAAGAGAGCCTCATGGCGCGCAGTTTGAAACAAACCCAAAGTAAATCGGATAAAAATTGAATTTTATACAAATATTTTAAAAGAGGACATAAGTTTATGTCCACTATGCGGGAGTGGGTAGGCGAAACAGGACTCCGGGGCGAGTCCTCATCCCGCGAAAGTGTTAATTGGAGATTTTACATAACATACAATTCCTGGCCCTACTAATTAACTACTATAACTTGTTTCTATGTATATTTTATAAAAATTATTATTATCACTTAAGAACTGAGAATCTGAGAATGAGAAACTGAGATTCTTTGAGAATCTTATGGAAAAAAAACAGGATACATTTCAACTCTTTTTTTATTTTTTTTTATAATAAAATTCTTGGAGTGCTACTTCTCCATCTTACAAATTAGCCTTTTATGGAAGACAGTATCAACAACTTGTTGGCAGTCCAGGAAAATGCACTCCACCCAGCTATTTCTTTGTCTAATCTCAGTGACAGTTGCAGAATTCTTAAGTGCTGATCACTGGCATTTTCACTTTTTCCCCGGAGACTCAACATTTCACGCTTTGCTCTCTATCCTTATTTCTATTCCCAGTCACTTGAGATATCACTTTAGCCTGATTATCCTATCTTATAATTGGATTGATTCCACAATTGATTCCTCCTCCTTCATATATTTATTAATCTTAATCTTGACATTTTCCATTACTGTTATATTCATCTGTCATATGACCTATTTCAACCAATCTTGCTTTTTCCTCTCACTTCCCCCTAATTTCAAAGTGATTTTTGATCTCCACCCCTTTGTGTATGTTACCATACATGTGTGTTTAATTTGTTGAACGAGGTCACCCAAGCTCAAGCCCCACACACACACTACAGTATCTCGCTTACCTCGGTCAGCACAGTTCCAAAAGTGCTGGGAGGCTTGTGTGGTCTTTGTTGAAGTGCATCAACAGCTAGGTAGGGACCTTCCCTATATACCCCAGCTACCCTCCTCTCCACATCCAGTGGAATTACACATTATTTCCCAGTTTTATTTACACATTCAAATTGTATAGAAAACCATAAAGCAAATATATGCTCATTCATTTGTGTAAATAAAATCAAAATACAAAAATAATAAATATGAATTATTCAGATATAACATAGAATCCAATGTCAATTGATACAGATATACAGATGTCAATTGTGTGTGTATAAATTAGTCAACCTATCCTCCTGAAATGATAGTATGTATAGTATTTATTAACCATTTGGTTGAACATACAAAAATGAACTATTGCAACCAACAATGTTCACATTTTGCACTACTGTATTTATTTTGTAGAGGCATGGAAAAAAATAAGCCAAACACCAAACTTAAACACTTCTAGGCCTAATATAGCACATATATGTACTATAATAGGCCTAAGATAGTATATATTAGATCTAAGTTTGCTTGGACAGATAAGGCTCTTTCATTACTTTCCCATTTTCTTAGTCTGCCATTTGGGTTAATTCAATATTACAAAATGTGTACTTTCTCGAGTCCAACAGTCCATTGTTGTAATTTGTAAAACATTCATAATTAAATTTATTCTGTACTATTTACATGGATCATGAAATTGCAAGCGCAACCTCGTGAATAAAAAATTTAGTCTTTTACGTATTTAGTTCAATACATTAATATCAATGTACAAACATTCAACGACTTGCATATTACCTGTGCAGCCACTGCAGCTGCTCCTGAAGCAGCAGAAACAGATGACGATGTGTCCTCATGAGAGCGTCTCCTCTCGGTAGTCTCACTGGCATCAATACAAGGGTGCTCTAACATCCACGTTACCAACTGGTTGATCTGTGTTGCCGAGGGTTCACCTTTATGACCTGATAACAAAAATAGGTTTAATAAACTATATAAATGATAATTTGTGACTCCTTTTGCATATAACAAAACTATTAAACAACAGTTTCAACTTCTTTGAATGATCTTAATCAAATAATGCTAGGACAAAAAATATACTGGCAAATCAATTTTAACTCAATATGATAGAGTAGTAAGCCACTATGACTACACAACACCTATATGAGAATATATATGAGAATATATATATATGAGGTATATATATGAGGTATATATATGAGGAATATATGAGGAATATATATGAGGTATATATGAGAATAAGGATCAAAGATATAAAGGCAAGGAGCTGAAATATGTGGACAAGGAGCTGAGATATGTGGACAAGGAGCTGGGATACGAGAACAAGGAGCTGGGATACAAGGATAAGTAGCTGGAATATGAGAACAAGGAGCCAAGATAACAACAAGGAGCCAGGATACGAGGATGGGGTGAAGAAACAGTACCCAACTCATAATATAATCCAGTCAATATTTACCTTGAGCAGAGATTGCCTTCTGGATATGTTTGAGAGTAAATCCCATTTCCAGTAAAGGTGTGGCTATAGGTGGTGGCAGGGGTGGCAGAGGAGTTAGAGGCGGCGATGGTGAATGGCTTCTAGCCATGGGAGGCAAGGGGGCACTCTGTGGGGTTAATGGCCCAACTGAACGCCCTCGAGGTGGATTGTGGTTCGCCCGAGATGACTGAGATGTGTGGGAATAATGGGAAGAATGCATCTCGCTTCCTGGATAAGTAGCAGGAGCACAAGGGACAGTGATAGGAAGGCCAAGAGATGGAATGGGACGCTTCGGGATTCTAACATCTGCAGCAGCAGATGGTAAGTCAGATATGTTTTGCTGTCGATCTGTTGCTTCAATCTGAAAGTCAATAAACATATTTTTTGTTTACTTTTTCGTTCAAAATCCTTTAACAAGAAACTAAAAGCAGGCAGTATACCCTCCTAATAACATTTAATGTAACTACCAATAATAACTGAAAATAACTGAATAATTTTGAGAATATTATTCCAGGAATAACTGAGAAATTTGAGAAGTATAGTTTTGAGAGCATCTCCAGTTAAAAATTCATTCGTACAAAGCCACTAACCCAGTCAGAGATCCTTATCTCCCTGGCATGGAGAGTGCCATGAACTGATAGTGCCTGTCAGCCTGACACGACTAACCTGCTCAGAGATCCTCTCCTCGCTGGCGGTGAGTGCCGAGATTCGAGACTGCGTGTCGGCCACACTCAAGCTATCTTCCGCCCAAGCCCTCATACACATGCTGTGAAGCACCAGGTGTGACCGCTCCACCTCTGCAACGCTCACTTGCCTACAACAAGGTCCAAACATAATTTTTATAATTTAAATAATTTCTTACAAATTAGACACTTTCCATTAGTTGACTATTATACCAGATGAACAAATACCATTTCATTCAGGCTTAAAAGCTATACTCAACAAAATACAAAGCACAAACAAATCTGAATGAAAGACGTTCTGGATAAACTACAGAGTATCCAGTCAAATCTGAAATTCTAAAGCTTTTCTACAAAAGAATGAGTAAGATAATATTTTTATAATCTCATAGTTAAGACCTGCTAATTTAAGAGAAAACTTATTTATAATTGTATGAGTTACTTTTGATCTAATAAAAAAATTAAAATGAGACGAGATGCAGCATTATCCTATAAAGAGTATTGTCCTGAACTATTCAAAATTAAGTATTAAGGAATACTTCAGTTAATCTGTCAAAATGCAAACTGTAAATGGCTTACCTGTAAACTATTCCGTGCTAGATCTAGTCACATGCATTATTTATTTCCCTATTCTGTCTTCCTCCATATGTTTTCTATTTAAATTTGACTTCTTTGCATTCAGTGTTAACTATCATATTTGAAATAACTGTCCATTTCTGCTGAGGAATACAAAAGGAGCTCAATTCAATCAAAGTAAAAATGAAAATAAATTATTCAGCAAATATTTGTCTTCACACATTTTTCTTTACTCCTCACCTCTAAGATCTAATGCCAAGTACAGACCGGGACTATAAACGTAACTTACTTCTTTAATGGCTGGGGTTGGGAACAAGCCAAGACCACTGACATAACTCACCTCTTCAAAGGTTGGGGCTGTGTACAAGCTGAGACCATACACCTAACCAGCACTCTAATAGATGAACGTATCTCATCTTCTTCATGCAGCAGTGACACCGAGCTTCCCTTTTCACCTCCATCCTGTCAACCAATTAACCAATTACATACACACACAAAAAAACTGTAGAAAAGCTACAATAAAAACACTGTGGCCAGTTAAGATATGTATAAAAATGGCCTCCCATCAGCAGGGACAAGAAACCAGTAAGGCCTACTGTATTGTGGTACCCACTAGGCCAATGACTGACCTTTCCTAGGATGCAACTCACAACAGTTGCCTACCACCCAGGTACATATTTACTACTAGGTAAACAGAGGCATAGGTATAAGAAAACATACCCAAACTTCTCATGCTACCTGGGGATCGAACCCAAGACCTTTCAATCGTGAGCAGACTGTTCCGAGACACCATAAATTACAGTGGTAATAATTTTCCCTAGGAAGGTTTTAAGATCAAACTTGAGAACATACATTTAATCCATACTTGGAGAGCTCATGCCTTTTACTTTCTAATTCTAATAAGACAATTTTCCAAATGATGTCAGACAATAAGTTACCTACTTTATCTCAAGTTAATGCCTCCATTGTTGAAAGGAAGCATATTGAGAGATATAATGATTCATCAAATTCCCCCCCCCCTCCCTGTTTTTTTAATGATGTAACCATGGCTCAATATATACATGATTCAGGTCATGAGGGAGGTCAAGGCAAGAAGTGGTGTAATCCTAGTGCATAGACTTGATTAAAGTAATCAAGTCTATGCACTATGCACTATTAAAGTAATCAAGTCTTGACTTCATAAGGTCAAGGACAAAGCAAAGTGGTCACTATTATTTCATCTCATTTATGCAGGTCGTTGGTATTAGTCATGTAATTGTGAGTCTCTGCGCATTATACATACCTTTTCTTGTACTGCCTTGGGCACCAGCAGCATTTCAGCATAACGAGGACAATTCATAATGGCACATATAGCTCGGAGGCTGGCACTCTGCAGGAATGCCAACCGCAATGCCATTCCTTCTTCTTGACTTAATTCTCCAGTCTATAACAAAAGAAATCATTTACATATATAATATATAGATTTAGATGAATACATATGTATAGCCTACTAATTAATTGGTACAATTTTTATACAGTATATAGAATCTTCTGAAATGTATTATGCTCCTATATACTCATTTCTCCTAATAAACTTACAATGTGACAACTATAGCTGTGGTGCCACACAGATCTTTATAAACGCATCCAAAGGTTACCTGATCAATTAGGCTGTGATTTATATGTCAGATTGCAAACAGTGACATTTAGCAGCCTGGTTGACCAGACCACCCATCAGGAGGCCTAGACAGAGACCAGACTACAAGGACATTGATCCCTGGAACCACCTTAAGGTTATCTGAAGACAGATGTTGTACTCTATATGCTCTTCATAAGCTTTCTCCTCTGTAGTGTCTTTTCTTCTAACCTAATCTCTAGCCTTACTTTCCCAATAACCAAATCTCTTAAAACATTCACCTCGAACTGAAAGGAGATCAACATAATTTTCACAATAAGAGCTATTCGAATCTCACTGATGTTGACATAATACAGTACAGGCTTTTGACGGCAATATTCAAGTCAAAATTAATATCCATTCCTTGTGAATCATCAGTAAACACATTTTTATTACAAAATTTCCATAAACACACAAATTAACTTGCCATGGATGAGCCTCGATGAGTCGGTTGTGGTGGCTCGTGGCGATCCGAGACATCAAATGAACGCCCCGTCACCTCATCCATGATATTTGTAACTAACTGGTCAGTAAGTAATTCCATAGTCAGACCATCAGAGCTCACTCTACAGGAAAGTCAAAACTAATTAATACAACATAGTTCATAAATTTTAACAGAATGGCTTACTTTGTTTATAACCAAAATAATAAATGTATTTTTCATGGACTAAGCATAAAATACTTGAGTATACAGTATAAGAATCATTACAAATTAGTTATCCTTAAGTTCAATTCCAAACACATCGAACAGGCTACGTCCATTTACCCTTCATGAACCCAATGACTGTAAAGTACAGTATGAACACACGAATAAAGCAAACTGCAGAAGGCTTACTGGTCTATGTGAGGCAGCTTCTATTTACATCCATCCAAATACATTCGGTTACAGTGTATGTCTAACCTATGCTTGTAATGACCCAGCAATCCTACATTTATTACGTTACTCGCATCTTTCCTGAATCTAAACTTTGAATCTAAACTCAATTTGTATCCATTACTTGGAGTTCCGATTTGTGTGATGTATTTAAAACCATATTTATATCATATAAATTAGTATAAGAAGCTCAGCCAGAAATTTGTGTTCATTTTCTTATCTCTATTCATGCCTTCATTCCCACCCTCATTATTCTGGAATATCACTATAATTTTCCCAGTTCCTTCTTTCATGGAGAGGGGGAGGCATTTGGCTGAAGAAATGAGAGAATAAAAAAGCAAAGTGGTTGGCTAAAAGTGGTTTTAGCAAACTGTTAATATATTAACACAATATTTACCTAACCTTTGAACTAGTTTTATAGTCTCATTTTACTTCCCAACAGGGTATGTGTGTGAGTGTGTGTGTGGGTGGCAATGTCATTAATAAAATAAACTGAAAACATATGACAACCTTGACTCCTTGCGTGGGCTGGATGTATGCGAGGGCCCGTGTGAATTGGCGGCAGTAGTTGGAATGGATTCCTGGCGAGTCTGTGGAACATGAGGAGATACGAGGCTGCCCGAAGATGATGTTTGCAATTCATCAGTCTCATGATTGTAAGTCACTTTGGGAAACTCAATCTGAAAAAATATTTAATATATTATAATAATGGTTAATTATATTATATATAATGAATATACATCTATATATATTATAATATATATACAGTAATAGATATATAATATATATTATACAGTATATTAATTATACAATACTTGCAAAATGTAACACTAGCACCATATGGGATAAAAATATCAACTGTGACTACGTGTACAATGCACTGATTATCTGGCTTATTAATGTCAGAGTGGACAAGTTCTGTCTACATTACCAACCTTATTTCCTAAAGCAAAAGCCTCCACTCTCTCAGAAACTTCTCTATATATTTATAAACAAGTAAAATTTTGGAAAATATATTAATAATGCCTTTCAGCGGTGGTAATATATCATGAAATCACAAAATCACAAGAAGCGTGATGTATCTACCGGGAGTCTGGGGATGCATGTTCAATCCCCTCACACTGCCCAAATATTTTCTCAAAAGTGGTTAATACTCCATTTACAGTGCTATTTGAATAGTAAAATGTTTAATACGTACCTCTTGTGTGAGGCCAGCTAGCCTCATTATCTGCGTAATGACCTGGGCAGTTATTCCCGACATCTTTGACACGTCAAACGGAGGCGGCTCAACGGGCTCTAACAGAGAAACTGGCACATCACTGATGCTTGTATCCCAGTCACACCATTGTACCTGAGTGTATATGCTCAAATATGAAAAGCTCAAAATGAAGTGATACTGTATATTAGAAATTTTGTTTAAATAAATGCTATTTGTTACCGTATTTGAGACTTGACAAAAAAAAATAAAAAATAAATATATAGTATACAGGACAAGGAAATCACAACAATGTGATTAATGTATGAATAAGTATCAAGGCCATATGACAGAATCGCCCCCACGTCCTAGAACTCCTCAAGCACGTGCACTACCAACTGGACCACAATGGGCAAAACAAAATTCAACCAGAAGTACTACAGTACTTAACTTACTTTTGAATTTGGAAACCATAATCCAGCACCACAATCCAAGTTCCATCATATGGCCTCAATATTTGATCAGTATATAGCTTACCTTCACAGCTGGGTGTCCTTGACGTAGAGCCCCTAAGACCATTGCCCTCCTTCCAGTCCCCTTCTGGATACACTGACTTCCTACCCTCAGTCCACTATCAACTCCACCAATCATGGCAAGGGCAGGATAAACCTCCTTGCACAGCTGCTCTAAGTTCATCTCGTAAACTAGATTTTGTTTACCGGATTTTCCTTTTGCAATACCTGTCCTTTCACTCAAGTGATCGTGTTCCATATTTAAATCTGTTCTCTGAGCATTTCTATCATTGTCATCTGAACACAATCCAAATTTCTTCTTTGTTTTTTCTTCCTCATCAAGTCTTTCATCTAGTGTCAAGACATGACCTTCACTGGCATCATATGCAGTGGGTTCATATTCACAAACATGTTCTTCATTTTCAGATTCACTTTTAGAAGCTGTCTCAACACTTTCATGAAGATCCTTTGGCTGTGGTATCAATTCCTTTGTCTGATTAAGGCGCTCAATTATGCAATCATTAACCTGCTGTGTCCAAGCCGAGGCTTCATGTAGCTGCCGCAGAAGGGCAATGTGAGCTTCCGACAAAACGGCAGCCTGAGGGGCACACAGAGGGTCACCTGGATCAAGGTCTCGAGGAGAACCTCTCACTTGCATGTCCACCATCTTTACTTTCTCTCCAGGATTTGTGCTATAAAACATAACACAGGGATAAAGCTCTGGAGCGTCAATATTTTCAAATGCAAGTCGTGGCTCTTCTCCATTCTTGCCAAAACTGAGAGTCCTAGCCTCCATGTCCAGAACCACTGTGATGTAATCTCCTTGAGTAAAACCAGGTAAAGAAATGCTAAGTTCTCCATTGTGGTAAAGATTTCCAGAATATGCTCTATAAAGCCACATGTCTGATGATGTTCTGTGGCTGTAGTCTCGGACAGGATATTTTGAAACGCCAATGCAAGTTCCTTCATTACCACGGTTTTCCTTTACAATTAGAAACTTCCACTGATAACATCCAGAAGTAATTGGAGTAGACCCTAGACCATAGCCTCGTCCTCCTGGTCCATGCACAAGTGTGTGTCCCCCTTCAACTGAACAACACACAGACTTGTCAGGGTCAAAACCCACTTCCTGAACAGGCAAACTGTCATCAGGGGAGTCAGGTCTCGACTGTTCATCCATTAACTCGGGACTTGACAGTCTCACAAGGTGCTTTTGAAGCTCTGTTAATAATTGGCTAGCCTTAAGATGAGCCTGTGCAGAAGGTGTTACCCACATATTAGCAGCCAGCTGCATGAAAAGCTGTCTTACGACCTGTTCCCGAGCCTCTAAATCAAGATCTGAATATGGAAGCGTTGCACCCAGCAGAGTCAATGCTAGAACTCGAGTTCTTACACTAATGACCTGAGGAAGATGAGTTTCAGCCTGCTCACCGGTCACAAGTAGTAATAGTCGCACCCATGGTTGACGACCAACGAGAACTCTCACCCGCTGATTGACACAGAGTCGCCTCACAAACACTAGTAGATTGCCTAATGTCACCTCCAGATGTCGTCGTTTCCTTGCATCAGCAGCGTTATTGTTCTGGCCAGTGTTGAGCCCTGTGAGGCGCAGTTCTAATTTTCTCTGGCCTACCTTTTTTTCTTTTGTATCTGCATCATTTACCTCTGTTCCTTTTCTCTCTGTATCTTTAATTTCAATTTCTGTCAGGTCAGGTTTTGCCGTCTCCACATTCCTTTCATCAGGAACCATGGTTTCATGCTGCATGTAATTTTTCCATGTTACTTCATTAGCTTTAATAATGTGATTGACAAGGTCTTCAACTTGTAGATGCAAAAGATTCATAACCTGAGAAAGAACCGACTTGCTGATGTCTTCCGCATAATATCTGCAAATGAATTTATGTAATTTATTTACACTTTTTACATTATGTAATCACACACTTAAATTTATTTTAATGCAATTTTTTTGTCTAGAGTGTGTTTATGGTTATATTTAAAACATATTCTGCTAAAATAGTTTCCGATTCTGACAAAAAAGAATCTGGAGCCCATATTTCTGTAAGAAGGTTAAGAAGAAACATGAAGTTGTCAAGGAAACTTAATGAATTATCTGGCATTTAAGAGAGACACACTTAGCTTACAAGAATTTTGTGTAGTTTTTGTTTAGCTTGTTTTATCACACATTCATTGAAAGTGATCCTCAATTGGTTTTGCAGGGAAAACATGATTATGTGCATGTAAATACAACATATATTGGGTTGGTGGTGGATCAAAACCATGCATCCTACCCACCAGGAAATACAGTAATATTCAGGACATTGTACCATGACAAGTTTAACTGAAAGTAAGAGTACAGCAAGATCTGTCTACTTCACAAGTCAAAGATACAGGTATAGCCAATTCTCAGGATGACCGGACATCATCATCTCACGGCCAATTTGTGATTTTGCCAGCAATGGATGTATGATTTAACATAAGGGGTTTATCTTTCTAGACATTAGCTAAATGTGTTCCTGCTGCTAGTTATCCACGAACAAGTATTAGTAATACAACTAATTTGGCATATATAAATGTTGTATAGAGTATTTACCCTGTCAAGATGGTAAGTATTTGGAAGAGTGTGTGCGCTGCGTGAGGTAAAAGATCCGATGGAGATGGATGAGGAGTGTGACGCAGAGTCGGAGGATCATAGGGGCAGCACATGCGCACTAAGGCATCAAGAAGACCACTCGACACGGCTAAGCTCAGATCAGGTGCTTCATAGCGGACACTGAGAGCAAATATGGTCAGCAGGCACAAACGTTCCCGGAGTCCTACAGAAAAAGTGTCATATCTTTATTATTATTATTGCAATTACTAATAAAGTGATTACTACTATGATGCTCTATGATTGTATCTAGTGTCAGTAATACTTCCCTATTATAGAGCATTATAACAACTTTAAATTATATAGTATACTGTATTATTATTATTATTATTAATATTATTATTATTAAAATTATTATTATTGAGAAAATTAAGTATTCTTAAATTCATTGAAAAGTATATGTTTAATTACACAACACTCATTAAAACCCATAACAAAATGGAAGCAATTCTTAAAAGGAAGATTCTGAGATGACAAAGAGATGGTGAAAACACTGTCAATCACTGTAGTTATAAAGAACATAAAATGTTAATAGAATAGAGGCAATGATGCTGAAAATTAACATAAAATATGATGTACAGGTACTGTAGTCCCATGTCATACACATTACAAATATTAATTCAGCATCATTACCTGTCGTTTCTAAAAATTGAATTTAAAGACTCGCCCCATTCTGAGCATCATCAGTAGATCTGACCAGACCACACACTAGAAGGTGAAGGGACGACGTCGTCCCTTCACCTTCTAGTGTGTGGTCTGGTCAAATTACTTTAGCCACGCTATTGTGACTCATCGCCTGCATCATCAGTAGATCCCTGGTGCATTGGCTCTGGCACCACACAGGCCTACGAACACCAGAACCAGACTCTGGCATGCTCGTAGACCCGAGAGAAGCATTGGGATCTGGGAGCACCCTCATAACCAAGTCAAACCACCCACAAAGTACATGTGAAAGAAAACCAACTCCATATTTTCTGGTGTACAAGTCTTTGCCTAATTTACAAGAATATTTTATGGAAAAAAAATTGTGCCCAACCCAACTGCCACCCGCAAGAAGCACATTCCCACGGAAAAAGAAGGCTAAAAATCACCTTTATCTGGTTGTTCATGTTGAAGTAAAGATGACACTAAGTGATGATAGATGATGTGAACAGTTGTGGCAATCTGCTGTTGGGTGGGTTGGCTTGCTGCTCTGATGCCATCCAGGTAGTGTGTCGCTTCCAGCGACCTCACCAACGAGTAACTACTGCTGCTCCAGAGGCTTTCCAGTCCAAAACAACCAGTCATGACTTCATGATACACCTGAGGAAATTTTTGTTACATTTAAAGTTACAAACTGTAAATTACCTGGTATTTTTTTATTCTAGAATAAAAATGGCATTTCAAAGTGTATCCAAGGTAAAGAAATGAACTAATAAACACTAGCCTATACAGTATTTCAACATGATCAAAACAATTATCCAAAATTATATTTTATAACTATATATATATTTATTTATTTATTTATTTCAACTATTTGTCAGCCATAACGTGCCTTCTAGACACATAACTGAAGCTATTAACTACTATTAACTACTCATCACCCAGCCAATTACTGATATCCTACCATCAATATCTTTGAAAAACTTTTACAGAATGAAGAAAGCACCTATAAGATGATAGAAAAGTAAGAAAGTATCAAAAGAAAGTACTAAAACAGTATAGCTATAAAAAAAAGTGGAAAAGTAATACAGAACCAAAGCTATTATGGCGCTTCACCAACACCTGTCCATCCACACTTCTCTTACACACCTGTTCATTCAAGCTAATTTAAGTCAACAAAACCTGTAATTAGTTTTGTTTTTGTATGAGTTTTTATCAATATAGGTCATCTAACAGTCTACAAATGTTTATTTCAGACATAAATACTTCTTTTATTTACAAAGTGAAGTACAGCTGCAGAGTATTCGTATGAGGTACACTATTAAATAAAATGTTAATATTTCCTTGTTAATATTATGTCTGCTTCTGTGTAACATGGACACCTCATTTTACATGTCAACTGTATTTATTTAACTTTTCCATACATGCTAATCATAGATCCCCTTGTACTATACATCCACATTTGTCTACAGTATTTAACTGTCAAGTTCCACCTGTTTAACAACAGGGCATTTCATGGCATTGACCTCTTAGTGTTTAGTGAGCAGGCAGAAAAGGTGGTTACTCACAGAAGGTAGAAGAGACCCACATGCTTTCTCAAGAGCAAAATGTTGTTGAGTGTCGTCGTCGTCCTCACACTTTTCTCCTTGTGCAGGAGTTAATAGTGTTAGCATTAGCTCCAGCGCATCCAGTCGAGACTGAAAAAAGAAACATTCAATGTACTTGGCACACAATACAATTTGCCCAACAAATTTTACTGCATGGGCATATTTTTTTCGAACAGGCTATTCCTGCATGTGCTCTAAACCTCACAATATAATAGGTTATCTTGAGGTTATCTTGAGATGATTTCGGGGCTTTAGTGTCCCCGCGGCCAGGTCCTCGACCAGGCCTCCACCCCCAGGAAGCAGCCCGTGACTGCTGACTAACTCCCAGGTACCTATTTACTGCTAGGTAACAGGGGCATTCAGGGTGAAAGAAACTTTGCCCATTTATTTCTGCCTCGTGCGGGAATCGAACCCGCGCCACAGAATTACGAGTCCTGCGTGTTATCCACCAGGCTATGAGGCCCCCCAGGTTACTGTAAGGCCCCACAAGGTTACGAGGTTACTGTAATATTTAAGATATATCGAAATAGAGAAGAAAAATTATACCGTTTTTATACTGTTTATACAAACATGATTATTATATATATATATTATATAATATGCGAACAAGCCTGAATGGTCCCCAGGCATATATGCAACTGAAAACTCACACCCCAGAAGTGACTGGGGTCAAAGAGTTCTTAGTGATCTATGGCAGGAAGAATTGAAACAGGAATTTCCTTAAGTACCTTCGTATTTAATAATACATCTTCAGAAGGGTGATTTATTTAAATAATACAATTTAATATAATTTTAATTGTCAAGGACAGGAAGCCTGTACTAAGCAATGTGGAAGTACCCCTTGGCCAATTATTGACCTTTCTCAGGATGCAATCCACAACAGTTGTCTAATTCCCAGGTACCTACCTACTTCTAGGTGAGCAGAGGCATCAGATGAAAGGAAACATGCCCAACCATTTTCATGATGCCCGGGGATTGAACCCAGGTCCTGTGATTGTGAACCAACTACACAGACCACTGTGCAACAAGACTTCAATCCTGTTATTAATCATTAATCTATATTTCTGCAGCACACCTGGCAGATATTCTTGGCACTGTGGTTGGGAACACTGGATTGATTTTAGAGATTTTTTCATCACAGTTAGCATTTGACCAATGGCTTTACTCTACCATCCACATTAAAAATAAATGGACAATGCCACACTCTCCACATCTGCCAGCTGTCCATAAGTTGAAGGTAGATATATGGTAGATAAAATGCAATCCACAATTATGTGCTAATAACACTTCAATCACTTGGATCATCAGATACTCAAACTCAGGCCTCAACAGTACGAGACCATTCATTCTCTCATACGGTCTCGTAGTACAGTATTGAGGCCCGAGTTCAAATCCTTGATTGTCCAAATGAACGAAAAAGATAGATAAGCAAAATGTATACACAAATTTATTACATCAATAGAAAGAGCACAAAACCTCACCTCGGCTCGAGTTTGTTGCGTTGCCATCGAGGGAAGGAGAATGTCGGGTCCTGGTGGCAGATTGGCTGTAGTTTTGAGCGACGTCAACTGGTGATCCTCTGCTCCGGCAAACCCCAGCACTTCTATACACCGGCTCATGACCATGCTTAACACTTCTTGACTAGATCTAATGATATTACAGAATTGTAAACTATTCATCTGCTTATGTGTATAAATCAAAGCTTCCTTAATCTACTCAACATTTCTTGATTAGATCTGATGGTATTATAAAACTGTAAACAATATCTATGTTAAGTAATCATAGCTTCCTTAAATCAAGCTTCAAAATTCCAAGGTTCTTCTATGCATTATTAACAGCACTTCTGACTTAAATAAGATCTTATGCTCTTGGATAAAATAATACAAATTTGGGCATGTCAACATACTAGCATCAGGGGTCAAGGAATTTCTCAAGTGATCCCTGCAGGTCTCATTTTAGATGGGCAAGGGGTTCACTACAACCCACAGCATGGGAATGGGGGTGAAATAATAAATTAACTAAAGTAAACAACATGGCAGAGCTAAGTAATCAACTAGTGTAAAAGGTTGAAGATGACTAAGAGGAACACTTACAGCTGAACGCAGGATTTTGGTAATAAAGGTGCAGGTTTGATAGCCATCAGGAGTACCAGGCACTGTGTTATAATGTGAAGATTAGCAGCCTCGTAACTTATGTCTTCCTCTACAGGTTCCTGCCCACTCTCATCTGGTTCTACAAAGAATTAAGGAAAGACATGGCTGAAGTATACCAGTGGATGAAGGGGCATAACAAGGGGGATATTAACAAGGTACATATTTCTCAGAAAAAATTATGATGTTTATAACTTTTAATATTTATTTAGCCACAATTATTGTTATCAGTTCAAATAATACAACACATTTTGTGCATATGTTATTGTATTTTAACCTCAAAATCACTGAAAATTTCAATCTGAAATATTTTGTAGTCGTTTTAATTTTGTCCAAACTAATTTACAGTGTGACTTCACTTGGCATAATGTAGCCCACACAATCAAATAATTTACACTTCATGTCATTGTACCTAAGCTCAAGACTAAACTGTAGCTAATCCAGTTTATCCAGATATCCATAACATTTGATTTCTTTTAAAGAAAGCTCCACTGCATTTTCTACTTACAACAATTAATCAAGGAAATTATTTTAACCAAATTTACTCATTTTACACACACACACACACACACACACACTATACTATGATGCCTTAGTAAGCTAGTACCAACCTTGCTCATCATAGGTTCTAGGACTTCTCATGGCCATCAGTCGTTCTCGTAGCTCACGAACTTCTTCCTGGTCCTCTGAAGATCCATAAATAATCACAATAAAACACCCACCATTAAATCCAAAAATATTTTATAAAAATAGAACAGAAACATCTCCGAGGTTGATTTTTTTTATAAGAAAACACAGTACATGAAACACACAATCATAATGAATCCCTGTCAGGATTACCTAAACAAAAAACTGTACACAAAATAGTAACTAAAATAACTGGCATCCAGCAAATGTTCATCTCATGCAAGTAATAATAGTAACAATTATGATGATAATTTTGTCATGGACAGGCAGCCTATGTACATACATTACCGGTACAGTATGTTAGGCTTATATCGAGGTCCCCCAAAGGTACTGACCCTAACTCCCAGATGCATATTTACTGCTAAGTGAACATATGCATTAGGTGATAGGAAACATGCCCAATCATTTCTGTCCTACCTAGGATTTGAAACAGGGATTCTAGATTGCGAGTTGAGAGCAAACCTATCTGTACTACCGAGACCCTAACAATACTGTTGATAAAATCTTGATAGTAGGGAGCAGTATACCTGGCTCATGATTCACTGGCACTCTAAGAGACAACATTTGTTCAACAATTTCCACCCGTACACGCTCCTCGTCCTGGGCCGTCTCTGATCCTGCTCTTGATCGTTCAAGAGATTCTGAAAAAACTTCCTTTTAATATTTCAGCAAGTAATAATTTGACTTATTTCTCAAATAAAAGAGGTTGTGATTATTTGACTAAACATATCAATCATAACTATGGGTTTAAAGAGAAGCAAGTACAATACGTATAATTAAATCACACGAACGTGATGTATCTACGAGAAAATCTTGAAGTGCTGCGATGGGATCGAACACGCATCTCTAATATCTTACCAGAAGTGTCGTCGGTCTTCAGTGTAACAAGTCGCCGTCTGATGTGGTAAACCAGCCGGAACAGTTCCCTCATTATTGAGCAGTAGTGGACGCTAGAAAGCAGAACAAAAATATACAATAATAGTTTTTTTTGGTGGACAGGAAGCTTAATGATAATAATAATAATGTGTTGATAATAATATTAATCATTAATAATAATAATAATAATAATAATATACAGTATATATAGTGTATGTATACAGTATATACTTTAGGCTTGTACTAAGGTCCTCCCCTGCAGTGTTGGCAGTTTGAAGGAGGTGCTTGAAGTATCAGATGGTAGTAATGGTGATGGTGCTTTCTTACTGGTGACTATGGGGGAAGTGAAATCGAGCTCTGTATGATCTGCCTCCTAGCCTTTACACCCGATAAACTACTACTCTCTCTTGATGATCAAGTTCTGTGTTGTGTCTGTTCTTGAAGTTGAAGTTATGGTAACAGTGGCACGAATGGTTTTGCTAGTGATTTGAATGGAGAAAGTAACACTAATGGAAGTGATGAGATTTATGGTGATGGTAACGGTTGGAAAAAAGACAGCCTATATCAATAGTTATCGAATTGTCATGGAATTACCTGTACAGTAATTGCTAAAAATAATTTTTACATGCTTCATTACACATTCTTTCCCTTACAAATAAATCCATTTATAATGTTCTAAAGCCTTTATTATGTTCTAAAGCCTAAACAGATGAAGGCATTATACATGAATATTTCTGTACAATGTTCTCCTTCACTCACAAAAGAAGCTACTCCACATTACATTTTGCATTTACTTACATTATACATAGTCTACTATGTGCAATAAATAACAAGAATGTGACACATCTATGAGAAGATACAGAAAGCCATACAATAGGATCAAACCTGTGTGTGCCTGAGGATTTCAGGGATGTGAATTCAATTCCATTACATAGCTTCAGTATTGCATACTATTTATATTCTCTATTTCTTTATTTACAACTTAGGAGAAAGAAGCCTACCCAAGTTGTGCTTGTGAGACCCCCGTGTGCATGAGGAACGTGGAGAGCAGTATTTGTGTTGTGATATCCAGGAGTATGTCTTCCTTCACTTCACACGTGTCCCAGTCCTCTCCGCACGCCATCTCATCCATCCACAGCATCACCTGGCTCTCTGAGATATTACAGGTGTCAACACGTACTGTACTTAAAAATTCAGAATAAATATATTCATTGCACATTACACATGCTCAGAAATCATCTTAGACCAGGTTTTAGCAGAACATATGTATCCTGTATTATATGTTTAAATATTTGTGTGTCTACTGGATCTTCTAGTTAAAAACATCAAGCTCATTCATAGATACACAGCCAAATATAATAACTACCTTACTAAATTGCTCTAAATGCAGTATTGGCTACAAAAAAAACTAGGAATGGGTTGACCTATATAAACCGTATCTCAGCTTCAGTACCAGGGGTGGGCAGCAATATTCTTGCATTTTGTACTCCATAATAGGTAACTTTTTTCTTGTTGGGACATATATAATACTCCATAATAGGTAATTTTACCCTTGCTGAGGTCTACGTGAAGAATTTACCACAAACATTATGCTCAACTTTTAATTAAGGTTTATCACATTGATATTCTCATGAAAGGGAGTTCTGTATTATTAGCATTTCAATGAAAATTATGGATCACAATACTACACATTGGAGTTCATTTACATGCCATTCACAAATTAAATATAACTTCTATTAAAAGACTGGTGTCAGCTGTTCAATCTAGTGAATAGTTATGTATCTGCCAATAGCACAAACATATGCCTCTAATGTCTCAGAACTAAAGGCATTGTGCCGGAGTTCAGAGCAGGAGTCTATAGGGGTTGGACCTCTTGTGCTTACAGACCATTAAACCACACAAATTACCCTCATTGTTTATCTTCAGTCTTTCTGGTATGTCTTACAAGCAACCCACACACTGAAGCAAGAATACCTACTTGATTCGAGAACAGTGATAAGAGGGGTTGTAAGCTGTGTGTAGGTCGTGGCAAAATTATGCAAAGCCTCCACAACAACATCCTTCCCACACTCCAAAATGCTTAATATATGCTCAATGGCTGTAGTCACTTCTTCTGTGAAAGATGGAAAGATGAAGTACATAAATGAGACAAGCAAGGTACGACATGTAAGTATATTCCCATATGTATTATTTTGTGTGAAAATATGCCAATTTTATTATCAAAATCAATACTGAGAACCCACTGTATATTTTTGTAAAAATAATAAATAAAACTAAATAACATATATATTTTGTTTATTTATTTTCAAGTCCTACACCACAATGTAGGACTTATAATTAGCCTAGTCATTTAAGGGTTAAGAACCATTTTTATATTACCTAAACATAAAATGACCCTAGAATGACTAAAGGAAACATACTATAATTGTTTTTTCCAAAAATATCTTTGCAAAATAGAGGTACAGTATAGTACATTTTATGTGGAGGTGCAACTTGAATGCTGGAAAATTTGGTAGTTGTATTAATAATAACCTAAGACTTGTTCATTATAAGAACTTCAGAATCAAGCAAAACCAAGTACATACAGGTACTCCTTACCTGGACATAAATCACATGCTGCCAATCCACACGAAAAAAGTTGCATAGAAAGCCAAGGTTTACTTTGCACCTCCTTGGATGTGAGTGGGGGTCCAAGCAGCATGCCCTCCAGGCACCGTCCCACCACTAAACCACAGGCTCGCTCCACATCCAGCAGCCATGCCCACTGACGACCAACCACGCCCCCACCAACACTCTTAACAGTGTCAGGAGTTGGGGTGTCTACCTCTGCAATACCCAAGTTGTCAGTGCCTGTCATCCTAGATAGCCCTAACACTCATCACTTAAGTCAATTAAAAACTTATTTTCAATTAATGTTAGTAATAACCTGGTTAATTGTCAGTAAAAATTGCAAAACCTCAATAAGGGCAAAGGTCATTATTTTAAATTCCTTCTTGTCCTTTCTCATAATTATTGCCCTAAACATGATGACATTTTTCTGAATGTTTCTTCATACAATATGAAGAACTTCCCACTTATTTTTGTATATAGCATTTTGAGAGCGTCCCAAGTCCTAACTGAACCCAAAGCACCGACTTATATTTTTCAATAGCCAGAATGAACCTAAAAATTATTTCACCATCACTAAGATTTTATGAATGATGCCATACAGATATGACATTTTTCATATGTAATACAAATGATGCACATCAATATACAACCTGTCCTCACACTTAACACTTTCGCTCACCCCGCGCGCCACCCCTCGACAGGGCGATATGGGCCCCAGCGTGTCACGGAAACGCGCGTTAATTTCGAAAAGTGTATACTCTCTTCAACTTTGTCACCTCAATTCTCCTTCTACGAGATTAAATTTGGTATCATTGTGTTCGCAATAAAATTCTCTACAACACTAAATGCATATAAACTCCAAAAGCCCAGCTAATTACCCGCAGCAAACTGAGAAAGTGCGAACGAGTTACCCGGGAGCGCGCAAACGGGATAAAATGTTTTCACTATTTTCACTCTGGTCACCTCAATTTTTGTCCTAGGTCTTTCAATTTGGTCTCAATGGGTTCGTAATAAAATTCTCTATAGGAACATTAGCATATAAAAAAAAAAACCTGGTCACGCTCCAACCGCCGACGAGTTGAAGACGGGCCACGCGTTGCCGTGAGTGAGTGCTCAGAGGCTTTCCTGCTACACTCCCAATTCCCACCCTTTTCAAGCCTTTCTTTCGCAATTTTCTTCCTGGAAGGGCCTTGTTCATGATTACTATCCATCGTGGAGTAAGCGTAGATAGTTTCTAAAGCCGCAGTAAGAAATATAGCCACGGGAAATAGCCAAAATGTTCACACGTTTGAGATGCGAGGGGAGGCGACATTGGTCACAACAGTGGAGCAAAGACAATGGGCCCATGGCATGTGCCAAGCCGCCTGAGGGCCACGAGGCTCAACAAAGAAAATGGGAAGACATCGGCGCACATTTTAAAACCAGTCCCCAAAAAATCGGATAAAAACCTGATTTTTGGCGAATTTTTAAAGTGGATGACGCAATGCTGCGTCATCCCCGGCATTACCGCCAGTAAACGGATGACGCAATGCTGCGTCATCCCCGAGCGAAAGTGTTAATGTGCAGCAATATTGATGCTATCACCCACAGTGTTAAATTCAAGTGATATAGTGAAATTAACTTAATTAAAAGTATCGCAATGATGCTGCTACTTCACATTGATGAATATCGACTTCTATAGGCTAGGTGGGTTGTCTAGGTTAGTACGTTTCTAGTTAGGTTGAAACAACTTGAAGTTTCAAGCTGGTCAAATTGTAAGAACAAACTAACAAATATGCATTCATTATGCTCAACATTTTTAAACAAGTCTTGTGCTGAAGTACATAATTTTGTTTTTATACACTAATAAGGATATGTTCATCCTTCACATCATTTAACAACAGGATAAAATACGCATGTCCTGGGGACATGTCAAGCTCGGTTCCTTCGTACAGCATCAATATTTTCTGATAGATACATCAGTCTTGTGATTTCAACATGCAGTACAAGATAAAGTTACACCACCATTGTCACCGACTTAGTGAACAGCAATATTTAATTGAAAGCTTACCTGAAGTAACATCTTCCTGATCAGTAAATGAAGTCACAGATGCTATTGTTCGGTTTGTGGAATCAAGAATTGGAAGAATGGCTCTTAAAGGACCCAAGAGTGGTCGAACCAGTCTTGCTGGGAAGAGCAGCAAAGCGTACACTACATGGGCTAGGACCCAGCCACATACACTACGATAAACAACATCTGTAATAGAAATCATTATCCAACATCAAACTTGTATTCTGCCTATTACTATATTTCTACAAATATCTGGTAATGTAAGTAAACTTTTTTATAGATTTTTTATAGATTAAAAATCTAAAACCTCAGTGGCTCCCTGTAATTAGCCACTGAGGGATCAAGCCAGAATATGCATCTAAATCTAGTTACCCATAAAATTATTATCTATAAAACAATATGCCAGTCCTTCAGATACTGCCAAAGCCAGTTCCTGAATGGATACCCAGGACTCATATACCCTGCCACGATCTCATAACTTTCATCATGACAGGTATCCTTGCAAGGGGCCTCTCAAGTATTTAAAGAAGAAGGACTGTGGCCACTAACTTAAGCAACGACCAAGAGCACCAGCTTGTGATAACAAAATGGAACTAATCATAACGCTCAAATATCTGAAAGGTAACATTTTAGTAAGGGAACCTAAGCACCGGCACTATCACACAAGTATTACAACTCAGGAGGAGCCAAACTATATTGTCGACTATTGCCAAACAGCAAAATAAATGAAAACTAAAACATTGTAGCCGACAGCTAAATTCATAGCCATTCAAAAGACGTACACTACACTATGAAACAAACCCTAAATAATTAATTAGCCCCAGAGAGCTATGAGGTGATGGGTGGACATGCAATAAAAGAGAGGCTCTTGGCGCCTTTGGACCATATTATAGTGATAGTGGCTTCACCTAGTGGCACACAGTATAGTTTCATCAATTAACAGTAGTTTGCAAAGGAATAATTAGACATCTCCATACTTCAAATTTTTGCTGCAAGGGGTGCTCACGGGTCATGATTCAATCCTCGTATTATAGTGAGCTAGTGCTCTCGAGGCTGACAATTAACTCGCCACTATTTCCCTTCCCTAAATACGTGACAGGATCACTTGCAAAGATCCCTGTGATGATGATCGTGATAATGACAAAAAGTCCTGTGTGTTTCACAAGTGATATCAGTGCTGGGAGGCTTTTATAGGAGCTAACATTTCCCTGGCCTTAATAAATTACTAAACAAAGCATTGCATTATATCATTATAACACTAATTAATACAAACTGTTATTGCCTAAGTACGTAACGCTGAATAAATATTGAGGCCGTACAATAGAATTGAGCCTGAATCCCTGAACACCATCTACCAGAAGGAATACAGAACTATATGAGCATGTCTGCTGATGATACCAAGCTACTAGTGAAGAAAAGAAACTTTGATGATTGTAATGTCCTTCAAGATGACCTGGACAAACGTGTATGGAACAGACTTCAACTTCAGAATCACTTAAATACATAGATGGTGACTGGTGAAATATTAAAGAAATTATTCATGACCTTCATGAGACCAAAATTAGAATATGCAGCAGTTGTATGGTGCCCATATCTCAAGAACCACATTAATAAACTGCAATAGGTGCAGAGACATTCAACTAAATAACTTGCAGAACTGAAGAACAAGAGCTATGAGGGGAGGCTAAAGGTGTTATATATATACCAAAGCTAGAAGACACAAAAAAGAAGTGATATGATCCCTACATACAAAATAATAACAGGAATCAACAGAATTGACAAAGAAGAATTCTTGAAACCAGCAACTTCAAGAACAAGAGGTCACAGACTCAAGTTAAGAAAACAAAACTGCCAAAAGATATTATCAAATTATCTTTTGCAAACAGAGTGGTAGACGGTTGGAACAAGTTAAGCGAGGTGGTGGTGGTGGATGCCAAACCCATCAGTAGTATCAAAGTGTCATGTGAGAGAAAGAGTATTGTACTGGGAAGACTGGACACTATGAATGTAGCTCTCATCCTATAACTACACTCAAGTAATTACCATGAAAATCAGGTAGTACTCCTTGCCGAGATAGTTTTAGTCCATCATGGTCTGGTTGATAATGTGTGCGCCCCTGGGAAGTTTGGGTATGCGTGTTTGATTCCATCATACGGCTTCAATATTTATTCACAGATTCATCACATTCTTGCCATTTCATTGTGTAAGCATTACTGTTCAAGAAAAAATGGCATTCTATTATTTGTGATACTCTTCCTACTAAAAACTGTTTGAATCATGAGTAAAGCAGCCAAAGAAATTACATTAGAAATACTTGCCATGGATGAGATGAGCCAAGCCAGGGTGGGTAGCAAGAAGTCTCGAGGTCTGATTCAGCAGTACACCACACATCTCAAACAGTTCGCTCAAGTGCTCATATAACAGCCGCATACTTGCTGAATTCTGACGGTGATAGTTACATTTAGTCATATTCCTACCTACTGTATATAAACAAGTACAGTATAACACACATCTGTCTTTTTAAATTTTGCACATCTATTAAGAACCAGAATTTCCACTTTTTGATCTTGCAACCTTAAACAGAATGTATAAATCTATTTTTGGAAAAAGCTTCAAGAAAAATAAAAGTTTGGATGAAAAGTGTCACAGACCTAAAAATGATGTGATTCGAGGGTTGTGGGTACGCTTAGTTAAAGACACATTACCTATCAATTTTCTTGAGAATCTACAAACCTTGATGCTTCAAATGCAAAAAATTTAGTGTAAAACAATTATAAATAATAAGGTAATTGCATAATTTCATCACTAGATAACAAATCTAATGCATATAATTCATTAGTGTAAAAAAATGCAATCTCATTAATGGAAGACTATTCTATTTAGATCATTGTTCAAAGTGTATTTTCAATGCCAGACCATTATCAAGTCCATCCTGGACTTGATACTGGTCTGAGATGGACTGAAAAGTCACCATTTCTTTCTTTTCAGCTGTGTGGTTTGAGTGTTTAATTTCCAGCCATGTTATTGTGACTTACTATCTGCATAAACATATTAACTTTACAAAACAATATACACTCATATACTGAGAAATACCTCCTCAAATTGGTGATGCGTGCAATATGCCAGAAGGTGTGAATGAAGATTGGAGAGGAGCCGAAGAAGGTGCTGAGGGTGAGTCCCTCCAAGCTGAGCATCTATATACTGCCGTGCAGAATCACACTCGTCCTGGCTGCTGCTCTGTTCATCACCACCATCAACTCCTAAAGAAAATACCTCAGCACTTTGTAAATCTTATAGCAAAGTCATATCTTATCACTGTTAACAAATCAAGGATACACTGGCAATTAAAGTGGGCAGTAGAAAGTAACATGATGTTTAACAGAGACAAAGTCCAGGTCCTTAGCTATGGTAAAAATGAACACCACAAATAAAATACCACATACAAAATAAAAATAAAACCTGCCCAGAGTAGGATAGCAACATTTAAAGGATTTGGAATAATGATCTCTGATGACCTAAAGCTTAGGAAGTATAACCTATCAAATTTAGTGTTAGCTAGAAAAATCAAAGGATGAATTATGAGACTCTTCATATCCATTGTATAATTTGTGTATACTGAAATTTGAAAAAAAAAAATATAATAAAATACACACATAGATTCATGTCACTAATATGTGCAAAATATTATATTCTTGTATATCTTGTATTCAAAATATTATATACTATATTATATATATAAGTGCTTTTACTATTATGAGACTGTATGTATACACATATATAAATATCTACATGTTTATGCACTGATACAAACCAGTGAGCAGTTCTGCTGAGTGTTATAATCTCATAACTACTAATCCAGGATCAGCCTGGCACCACACACTTGTCAGTTGCTAACGGCACCTGACACTAAGGTGCAAACTTGATATACTACACACATCACTAGCTTAAGCAAAATGTCTTCTATTATCATCAGATTCCTGGTCACTAAATACTGAATATGAATGAACAAATCCAAAAGGGCCGTGACGAGGATTCGAACCTGCGTCCGGGAGCATCCCAGACACTGCCTTAATCGACTGAGCCCAGGCATGTCTTATTGCATGATGCATCAAAGAACTAAACACCTGATTGTGTGCACAAAGAAATCACATTACTGTACTTTAAAGAGTCCTCTAAACTCATTCATGCATTAATGTTATGCATGAATAAGTAAGTAAGTAGGAGCCATTAGGAGGATTCGAACCTGCAATCTGGGTGCTCCCAAGCACACATTTTACACCATGACCATGTCGTGGTAAAGTAGACTAAGGCGTTTGCTTGGAAGAACCCAGAGTACAGGGTTGAATCCTCCTAATGGCTCCTATTGATTTTTCTTACGATTTTGCTGTGACTGTCTGCCTCGCTATGGGATCATCATCAGCAGGAATTGAGTTTACCATTATCTGAACCTTGTACATAATCTTTTTCACTGTCAGGGTCTTCTATGACACTATCATCAATGAATAATTGCATTTACTTATATATTCTGTCATCATTAAGTGATGCTGTGGGCACAAGCTGCATGGCGATGCTGTGAGCTGATGCAGCACTATTAGCTACCATGGTTGCTGTGTTAGTGCTGAAGTCCTCACACCCAGGAGGGGTGCCCACAATTTTTTTATTTTTCCAAAGACGGTGTCCGTTTATTGGACATCTGAAGAAGTGGATGTGAGCCCAGCGGGCGTTTTAAATCTTACGCTAGACCAAAAAGCCACCCCGGGTCACTGTGCGCACAACCAATGAATGCTTAAGATTGTAATAAAAACTGATGATTCAATTCCATCTGACTGAAAATTTATGATGCATGACTGCAGTATAAGACGCTGGGCATGATCAAGCAGCAGTCAGCTGACAGACAAGCATGGGGGGGTGAGGGAGGATTGTAGTCTATTCATCAGTATCCTTCTGCCCTACCAGGCTCCTGAGAATGTTCTCAATCATTTTGCATGTTTGGTTTTAATAATAATTGTAATTACATAAATTTGATACCAAAATGTTTGCCAATGATTGCTCTATCATATGTCATGGTCAAAATGAGAATGAATTATATACTTTTCTTGCAAAATTATAAAACAAAACTGGTCGTGTTTAAGTGTGAAAATCCTGGTCATTAAAAATTTTTTGCACCAACCAATAATTGTCATATTGTTATGATATTGATATTGAATTTAATATATTCTTGAAGTAAGCTGGATTATGATGGATTTATACTTACCTAAATGTGCTTTAGGATTATTATGAAGACATTTCACTACACTAATATAATACAAAAACCTTTATATGCATTATAATGGAGACAGGCCTACTGATGTTTTTTTTCCCCCCTAGGGAGGAGGGTTGCCCAAGGTCTAATGTATAGTTTCTTTAAGCAAAGATATTGTCTAACATATACTTGAAACAAGTGGCCCATATAAAGCGGCTCCAATTTACATCCACCAAACTCATTTATATACTGTATATGTCTAACCAATGCTTGAAAGATTCAAGCAATTCCACGTCTATTATTTCACCATGTAATTTGTTCCACAAATTAAAAGTAGAGCTAAAACACTGCTTACCTGTTGAAAGGAAGGGAAAGGATGGGAAGGGATGGGAAGGGAAGGTTAGGAAAGCTAAGATACCATACTTGCCTGCTTCAGGAAAGGGTATGGAAAGGAAGGGAAGGAAAGCTAAGATACCATGCTTGCCTGTTGAAGGCAAGGTAAGGTACCATGCGTACCTGATGCAGGTGGTAACCACTTAGGGTGAAGGTCCAACAGTTCTGGAGGACCCGCAGTGCATTCCAGGATTTCCGAATTATCGTCTTTATCATCTTGCGTCTGTGGTTTATGAGATTCCGAGTCCTTGTGTGATAAACTTTCTTCTTGAGTTACAGCTTGTGAAGCGAGAACCTTAACTTTGAGAACAACTTTTTTACCTGGTTTTTCTTCTTCGAGGATCTGGTTCAACTGATGCTCCTAAGACAGAATTGATATCTTTAAGTACTACAGCAAAGGGAAGATACAGTTTCATATTGTCATGTACAACTCTCCAAGGTAGCTAGTATCTTTAAGCTCCTATAAAAGTATGCTTTTCACTACTAATTTGATTTTATTTCTATTATGGATACAAACAAAGCTACATTTTTGTTTTGCAATAAAGATAACATTATGTGAGGTTTCAGGTATTACATAATATTTGAACCTCCCACAGGTACACAGTCTTTTCAATCAGTATTTGAGGCCTATGAAAACATCTGCCATCATGAAAAATTACTAAATTTTTGGGACATTTTCCTATGATTTGGGCATGATTGCAGCAAGTGAAACACATGGCTACAACAAATTTATTCCACCTAAGGTCATTGGAGGGAAATTTCCCTGTAATTGTATCCTCTAAATTTACTCCCATAGTGTATGTGTACATGTGTGTTCACACACATGTGCTCCCCCCCCCACACACACACACACACACACTAACCAAAGAGCCAAAGCTCAATCCTTGCAAGCACAACTAGGCAAGTACACACACACATTACTATGAATGTCTCCAATTCCAAGGAAAAATGACAAAGGAATAAACACTCACAGTGTGGAATCTAAGGTTGGCAAGCAGTGTGTGCATCAGGTCTCTGGGTAAGGTGGCCGAGGCGTGGTGACACATGGCTGGAGCATCGTCGGGAGAGCCATAGCCAAGCAGTGCTGCAACATGACTATGGTCCTCTAAACTCACCACTAAAATACCCAACTGTAGACGCTGCAATGATTGACCAGTGACAGAAATTGCAATAAAATATCAGAATTGTTAACTTTTTTAATTTAATTTCTAATATATAATAAATATACTATATGTATTTTCATACTATTATAATGCATAATATCCAACATACACCATATATACAATATGAACAAAATATACAGTAGAGGAAAACATTTAGTTTGAAAATGTTCCAAAAGCGACAACCTCCATTATGGATAAAATACAATACAAGACATACTTTATATATAACAAATAATTAGTACTAATAAACACATGAAATTATGTCAGAAACAAACAATTTTCCAATTATAAAACACTAATTTGTACCTGTCCACGAGACAGTCGTCCCCAGTCTTCCGGTGACTTTGGCAGGAGACAGTAGAGGAGGCTCATGCGCGATGCCAGGGGCGGCAGAAGCAATGGGGAACTCAGACCCTCACATACTCCAGCTTCTATAGCACGAGGTAACTTCGCATCAACTAGTCTGTATTTTAAGAAAAGAAAGTTTAAATAACAACAAACAACAAGAATATATACAAGCTTAACCCTTATATGGCTCCAATCATTTTCTGTGATTACTTCCTGTGCCCAAATCTCCAAATACAATTTTGTGTGCCCATTTAAATATGACGTCTTGCAGGTTTCAACCCTTCACTATGCTCAGACTACAATGAGAAGAATGTGTTTATTATTTTTCCAAACATCACCGAATAGTTTTCAACAATACATGAAGATTTTTTTCCTTTTCATAAGCACCACAATGTAGGACTTCTAATTTGCCAAGTCATTAAGGGTTAAGGAGAACAAAATGTATACTGTAGCTATTTAACCTTTGTGACATTCAACACACCTGAAGAGTAACTGCCTGAGTGGTGATGCCTGGGATCCCAGCACTGCCTGGGTCATGCCTCCAGTCAACGCCAATGATAAGTGGGTGTTAAGCAGTTGTAAACATAGTAATACAAACTTCTCCTGATCCCTGTAAAAAGAACAATTTTGAGAGAAAACGTTTTATCATATCGCTTATAGTCCAAATCCAACACTCCATGATATTTCAAAACCTCCTTTAAATATTCTACATTATTAACTATGAATCTCCTCACATCCCTTTATACCTAACAAACTATTAATACCTAACAAACATATTATAAAATTCGCTAAATGCTTACCTGCAAAAATTCGTAACTGTGTAAAGCAATACTATATGTTCTATGGAAAATTGCAGGCCACCTGCACTGTACTTTTCTATCCTCATAATTGCAAATAAACAATAAAACCTTTTTACCTCATTACAAATCTGCATAGTGAAATACAGTACAGTGCTGTACAAGACTGCCTGCACTTGCATGCTCTCGTAAATGTAAACAAAACAAAATCATAAATGTTGGAAATAATAATATGCAACTCCCTAAATTTCTCCTATATAGCACAGTACTGTACTGTACTATAATTTTAAGAATTCCATTAACATAATATCTCACCTCACAGATGCAAATGGTTTAATTGGTTTATCCATGTCGTCAAAGCAGCAATAAAGTTCTATAAAAGTCCTCAAAAGAGAAAAGGTACCTTCTTGGAGATCAACACAGAAAGGACGATGCCATGATACCACACGTCTGAAATAGAGAAGATTGGACTAACATTTGACATACTTGGCAGAAGAGCAATGATTGAGTAATTACCTAAGTGTAGTTACAGGATGAGAGCTATGTTCGTGGTGTCCCATCTTTCCAGTACTCTGTCGTTAATGCTCTGAAACTACTGACGATATTGTCCTCCACCACCTTCTCACTTAACTTGTTCCAACCGTCTACCCCTCTGTTTGTAGAATAAAACTTTCTAATATTTTTTCAGCACCTTTGTTTCCTTAGCTTGAATCTGTGTCCTCTTGTTCTTGAAGTTGCTGGTTTCAGGAATTCCTCTTTGTCAATTTGGTCAATACCTGTTATTATTTTTAAGTGGTGATCACATCCTCTTTTTCTTCCATCTTCTAGTTATATCTTCATAATAGTGCTGTATTATACATACCCCCTGAAAAGCCACCCAAAGCAGGGTACTCAACCCAAACCATCAGACCTGCATTCTTCAGAGGAAACAGTTGAGGCATATTTGGAATACCCACCCTAGGACAAACCTACACCAAGCTGGTAATAGAATTTTTGTTATTCTTCTTCATATAATTTTAAGATGAACAAAATGAAAATGAAAATATAATATATTTCAGCAGAAGCAAGCACTTATTTTATAGTTTTGTAAGTAATGTTTTCAGGTTTCTGTAAGCAATCATATTTAATTCCATTTTGCATTCACGGTCAAACTTATAATAACCCGACATATGAAATTAAAACAGTGATATTTCAGTCCCACACATTAAATCATGACAAAGACGTGTGTGAGGGATCGACATAAAGCACAACTTGTCATGACTTGATAATAGCTCATGATGGATCAAAATATTGTATTACCTGTATTCTCTACACTTATAATGCAATCATTGCAATATTGTACCTACACATCAGTGTACCAACACCAAATTAATGCACTTTCACAATATTGTTAAAAAATGCCTTGCCTGTCAGTAGGTATGGCAGTCCAAGCTATGGAATGAGTGGTTCCAGCACTAATCTGGTGAACAGCAACATCAAGTCCTGTTACTTTTTTGGGTCGTGGAATGGGTGACACAGTGTGACCCTGCCCACATTGACCCATTGTGTTAGAGCCCCATGCATAAACCTGGAATAAAATATTAACAAATGCTTTAGATACTGTTTACATCTACTTCTTTTTAGCATGTAAAAACTAGAAGTATACTGAAATCTGTAAAATCTATTTAATATAATCTCGCCATTTATGTACCGAGTCATGTGGCAACTCAAATCCTAGTACATAAGCTAAAATCCAGTTAAGCTGTAGACAAAATCTGGGGGGAGGGGGGGTACGGTCATTATATCAATCAGCACCATATGCAAGAGTGTCAACATATTAGTGTTGAGGGAGAGGACTCATTTATTTAACCTGTATGTTTTTATGTTCATTATTTCTTATCTAAATCATACACTGCACTCTTATTTTAGAAAATACTTGGCACACAAACTACAAAATAATTAGTTTTAATGCCAAACCTTAACAATAATGTTTCAACTATTGCTTACTTTCCTAGCTTTCCAAGACAAAATTAAAATACAGTATACTTTAAATCTGGCTATGTTAACCAGAAAACTGTTGAGGATGCTCCCCAAACACCCGTGTTTCTCACCTCTGATTCATGGGTTAATGCCATTACGTGAGAATCTCCAGCAGATATGTCAACAATCCGCAACCCTGCCAGCTCTTCGATTGGTCGTGGCCTCAGCATGGTGGCTTCAGGTGATCCTAAGGCAAGGCATGGACCTGTGCCCCACACCCATACCTGAAAATGCGCGTTGTCACCTCCCTGGACCTGTGCAGCGAGTTACACAAGGCAGACAACATCAGCAGAGATTAGGCAGTGGATGATGGATGATAATGATCTTCATGAAATAAACACTATATACACTTGAAGATGTAATATGGATAACTTCGAAACCAAAAATTAAGTAAAATAGTGTGCAACACTTTGGATACTATACCAGATAATTAGTAAAAATCTATTTTAAGATCATATATTTACAGGGGTTTACAAATTTAATTTTAAATACTGTTCATCCATGATTCCTGTCAAAATGATGATTATTGTATATTAATATTTTATACATTAGTATCCTAACAAAAACTATTCATACCATTATGATGTATTATTGAAACAGTCTGCACCACTTTGTGAATTAACCCTTAGACAGCAGTTATCATCAATTGTTGATTCACAGGGTAATGCGGTTATCATAAGAAAATTTAAAAAATTATTGTCTGGGTTTTACATGTATGATGAAAATAATATGGATATACTGTAATAGGTCTATGTAGATGTAATGGAGTTTACCTAGAGCCATGAAAAAAATCCTGCTACCATTTCATGGTACAAATGCAGTTATCATGAATGTTACTATGAGGAATGCGGTCATTGTCATATGATGAGCTAAACAATTATTGTCCGAGTTTAAAATGTATGATGCAAATATGGATATAACGCTCTCTGTGGATGTAAATACAAAAAAAAAAGTGATAAACCAATCAGTGAAACATGGGAGGATAAAACATGACGTGTCAGCAAAGTCAAGCACCAGGCGTTGACAAGTGCCAGACGCAGCCATGCAGAGCACCTCCACCCAGTGAAACTATAAATATTCACTCATTTTAGTGTTTTCTTACATTATGCATACAAATTAATAATTTTATAATGACAAATTATTTGATGGAATAATTTTTTTGTCCATAGGTGGATATGACCATTTCTCTATAGGTGCTGTCTAAGGGTTAAAATTAAGGACATTATAATTAATAAAAATAATATTCTGGAAAGATTATTATTATGGCTTAAAAAAAAAAGAATTCTGCTGGTGCAAATGTTGAAATCAATTTTATTATCGTAATATAACATGCAAACAGTTGGGTTCATTCCAGATTCGCAATCAAGAATTCCGGGTTTGAATCCAAAGTGGGACAGAAATGACTGGGTAAGTTTCCTATCACCTAATGCACCTGTTCATCTAACAGTAAGCAGGTAGCCGAGAGTTATACAAGTGTTGTGGGTTGTATCCTGGGGAGGGTCAGTAATTGGCCTAGGGGGACCTCAAGAAGCCTAACATACTTTCTGTCCCTTAGAGGTGCCTCTATAAATGTTGTAATAGACTACTGTATATTAAGGACCAATAATTTTTAACCTGACCATTTTAGTTGACCAGACCACACACTAGAATGTGAAGGGACAACGACGTTTCGGTCCGTCCTGGACCATTCTCAAGTCGATTGGTCCAGGACGGATCGAAATGTCATCGTTCCTTCACATTCTAGTGTGTGGTCTGGTTAACATACTATGACTGACCATTTTATATATAATTGAATTATAAAACACTTACTGTACAAAATATTAGATACAAGAGATATTTTCAATTACATCACCATAATTTTAAGAATTTTTAAGAAATTGATAGAAATCAAAACTTAAATATCTTTTAGGAAATACTGTATCTTATAAGACACAGCATCACAAGACACAATCAGGATAGCAATACTGTACATAATTTAAAAACACTGGATAGTATCCAAAATGTCATATCATGCATAAGATTACTTAGAAAACAAACCTTAATAAATATAATATTATTGATGTACTAGTACTTAATAGTCATTGCAAAATATGGAACTGCACTACTGTATATCAAATGGTAATAAAACACCTTAACCCATTGGCTGCACCAAGCGGTCCACTCACAAAAAATGGTGCTAGAATGTGAATGCATGTGCTCTGAATCCATGTGCCTAGAATCCCATTACCAAATAATGTAATGATGGTCTAGGTCATCTTGACCTACTAGATCAGACCCCAGGCCTTGGGGTGAATGTTACTAGCAGAATGTTACTAGTAACTTAATGTTACTACATTATCACCCCTTGGTATAATGCTCAAAATTGGTAATTATGCTTCCTTCAAGCACGCACCTTGTACTTTTGTTTTCGTTTTCTGTTTTAAGTTAAGGTATGCCATGCCATTTATACTGTGACATGTAACATACAATAAATACACTGTTCAGTATACAGCACGTCTAAGGATATCAAGTCATTTTACTTGTAAGGAGCTATTTCTTTTGTATGTAAATGTTTTCATCATCTTGTTCAGGACTGCTCACCATTTTGTCTTATAATGATTAATAATAAATATGAAAAGAACAAGCTTCTTCCCAATTAGAAATGTAAAAATATATGATTAAACAACATCGATCAACAAGAAAACAACATAAATTAGTGAAGGAAAGAAATTGCATTACAGTACTGTATTAATTTTTGGCTGTAATTTGTGCCTTAAATACATCAAATTCCTTGTCAAGTATGCATATCTGTTGTATTTATGATCATAGTCTATACATTACGAACATGCATGCTTTGATATTAAGCTACTCAAGCCATTCTTATATACCATAATGCCAATTCAAAAATTAATTAATATTTTTCATAGCATGTATGGAAAGAGCACCTTGTTCTAATACGTTATTAAATCAATTGAAGAAACCCCTAACAACTAAATAACTCATCCACAAAATTACAAAATTGAATATTTACACTAACATTTCATGTCAATTTGTTTTTTACCCTTGGATAGTGTTATTTTCTAATTGTTTATGCCTCCAAAGTACTATAGTAAATGGCTATAATTCCTTTCACACTCTACTTTGACCTTTGGCTTAGACAGCTTGGTGAAGACTTCTTGAAGGTTATTTGATGGTTGCCATTATCATTATTGGTTGCATGATTAGTGGAAGGAGCAGGTGTTTTTCTTACAAGTTATATAATGGAACAAGTATTCAAATTTAGTCGTTTGGGGTTACATTCTGACCCTTAAAATGATGGGCAAGCACAAATAGCATCACAGCCAAAGGGTTAACCAAGAACAAAAATAAATAACCCAGCGAGCTACATCATACTATTACAGTCTATAATATATATATATAAATATGTGTGTGTGTGTATATACATATTTGCATGCAAGATGTGATACCATATAAAATGTATACACGTAGTTCGTCAAGTCAAGAAAAAGTCGTCTGCAAGTGATTAGTCAGGAATATAATAGTGATACCATTTACTTACAGTAATTCCAGCAACTTTGCTGCTATACAATACATCATACATCACCTCCCCCTATTAAGTACAAATAATAAACAGACTGATTTCTTCAAAGGCAAGCACTGAATTTGTCATAATTCAATGCATCCCAAATCTTATTTGAATGTAATGTAAGATAATGTAAGATCTGAAATGCATTCCACAAAAAGTTATCTTAAACATTGAAAAACTTATTTAACTGAAATGGAATAGACAACAGAAGCAAATTGCTCGTTCAATAATGCCTATAGGAAAAAAATACGCCAATCAATAAACCATTTTCCTACCAATTTCCAAGTGAATGAAGTACACTATAACATGGTAATGATACAGCCTCTTCTCTTGATTTGCCACTATGTAAAACTAACTTTTTTGCATATATCACTGTACAAACCCAAGCAACCCACCTAACTTAAAAAGGTCGATGCCTAGAAAACGTCATTACTGTATTATGGTGCTTTAATTAGACTAATATGACATTTTTTATCGATTGGTCAATTCCATACAAAAATTTACACATTATGCGAAAGGATGGGGTAAATTGATGATAATGAGAATAAAGCAACCCATTAACCCAGTTGGCACTGTTGGTTAAACATATAATGTTTATGTTTAGGTTTAAACATTGTTTAAACCCTTCAACAAGCAACCATGGTAAACATGCTGTTTACATGGTAAACAGCATGTTTACTTTCAACCAACGGTGACCACTGCGAATATTGACACATACTTCCAGAGCCACAATCCTATTTTTACAAAGTAAATTAATCTCAAGTGCTGGAGAAGTTTTAAAGTACAATATAATGAACATCATATCATGCACATGCAACCATTGAAAATGAAAAGAAAAACATGCATGAATAGCTAGACAAAATAAAACCAAAGAAATGCAGTATTATAAATGTTATTCAAAATATAATTACCCAGAAGCATTCTTAATGCACAAAAAACTGGTTTATAAACTACCATTTTTTTCTGGCAGATAGGACACATTATTATAACAATAAATTTAAGTACGATTTAAGAGCTTAAGTGAAAGAACATAGCAATAGGGAAGCTGTACTTTAAAGTCATTTTCAATCAATGTCCGAGGATTCACAAAATTGCTTTTTCTTCACAACATATCCTTGTGAAATATGAATTGCACATTATACTGGCGTGCATCTTATATGCCAGAAATATGGTACTCATCAGCAATAAATTGCAAACAAAAACTTTTCAAATAAACTATACAAATCTAATTTGTACATTTTTTGTCTGTTAACTTTATGCAATAAGAAAAATGCATCTACTTTACTTATCATATACACAATTTCCGAAGAACATTATTAAAAATAACCAGTTTTGAACATAAAGACGCCTCTTTCTAGTGGGCCCCTCAGTGGCTTCCTGAGCAACCAAGGGAACCCTCTCAGAAAAAAAGTAAAGTAAGTGCAGTCATAAATACTCTACAAAAATACTCAAAACTTGCCTGTCATGGTACAGGCAAGTATAAGAGGGACGAGGAAAGAAAGTCAAAGAAAATGATGTTCTGCCTTTCATCTCGCTGATGTGTCTCCAAGCACAGGCTCCACTAAAGCCCAAGTCTATCAGGCACTCATTATGCCAACCACACACCATAAGAAAGGTAGATATATTTTAATAATATAGTAAACATCATATCCCAGCACCAAGAGGTCTAAAGTGTAGCTCCACTAAATAGCTTCTAGCTCAATAAAATTTTGCCGTTTGAAGACATTAAACCATTATTTCAATGATTAACTGCATATATTGATTCATTAAATTTAACAAAATGACATTATCACAAAGAAGTTAAATAAACCTTACTATCAAAACCATTATTTCTAAGCAGTGTCCATCCATGATGTTGTAACTTCAAAAAACCAACTATCATGACAGCAACAGATGATAATGCTAACACTTAAAAACTACTTACAGCTGCATATAAAATCCATTGTAAAAATAACATAACTTATTACTTTACCTAATGAATACTTTATAGGATATTACAAATACAATACTAACCATATTCAATGTCTCAAACTAAACCATTAAATTCTATTTTTGCAGTTAGAAGACATTCTTACAGATTACAGTTAGAAGTACATAGAGTATATAAATACAGTATATTGAAATCGAGATCACTGGAAATGTTTAGGACATTTGAACTTTGGTATGACCTAAAAGCATATTGGGATACTATAGAAAGCAGTTTAAAGCAGAAACTGTGTCTTTTATACAAATATAATCCATTCACTAAGAAACACACTTAATAAAAATATACTGTAATCCAAACACTAAAAAAATAATAATGGTACATGCACATACAGCACTTTTATTAAAAGTGTACAACAAAAAATATCTTAAAATTTCAACTTAAAAAACATTGCAATACACATAGATAAGAAATAAGAGGATTGGTTCTAGTCAATGGCTATACAGTCTGTATGTGCAGCTGCTGCTTATGTATGTACTCAATGAGCAGCTGCATTCAGAACGTGTGTCCAAGCCAAGTCCAATGGGGGCCTCATAGCCTGGTGGATAGCGCGCAGGACTCGTAATTCTGTGGCGCGGGTTCGATTCCCGCACGAGGCAGAAACAAATGGGCAAAGTTTCTTTCACCCTGGATGCCCCTGTTACCTAGCAGTAAATAGGTACCTGGGAGTTAGTCAGCTGTCACGGGCTGCTTCCTGGGGGGTGGAGGCCTGGTCGAGGACCGGGCCGCAGGGACACTAAAGCCCCAAAATCATCTCAAGATAACCTCAAGAAGAAGCCTACGAACATGAAAAGACCGAGACAAACATTTTAATGTGTTATGCTTACAACCTCTAAAATGATTATGACAACATGTAGAGGTTACCTTGAGGTAGTTCCGAGGATCAATGTCAACGTGGCCCGATCTCCTGTCATGCTTTTCAGTTTTTTTTTAACAATTTTACTGCAGCACCCTCCAGAACGTTTTGTTACCACTAATGGCAGATATATAGAAAAATTAGGTTTCATTTAGCCATTTTTAACTGCATTTCATGCAAGGCTTCAGAAAACAACAATACTTTATTACAAGTTATGGAAGATGTGCAGAGTGGACCAAAGCACCCATGGCTTAACACTTTCGCTCGGGGATGACGCAGCATTGCGTCAAGAGCATTTTCTTTGTTGAGCCTCGTGGCCCTCAGGCGGCTTGGCACACCCCGTGGGCCCATTGTCTTTGCTCCACTGTTGTGACCAAGCACCCAGAGCACCCAGAGCACCCAGAGCACCCAGGCCTCTGAGCACTCACTCACGGCTAACGCGTGGCCCGTCTTCACTCGTCGGCGGTTGGAGCCCATGGCTTAATATGTGTCGGTACCATAACCATCCTCTATCTGCAGCAGTTTGAATCTAATTCTTCTTAACTAGAGCTCTTATTGCATCAATCACTATAGCTTCCTGGATTCTTCTTCTCTAAACTTCTCTAGTTGAAATTCCTCTTATCAAATCCAGCCTCTTTAAGTATATCAACTTATGACTACTTCCAGGTCTTGACTATTTCCCATAGTTTTCCTAGTCCTTCTATCCCAATTACTTTTCTTTATCCACATTCACATCTACCCATCTATTCTAACAAACTAAATTTTCAACTAATCTACTGTACCTCCTTATTTTTTGAAATGCAAGTCAAAATTTGAGTGTTTCCAACATACTGTATTTCATTAAAAATGCGCAAACAAAAATGTAAAAAAAAAATTTACATGCACCATTTAGGAAACAAATACATTTCCTATTATTTCCATATATATGGAGTGTTTCGAGCAAAGACCATCATAGCAAATGATTTGACGTAACTACATAAGGTACTGAACATTAAAAATAACAATTAAAAATGTATAATTACTTGTTCACTTTAAAAATTTCTTAAATATGTTAAGTGCTTTTTTATAAATTCATCAAATATCCAAGCAATTACAACAGAGTAAATTCACACTTTCAAAATTCATAAAACAAAGACACATTTGCTGCATATTCTTAATCAAGTGAAAATTTAATATATAAATATTTTAATTTTACTTCAATAATTTTAACAGAAGCAAAGGTCATATGACAATGGATTTTTACACATGTGCAAGTCATTAAACATAACTTGTGATGCTGAGAACAATATTTAAAGATACATCAATGAAGAACAAAAAGTTAACAATGCTCAAATTTTGACACTTCATTATTGTACCCATTCAGACTCCACAGCTGGTCTGTCTATCTACTGCAATCACAAAGATAATATTCAAAGTAAATTCCATTTCCATCATTTGAAACAAACCTTAACAGCATCCATTATACAATTACTGCACCCATTATCAGAGTACAGTAATTGTAAAAATAACACCATGAACAAAAGTAAGAACTAGAAGAACAACATGCTGTATTATGTCATGTCTGTCATGTCTGTTAATAGCCAGCTGATGAAAATTTCAGACTATAAAGTACAGTGGAACCTCGACTTACGAATGCCGCTACCAACAAATTTTTCAGGTTACGACCCCGATTTCGGCGGAAAATCTGAATCTGCTCAAGACCTTTGCCTCGACTTGCGACTTTGTTGATACACAAGAGGGTCAACCGAGCGTGTGGTTCCTGCTGGCACGGGCATCCCCGCTTCAGTTTACCAGACCGCCCGCTTAATGACGATCGCGCTTGAATTTTTTTTAAAGAATTTCATTGTTTTTGTGCTTTTTTGGTTTTTGAACATAAAAGTAATTATTATGTCACACCATGGGTCCCAAGAAAGTCAGTGGTAAGGTTCAACCTAAAAAAAAAAAAACAGTTGTGAGGAGGCAGTAGAGGATGTCCCTTCCTCATTAAGAAAATGTGTGAAGAATGGGAAGAATTTCAAAGTTTTGCTGAAAAGTCTTGTCCAAATAAAGCTGTAGCAGGCCGTTACATTGACCTTATTAATGACAATGTGATATCTCGCTACAGACACATGTTAAAATGTAAGGAATAACAAGTCTCTGTGGAAAGATTCTTAGCGAGACAAAGAGTGAGCCACAACCAGGTCCTACTGGTATGCCTGCATAAACATAGGAGAGAGTACCCATGAGAAGTCCTCATTGCCTCATGTTTTAATTAAACGGGACTCCTCTTCCAAACACCAACACCTATCCTCCTCCCCACCCCCCCTTCATCGTCTTCTATACACCAACAAGTCATCAATAAAGGTAAGCTATAACTTGTACATACTATAATACAAAATGTGTGTGTATTATGAATGATATGCATTCTGAAGTTAATATTTTTGGGAATGTGGAACGAAGTAATTTAATTTACAGTACATTAATTCTTATGGGAAAATTAGTTTCGGGTTACAAATTTTCGAGTTACGACCCATCTTAAATTCGTAAACCAAGGTACCACTGTACTTATCATTAACCCTTAAATGGCTCGGCTAAATAAAGGTCCAACATTGATGTGAACATGACAAAAAATAGTTCACCAAACAAATGTAAAAAAAAAAAAAAAAAAAAAACACATTTGTGGATTTGAACACAAGATGTAATCGCATAGTGATTGGAGTCCTTTACATGCCAAGTGACAGTCAACCAAATACCTAACTAATTCCTCAGTTGCTCTCCATTACATACATATATTAATTATCTTTTGAAATAAAGGAGAATTAACATTATCAAAATACTGTGCCACATTTTAAGAAATGCTAAATAATGAAAAGAATAAACTATTAAATACTAAGTTCAGGCCTTCACTTTTGATATTTTAGCAATCGCAACTTTACACTAACCTGGCCATGAGCCGCAAGGGCAAAGGAGACCTGTGTGCCCGTGGTCAGCTTGCGTATTGTAAGACCCTGCAGTGCTTCTATTACTCGAGGTCTATACACCTTGGCTGTGTCCCCATGGCCAAGCTTTCCATGGTCACCTGTTCATTGATGATGGAATATTATCATCATTGCTTATTTTGGTACGAGACAGTTCATTTTGATATGTCATTGAGGTATCAGCCAGAAATAAATAAGAGAGCAATACAGTACAAGAAAAGAAGATTACAGATACTCATAACCCAACCCACACATTCAGTTCAGTGCTCACATCTGAAGAAACAAAATTACACCTTGTGCTGGTTGACTAGGGTATGGTCAAATCGTACACTAGACTATTCAACCAAGCTCATTTTTGTTTAATACTGTATTGTTAGGTTGGGGTGTATTAGTTTATGCTAGGTTGTATTAGGCTTGCTTAACTTGGGTTGGGTAAGGCAAGTTTTAAAATTTGTTGGCAAACCATTTTGTGTACAATGTGAGTCATCCAAGTGACTGGATATTTGGTAGAATATTTATCTCTGTTCTGACCCATAAAACAAAATCATCAAGATGGATACCGTCTCAGAACACATTCATAATTCTATACAAGATATATGTAGCAATAATGGATTTGAGACTACTTACCAGATCCAAAAGACCATACTGTTCGCCCATCAGCTGACAAAGCAAGTGTATGTGCACTGCCGCATACTACTTGACCCACACCAGATATGTCTCTGACGAGTGTAGGCACATTACGGCTCGTACTGTCTCCATGACCTGATTATAAAACTAATATAAACAAATTTGCATTTGGCAACCACCAAATGCCTAATACAAATGATTTTCATTTACATCTGACAATTTCAGCACAAGAGGCTATTGTAAATAGAGATTGGAGCAATTTACGAGTAAAGCAAGCCATCACGTGTATAATTCCACCTGACCTGGACAAACTATAACAATCTGACCTATCTACAAAAAAAAAAAAAAAACTGTGATAACTATCCTCTAATGTTATCAAGACACACTGCCTTTTGTAAGCAAAGGGCAGTGTGTCTTGGCCCAGAGAATATTACATGCATTTACAATCAGTATGCCTAGACACTGCCTCAGTAACAATAAGAAATTTCAATCAATATCACTTACCTAGTCTGCCATAATCCCCTTCTCCCCAGGTGAAGAGTTCTCCCTCTTGAGTTACGCAGGCAGAGTGACGGTATCCCGCTGACACCCAACGCACCACCTTGCCAGTCAGCGGCCCAGCAATGAGTCTTGGGTATTTCTGCGTCACATTGTTACCATGACCTAACTTTCCATAGTCACCTTTAGGAAAATATTGGTCTTGTAAAAATACTTTAAATAACATCCCCAAAACTTAAATATTTGTTTTAACACCACTGTTATTTATACCCACTAGATATACTGTATACTGAACAGCTTATATGCATTTCAAGCTTCAATCATTACAAACTTTATTATATATATTACATAAATGGCAAATCTACAATGCAGTAGCAATTTTTTTTATCAGAATTCAAGCCAGCAGCCCACTGTTAAAACAGTTCTTATTCAGCACTTATGTAGTTATAATCAAGCTTCGAAATGTCAACATTCTTCAAGAATATGACCTCTGTGTATCAAATCTTGGCATTTATCCTGCCTGCAGTTTCCCCATGTTCAGACCCGTACTAAAAACCCAGACAGAAGGCAAGGCAACTACCAGAAGAAACCTCTGAGCCAGTATGACTATATAGCATATGGAAGGGATCTGAAGATGGGCTGAAGGAACAGTGCCCAAACACTTGGGTGATCAAGGTTCCAACACTGACCCGTTAAAAGTCAAAACCGTTACTGTACTGACTGGACCAAATGGACGGACAGCCCTAACAGCAGAACAAGTCTGTGGCTCGAGTTTTTTTGTCTTTTTTAATTCAGCATGCATTCTTATTGTATTTAAAGGCAAGTACCTCCACACTACATAAAAGTGGTCAACAGATTATATATTTTCTTAAAGCACCTCAAATCTTTTTCTCACCTAATTATTTACTCATGCCCACAGGCAAGCATTGCTATAAAAATTTATATATTATTTATACCCTATTTTAATATACAGTACTTATTATTTGTTAGGTGGCAAAAACACTTCAATCAAACAATTTTCACAAGAATCTCCCTAGAGAAGGAGATTGAGCCTATTCCATCATCACCCGTTCAACCGTGTAACGTCTGCACGTTCAAGAATAGAGAATTAACAAGCAAGAACGACAACAACTATACGTCTAGACTAGATTCCACCACTCTACACCCTAGTCTTCTACCCCCAGCACACCTGGCGTCTCCAGAATTGTGCCACTGGCTGGTGAACAAGCACCTTGATAGTTCACACTTGCCCGGCTCCCAATTATTGCGACACCAACTCCACCTGGACGGTCATTTCTCCCGTGTGGATTTGTTCATTTACTAATTAGTCTGATTTTCTAACCAACACCTATATTCATCTTTCAAGAACTACCTAAACAGGAGGATGGGCTGACCTTCAGCAAACACATTTATTTACTTCCAAACAAGTAATTACCATCTCCCCATGTGAAGACCTGACCAGAAGTTGATAGTGCTATAGTATGGCCATCACTTCCTTTAGAGGATGAAACTCTTCTTACTCTCGTATCTAGGTTGAGTCTTCTTGGCGAGGCCTGGTTATTAGAGTCTCCGAGACCTAAGCGGCCGTAGCTTCCCTTACCGCAGGCACTAATTCCACCATCTTTGTGGACGACAAAGGTGCAGTATTGCCCTGCCTCCACCTGTAGGGAAAACAATAAAAACATTTTACAATGGGTTGCCACAAGCTCTTATTTTGAAGCCTAATCTCTTTGTAACCTCCATTAGCAGCAATGATAATATTTATGCAAACCCCACACACAAATTTACACACAACAGATTTGTGGATGGGTAGCAACTGAAAACCAGAGTCATTTCATGGCAAATAATTTATATGAACACTCAAATGGACAAAGAATTGGTAATTAACAATGCTATAATTAATAATTAAAATAATGATGACCCTACATCAAATGAGAGTAAAAGGTAAATTCACCATGTACTGGTCTCGTATAAAAAGCACCGAGACCAATTAAGTAATTATCAAAAGAAGGCACCAAGTCAGGAAAGTTATTTAGCACCATCTGAATCGTGAGATTTGAGGCCAATAAGCTCGAGTTTGGTCCAACACACTTAGCTCAAACATATTGGCAGTAATGTACTGTATATATATATCTATTGGATTTTTTCCCACTAATGGCTGCTGAAGGTCCAGAGTCCACCTTAAAGGAAGAATGCAGGATAAGAGTTCATTGGGCTCACATAGATCTTCTTGTTGAAAGTACTATTCTTTGCTAGCAGTAGACTTTGACAATAGTGCTACTGATTTGTTTGTGTATTGCGGCTATGCCAGCTTCCTCCAATCGACACTTTAATGTGAGATAATGTTTCTAATGTTTAATGTTTCTACCTGAAACACCATGCATGTTAGTGGCTTTGCACAAACATCAATGTTAAGTACTCTCTCAACCCAATGTACCTCCTTGTACATAAATAAATATGAGATACACTTGCAAGCTGGCTCCTATTAAAACTTAATTCTTGAAAATAGGATACAGGAAAGATGTTCCATTACCTTTAAAACATATTAACATTTTAATATCAAAAGGAGTATTTTAAGACAGTACTGTAGATGACACATACAAGAGTATCAAGTTCCAAACCTGCTGGACACTACTGAAGGCATGAGTTAATTTTGGAGCAAGGATCTTGTCCTGCGTGCCCTCGGCTAGCTGGTGTGAAGAGTTGCTCCCCCACACATATACATCACACGAGTCATTGCTCTCCGTCATCTCTTCACACGAGTCACCAATGCACGTACGAGCATATTCACCTGTATGAAGAAAAAGTTGTATTTCGTTGTAACAATTTTTTTCTTTTGAGTGAATTAACTTTAGCAATAACTTTGATGCTACTCAATACAAACCCTGTGTAAAAAAACTTCATTATCGAGTGAACCTACTGCTTGCAATCTTGCAGTTCTACAAGCATCATCAGTAATGTTTTTCTACCATTTCCTACATTGGCCAAGCCATCTCACGCAAAAATCTTTTTACAAATTGTACTGGACTAATGATACTCACAAGCCAAGAGTGAGAGTTTCTCCATGAGGATAAGAGCAGCATGATACAGTGGCACAGTGCCATCTGGATGAGACACTCCAGACACTCCACCCACTAAACCTTCTCCACTTTGGGCCAAGGAGCTCATCACGTCTTGAAGACAGTTGTTGCTAATGCATGTTCTGCAAGATCAAAATAAATAAATCCACATTGATATACCATCCACCATTCCAGCTTGATATATATACAATATCTTGATTCAATATTTCCTTCTGGAGCCCCTTTCAGTAGCCTGGATACATCAGAATTCCTTGATTATTTTCCAGTCATCTTTGGTTAAAGTATAACAAAAATTGAAGGATTAAAATTATGATTTTGGGAATGCACCTACATAGTGATGGCCCTAAACAGCATTTCCATTTCCAGCAATGCATGTGACCAGTATAATTCTAAGTCGCTAAGAACTAAGTTATAAACTACATATTCACACTGGAAAATATATAATAAACATAATGCAACTTGTACCCATCACTGGAATCTTCAGCAGCTGTGGTAGCTGCACCGAGGGCCAAGTGCACCCATTCCAATAAATACCGCAGCGAACCCCTCTGAAGGCTCAAGCCTAACAGTAACTCTGCACTCAGCTTACGACCTGCAATAAAAGTAATAATAAAAAAACCAGCGTTGAATGTAATAAAACATCAATGTCTGGGCAAGACCCGGAGGCTCCCTGAAGCTACCATCTCTGATGTTGGTGCTATCTACTAGGTGCCATCAATCGAGGAGTTCTCTGGCCTATCAGGGACCCACAGCCAGAATCTGGTCCCCCTCACACAGGCGCATGCCTTTATATATTGTTATTCATTTATGCCATCTCCAAGGAAGGCACCCAGAAAGTGAGCGGGTCAAAAATCACAGCCCATTGCCTTTGAGACCTGCAGATTAAAATATAGTCATAGAACTCCCCAAACTATATAAGCAAACAAACAAGTGAAAACGTTATATAACTACCACACGCTCATTGCCCCACCCTTCCCCTCATTTGGGGAAAGGAGGGGAGTAGACCACGGCTAACAGGCTGCTTCATCATCAGTTTGATAAATTATGTAAGAACCCGGCTCCCTGGGAAAGGGAGAGTTTTAGGGAGCCACTGGGGCTTACCCAGAAATTGGCATTTCATAACATTCAATGCTTGTTGTCTGGCAGGAAAGCCCCTTGTGGCTCCCTGAAGCCAACTACCACAGATAAAAGAAATGGACACTCACTAGGGAAGGAGGAGACAACAAGTATCATAACGAAGAAGAGATAGTTGGCTGAGAAAGTCAACCCAAGGCCAAAGAGGGGAACTGAAGCCTGGGAACATTGACCAAATATTTGGACCACTAACACTGTTCGATCTCCAGAACCTATGCTCAAATATCAGCTCAGCACATAGCAAAACACAGCCGAAAGAGAAGCATACTTCCAGATGTCATGGGCATGAGAGTAGACCGCAGGCTGGCTAGACTTAATGACACTGCAGATGACCTGAGAAAGATGAGCCTTGGAACAGGGGACCAAGAAGATAACGCATGGGACGCCTTGTGGGATCAACCTACAAGGCGTCCACCAATGCAGAAGTGGTGGCACAAGAGTAGCAACATCCATTCTTCGCCAGAAAAGAAGGAGCCGGCTGGAGACTAACAAACTGACCCCAGGACCAAAAGAACAAAAACCCTGGCGCCAAACAAGAGCATGAAGCTCACCAACCCAACAACTGGAATTCAATAAGACCGGAAAAAAGCTAAAGAAAACAATCCCGGAAAAAAGTGGACACATTTAACCATGCAGAAGACAGAAAATGGAGCACTTTATATGAGACCAAGCAGGCTCCAGCGGCGCATGAGCAGGCCAGAGGTGAAACAACGCACGAGACAGCCTGCGACTGATGGCTCCTAGTAGATGGCACGTACATCGGAGGTGGTAGCTTCAGGAAGCAACAAGGGACTTCTCCAGAAATATCCCCTAACAAAATGACAAAAAGGTTAATGTTGCCATGTAGCAAAAACTTTTGAGCTGCAAATGAATATATGGGATATCAGGTACATACAACCCATTGGGAACAATATCTAAGAGCCATGCCAATTCATTGCCAAATTAACATCAAATTCATTACTCATTGATTAACATTGATAACATTGATTCACCATACAAACACTGCCACTTGTGGATATGGATTCCACTGGGAATAACAAATCTAGTATTGAACGTAAGGAAACACCTTCTGGTGGGCTCCTCAGTGGCTCCCTATTCCTTAGAGCCACCAAGGGATCTTTCCTAAAAAAATAGATAGGACAAGTACTTCTATCAAAATATATATTGCTTGAATGCCATAAGTATTCTATAAAGAAAGAGCCTCATTTGGATCTGATAGCTTTATGTTGCTCTACTTCCTTTGTACAATATTTCATACACATACTTTAAATAACATAAGAACATTTTCCTTGGGCATGTTTTTCTTATATTTCTCTCTCCCTTTGTCTCCCAAAAACATGAAATACAGTATACCTGTTGGGTCCGCAGGAGATGAAGGCTTTATAGTCTCTCCAAGGAAAGTAGTAAGCTGCGAGAGGGATGCTAGACCCACACGAGGAAGCTTTGATTCAACAGCCAATGACAAGGGTGGCAGTGCTTGAACCACGGACACAGCCGTCCCTAGCACCTCCGAACACAAACTTCCACCACCTTTAAAAGATAAAAATTAAAATCTTAAAAGCACTGTAATCTACTAAATTGTAAACCACAAGAAAAACATACCCTAACATTTTCAAGCTACAGTAATTTAAAAAGCATTTGCAAGATACGTGTAAAAATAAACCAAAAAATGAAAAATTCTAATTATGACTAATTTACAAATGTAATAAATAATATTATAAATGGAAATATTACAATAGCTGTATTTAACACACAAAATCTATAACTTTTAAAAAATATTCCAATTACCATAATACCCATTGAACTTCAGGTAATACAGATAAATTACCAGATAATTCTAGGAATTTCCTCATTCCCTCTGTCTAATGAGAGGCAACACCATGCAACTTGCTAGAAATTCCAACTCACTATTATTCATCCAGCCAAGCCTGAGGATGGAGAAGAGGAGAGACAAGCCAGTGTGCACTCCTAGCTCTATAAGAGCCTCATTAGCTGATAGGGAAGCACCATTGCCCTGAACCTCTGTTGATGGTCCTCGTTCACTTGTCCCAGTAAGAGCCTAAGCAAGAAATTATAAAGTACTGTTCTGTAAATACACGCATCACTGTTACCCCATTTCCAGCTTTCTTAGGAGTGGCATGGCATAAGCACAATAAAAAGTTGAACAATACTGTTCTTAATGAGCAGAATAATTACAATATTTGGAGACGAATCCACAAATAAAAATCTTGCCGAGCTATGGGAAGTTACGCAATTCATAATAATGCAAATGATAAGCTCTTCCACAGAAATCAACTACTTTATATTTTTAAATATTCTCAAATATAAAACCTTTTGATCAAATTATTCATTATTAACTAAGGATATTTTACTTCATGCACAAAATATTTATTTGAGGAGATATCCAAACAAAATTTTCTAACATACACTAGAAACAAAAAATAAATTGCACTATACTGTACTAAACGCTGTAATCTAATTTACCCGATCTCTCTCTCTTGCACCCTGATGGAAACTGCGGGACAGTGCGTGGTATATCCTCTGAAGCACAATCAATCTCTTGTGAAGTAATGCAGAGAACCGAGGTTGAGCAGCAGTAGATCTAGGAAAATTATCATATCAGTGAATTAATAATCAACATTAACAGTGACAACTAAACAGCCATTTTGGTAGATAATGTATACGAATCAGTTATATTAGACAACTAAACTGGTTTGTGTTACATATTTACTAACCGAGCAAGAGCAGCCTGGGAGGCCAACAAAGCATTCACATGGTTGAGTTGGTCTGCCGGTGAAGGTGGCTCTGGTTCATAGTCTGGCAGCTGTGGGCCCCCACGCATCACACACCCAGGGCCAGCCACGACAACCACTTCCTACCAGTGAAAGATATTTCATGTCACTAAATTAATTCACAAGAACATTATATGGCTATGAGAAAATATTGAAACCATACAATGAGATCAAACCAGCATTCCTGAACTATTCATATTCAGACTCTCACACTACTGACATAACCATTATGGGTTGGTAGTGCATGTGCCTGAGGAGTTCAGGGCCCTAAGTTCAACTCCATTGTACAGCTTCAATATTAATTCATAGATTCATCACTTTGTTGCAATTTCATTGTGAAACGCTTAAGTAGTTTTCTCTACAGTCCGTTGATAAACTCGGTAAAAATTAAAAAATAATGGAGAGTTGATTTTGAATAAATTGTGTAGAAACACGGTATTCTAAGTTAATGACCATTAACTATAAGCAATTAAAAATTAGAAACCTATTAACCATTAAATGACTTAATTAAAAGTCTAAGGGTGCATGAAAAAATAGAAGTCTTAATTAAAAGTGCACAAAAAAAAAAAAAAATGTGCATAAAACTAATGGTAAAAAATTTTAATTTTGAAAAAAGTAAATAGGGTAATAAACAAGGAAGAGGCTAGCTTTACAAGGTCAACACATACACAAGATGTATGTATCTTTTAATTTGTAATTTACCTTGTTCTCCAGCAGCCTGTCATAAAGAACAAGTGTTGAGTCCCTGAGAGCTATGGCCTGGCAGTCTTCTGCTAGCCAAGAGGTGGTGAGATGCTCTGCCCACTTGAGTTTGACAGTAGGGGGTGCCACTGGAGGAACACTGGCAACTACTCCACCCTCCATCATCCTCTGTTCCATGCTGAACATTATAAAAAATAGATTTAGACAAAATATATACAGTACTGTACAGTATTATCTTATTCTTACCTTAACCTTTCTCTTGAATTTATCTCGCCTTTCATCGCACTCTTGTCTTATATCGTTTGTCTCTTCCACTATTTTTCTATTATATAATACAGTAATGGTCCAGGACAGACCAAAACATTGTCGTTTCTTTACTTTTAGATGTGCATCATCTACAATATATAAAGTTAAATCATGATCTCAAATATCGAAAGTGTTAAGTGCATATAAAAACAATTAACTCTTGTCACGTGAATCCCCTGCAGAGCAGTGGAACTATCTTTTCCCTTCAATGCCTCTGCACTGGAAGTCCACCTCTACACCAGCCCAGATGAGTCATCAGTCCTGCCACCTCTCCACCTCTGTAGGTGGAGAGGTGGATTTTTTGTTTATTTGCGTGATGGAGAGCCATACCATCTTGGTTCAGTATAGCTGCGATACCACAACCCGTCATACTCTACACTTCCAAATTCATGAAATGTGTATCTCATTCAATGCACCACCCCTAACCCCCCTCACACACACACACACACACACACCAAGCATTCACAAGCAACTTTATTCACAGTTAATGAATATATACCATACAGTAGTGTTTTTAGTTTAAAAATTCACATTCAAATGCTTATTATGTTTAACACATATTAAGTTAGGATTGATTTTGCTTTATGTAGTTAATAACCTTAAATATTTAATACGGTGGAATAGCCAATGGCCATATCACGTTTCAAACACTGCTTCTCGTCCAATCAACAAAGTGAAGTTAAGCAATGATGTATTCGTTAGTACTTGAATGGGTAACTGCCAGGGAACACCAAAATGCTGCTGGCATTAAACTTTAAGGGCCTGGTATACATTACTGTAGTACAATCGGGTTCGTTCACTACTCACAACGGGACCTACTCACAATGGGAAATTCCAGGCAAGACAGAAAGATTTGCTAGTGTTTCCTATCATTTTTTTTTTATATACAGTATATACACAAGAGTTCTTACATTTTTGTAGAGCCACTAGCCCACATAGCATTTTGAGCAAGCCCTTAATCCTAATTTTTCCCCAGAATACGACCTGCCAAATCGTTTAACAACCAGGTACCCATTCACTGCTGGGGTGAACTGAGGCCACAGTTAGGGATTGGCATCCAGTCAATCCTGCCAGGCCAGGATACGAACCCAGGCCAAGGTTCTCGCGAAGCACCAGGCAAGTGCTTTACGACCGAGCCACTTGGACTTCATCTAACGTCCCTGTTCACCTAGCAGTAAATAGATATCTAAGAATTTTTTGGTAAGAAATCAGCTTCTTGTGGGGTTCCATACTGGGGAGGGTCAGTAATTCGATCTTGGGAAGGTACCTCAATATTAAGCTCCATCCGATTTTCTCACCAATGCATCATGTTAGTGTGATATCTTTGTGCATGTTACACAAGTATACCAAGATTAGGGTCGAGTTAGAAACCATGTTCTTATCTGGAATTCACAGAATCCAGATATTATAATACCCATACAAGTGTTGTTGTATGGGTATTGATTTTGTAGCTTGGTTGACATCTTTCTCATGCTCCACCTGGAGATTGATGGGCATACACAGCTAGTTGTTGTCCAGTAGGCTCTACTTGCTAAGCGGCATCTTTATTCAACAGGGTAGAACGACACCTTTCATATTATTGCTTGGGGTTATAAGGTTAATAGATTTTCAGTTTTCAACAAGGTTCTGGCACTGACTTTGGGGGCATCAAAAAAATTTCTGGTCTTTGCCACAGGGCAGTTTATTAGCCACTCGGCTTACATACATTTAATAAGGAAGGAATTTTGGCTGCCATTAAGCTAACCGTTTTATTCAGAAATCAGATGATCTTTGACAAGCCATCAGCTTCCTGTTCCTATCAAGGCCACTAAAAAGATGGTAGCCCTCGGGTAAATTCAGATAAGTAGATATATCTATCATAACCCTTAATCCAAGAGCCTCTAAGGATGCTAGGCATTCAAAAGTTGGAAATTGGACACCTTGATATACAAGTAAATAAATAGGTTATAAAGACATTGCTCATAGAGAGCTGTCATGTCAGCAATTTATTACGTTAGAGCATCCGGTTAGAGAGTGTGGAGCCTTAACTGGGCTACCGGGGGTATAGACCCAACCCAAACTTTCCCCGCAAGAACCCAAAATCTCTCCTCCTCACCTCATCTAACCACCAATTTGCAACGTGCCCACCAATGTCACCTCGACATCATGTCGTCCTCCACATATAACCCTGGAGAAGGTGGTGGTGTCCCTCAGGGAGGGTGAAATAGGGAGGTGGAGGTGGCCGGGAGGCGAGGCCGTCAAGCACAGCTGACCACCACAACACCAGTGACAACGCTGCCACCTCTCGCCTCGCCTTATCTCTTCACTTATCACCTCTCTACCTCTGTAGCTCCTGCTCTATTGCCAATTACAAATATATTTATATATTGTATTACAAATGTCTAATGTTTTTTTTTTAAATTCCGTAGGATTCGAACTGCATGAATGGTATTACCATATACCAGTATATACTGTACACTGAATATACTGAAATAGGAATTTTGATATCGTATATGTAAAACTGCCTTTGTTAACTATTTTTAATATTTTTCTTATAATCACCTAGGTATGTTTCAGTAGGGAGGCCTAAGTAAATTGTTTAAGCCTGTATAATTCTAACACTGCGTGTCATTGCTTAATATTGCTGAGAGAGAAAGTCGGTATTAGATAACACTTTTTGTAACTATAATAATAATAATAATAATAATAATAATAATAATAATCTGGACCATCGCACATACATAGATGTAATTACCAATTAGTAGTAAAATTTAGTACTATTCACTTGAAGTCCGAAAAACTAAAGCTAAAAATCAAACTTCAATATTCATATGCCTAGTATAACACATATATATATACTATATTAGGCCTCAGATAGTGTGTATCAGGCCTAAGAAGGTTCGATTAGATTAGGTTAAGTTTTATACTTTCCAACATCATTACAAACCTTTTTCCGGTTTGTCCAATTGAAAAAATAAATACTGTCTTTTACGCCATTATATGAACGATGGTCCTCGTCGTTACTATAAGTACTACCTAAACAGGAGGATGGGCTGGCCGTAGTCACCTGCAGACTATATCACCAAAACCTTCTTAAATTACATCAGTATGGAGTCAGAGGTAATACCTTCAGAGGCAATACCTTCAGTCCTACCTTACTGACAAGCTCCAGTATGTTTCTGTGAATAATTCCATTTCTCCTACACTACCTATAAACATTGGTGTTACACAGGGCAGCATACTTGCCCCTCTCCTCTTTCTCATCTACAATAATGACCTTCCAAATGCCTCTCAACACCTTAAACTAATCTTATTTGCTGATGACACAACTTTCATTTTCTCCAGTCCTGACCCTCTTGTTCTAAATGTCACTGTGAATACTGAACTGAATAAAGTCCATCTTTGGCTATCTGCTAACAAACTCGCCCTTAACATTGACAAAACTTTCTATATTTTGTTGGGTAATAAATCCTCAAATGAAATTAATCTAAGAATAAACAATATACAAATCAGCAGTAAAGTTGATGGTTAATTCCTTGGTGTCCTCGTCGATAACATGCTGAATTTCCAGGGACACATTCTAAATATAGCAAAAAAAAGTTTCTAAAACTGTTGGCATTCTTTTTAAGATCAGATATTAAGTACCCCGCCCTGCCCTGGTGACGCTCTATTACTCTCTCCTCTATCCTTATCTCAACTATGGTATTTGTGCTTGGGGTTCTACTACCCAAAATCATTTACGTCCTCTAATTACCCAACACAAAGCTTCTATTAGAACAATATCTAACTGGCCCCCAGACAGCACTCGGTACCCTTACTCAAATCTCTGAATATATTAGATATTAAGTCACTGCACATCCTCTCATGTGTACTCTATATATTTAAAACTCTGAATTGTAATGTCAATCCTGACCTTAAAAGCTTCTTAGAAGGTTGTAACAGAACCCATGGGCACCACACGAGAAACAAATACCTTTTGATATTCCAAAAGTACGACTTAATCAAACTAGAAATGCTCTACAAATCAAGGGACCCAGAATATGGAATGACCTTCCCAATCATGTTAAAGACTGTAATTCTCTCTCAACCAGTTTATGATGAAAACTAAGTACTACATAATTAACTCCATGTAACCTACCTCACCCTATTAACTATGTCAACTATTTAAGATTTACTATTTTTAAACAATGCTGTTTGTTGACCAACTTGTATATTGGCTATTTTCTACCATGTTCCCCCCCTTTTATATCTTTAATTTTTTTCTTTCAACGCAATTTATACTTTAAGCTCAATTACTACAGTATTAAATTTTAGTCTAAGTGTTTTTTCCCCCACCTCACCTTGCTCGAAACGTTATGCATACTAGTGGCTTTAGGTATTGTATGTACTAGCAATTCAATTTCTTCAATTTCTTTCTTTAATATGCACTCCATACCCATCCCGTGGGCGGTGGTGTAAAGGATTACAGAGGCACATAATCGGTTCAGGAACTGAACCCTCTAGTTCGTTTAGCTAAGCAAACAACATTTTTTTACGCTAGTTACAGAATTAATAATGTTATATATACATGTACACACTCTCTCATACATACATGCACATATATATATACGTATACATATATACATACACATACATATCCAATCACCCACACAAATACACACATCAATAATCTTTTGTGTCACAAGTGATCAACAAGAGGCTCACAACAGTCACTATACAAGGCACTTTATATCTATAGTGAGTCACACAGATACTAGTCTTGTTGCACGCCCACCCAACTGCAGGGCGGCAGCTTTACAGTCATGTGCATGCATTTATTTATTTATTTATTTATTTATTTATGCATATACAAGAATGTACATAAGGAATGTGAGGATACAATTATGGTAATTACAGTCTTGTAAAGCCACTAGCACGCGCAGCGTTTCGGGCAGGTCCTTAATCTAAGAAAATTTTAAGCAGGTAAATACTTGCAAAATTTATAGACAAAAAAATGATAACAGATTACATGGAATGAAAAAAAAAAGATGAGAGAAAATTATAGGTACAGTATATTAAAGCACATAGGTAGCTATGATTGATTGCAATGACAGCTTAAAATGGTAGTTGACAACAAATTGGTAGGCACAATACAGCAGAAACAATATAAGATTGATTGCAATGACAGCTTGAATGGTAGTTGATAAAAATTGGTAGTCACAATACAGCATATGGCTAGCACATAAAAGAAGACAGCAATGAACACAATGATAAGGTTGTTTGATATTACATAAAAATTAGGAGATTGGGTACCACTAGGTACAGAGCAAATTTAAAGGTCAGTGTAGGAAACTAAATAGATGAAGTTAGGTACTTTTTGGTTTTGCTTTTAAATAAGGCAAAAGTTTTACAGTTTTTCAATTCACTAGGGAGTGAGTTCCATAGACTAGGTCCCTTAATTTGCATAGAGTGTTTACACAGATTAAGTTTGACCCTGGGGATATCAAAGAGATATTTATTTCTGGTGTGGTGATAATGGGTCCTATTACATCTGTCCAGGGAGAGTTTCAGAGCATGGTTTGCATTTAAGAACAGGGTTTTGTAAATGTAGTTGACACAAGAGAATGTGTGGAGGGAGTTAATATTTAGCAAGTTTAGAGATTTAAACAAGGGAGCTGAGTGTTGTCTGAAAGCAGAGTTAGTTATTATTCTGATAGCAGATTTTTGCTGTGTGATGACGGGCTTAAGGTGGTTTGCAGTGGTAGACCCCCATGCACAGATACCATAATTAAGATAGGGGTAGATTAGTGCATAATATAGTGAGAGGAGAGCAGAGTTAGGAACATAATATCTGATTTTGGAGAGTATACCAACTGTCTTAGAGACTTTCTTAGTTATGTGTTGAATGTGGGTGCTGAAGTTGAGTCTCTTGTCTAGGAATAGGCCAAGAAACTTGCCATCATTTTTATTACTGATGTTAATGTTGTCTATCTGTAGCTGAATTGCATTTGATGATTTGCTTCCAAATAAGATGTAGTAAGTCTTTTCGATGTTTAATGTTAGTTTGTTCGTTGACATCCATAAGTGGACTTTTTTTAATTCATTATTCACAACATTATTTAGTGTATGTGGGTTGAGGTTTGAGTAGATAAGGGTAGTATCGTCAGCAAACAATATTGGTTTGAGAATATTAGAGACATTAGGCAGATCGTTTATATATATAAGAAATAGAAGAGGTCCTAAGATGCTGCCCTGTGGCACTCCAACGGTAATTGGTAGAGTGGAAGAAGTTGTATCATTGATGGTTACATATTGGTGTCTGTCACTAAGATAGGATTAAGCATTACCTACAGCATTACCATTACCGATAGCATTACCTACAGTAAGCAAATTTTGGATACTTCGCTAAGATTTCGGGCAGCACATCATTATGAATGAAGTACTTACACAATTCTTGGACACTATTGATGGTGTTATCTCTAAATTCCGCGATTTTTTCACATTCCATTATATAATGACGCAAAGTATGCGAGTAGTTCTGCTGACAGAGTTTACATTTAGTCAAAGTATGTACTAGCTCTATCTATAAATTTATTAATTCTTCATCTATGTATGTACTTTTCCTGGACAAAATTAATTTAATTTTATATTAAATTAAATTAATTTAATTTAATAATTTAATGGGGGGTATAACCTGGGAGAGTAGCAAGGTATTCTTGCTGCTGAGACCCGGCGGCCGGCGCCGTCTTGGCCGAGAGGTACCGGGAGCTGGTGTTTCTTCCCCGCAAGGCACATTTGTGTCCGCAGACAGGCGACGTTCATTTAGCCATACAGCTGTGGAATTTACCGTTCACGAGTATGCCGGGGGCACATCCAATCCCTCGAACGTTTCATCGATCGATCGTCATCGCCCCCCCCCCCCTATCTACATCAACCTGGGTTCCTCGGTTGTGAGCAGAGGACGTAGACAACTGTGCTACAGGACGTATATACAGTATACAGCACAATGATGTCAGGATGATGCAACTACCCTGTCCTATGCTCACCCAAGTATTTTAATCCTGTCATGTTTTTGCACATATTCTGATAATATAATTATTCTGCTATTCATATTACAGTATTACCACCCACGTGGATCTTAAAACCTCTCATGATTAAGACCTGGGTAAATTACTAGTTGGTACACAGGAGTTAGTCAGTTTGTTGTGGGGTTGCATCCTGGGCAGGATCAGTAGTTCAACCTTGTGGGGAGACCTTGTTACAATCCTAACAGGGGATGGCACTCGAGACACACCGATGTTAATGACATCATTAAGAGGAACCTTACCATACCTGACTGTCCAGCAGAGAGAGAGAGAGAGAGAGTCCCATTACCTAATGTCCCGTAACCTGTAGAACCCCTGGAAGAATGGTAGACAGTTGGTTTGGGACGGCACATGTATTTCAATCCTGGCTAACATCTATGATGACTTCAGTGTTGCACATCCGGGTGGTGCTGCCACTCACAGGGAAGTGGCCAATTCTTGTAAATACAGACATATATATTTCACTACAATTTTGTCTCCAGTGCCTCGGAGATGCTTGGTGCCTAGGGTAAAAGAACCACTAGTGTTAGAGGATCTCAGTTCTAGGCTAATTAGCACAATAAAAGACCCTAAAGCCATCAGCTTCCTCTTCCAGTGCCTCAGCATGGCAATACAGAGGGGAAATGCACACTGCACCCATAGTTCCTGCCCACCATTTAAGGAGCTGGAAGAACTACAGTCTGTGACAACAAACCTTGTACAGTACCGTGCATGTAACCAATGTTGTGCCCCATTTTGTGTTATAAAGTTTTAAATGAAATAAAATAGCAAATTACAAATATTGTGTATCGGGATGGTAGAAGACGGTATGTGAGCATATGTGGGAGCCCCATCAGGTTCCCCCCCCAGATGCTACATATCCTCTTCTTCAAGGCCAAGGGTCCCTTTAAACACAACCATACATTTTTTTTTGTTCTAAACCCATAAAACCAGTTTCTTTACTATAAACCCTTCAATAACACTCATAGTAAAAAAATTGTCTATCTTCCTCTCCTTTCCAAACTCGGCCAGTTTCTCTAGCCCCTTGCAACCTTTACATCAGTTTTCTATCTTATTAATTTTTGTTAATGATTTAAAACAGGACAGTTTTGTAATATCTTTATTGAAATGCATACACCATTTGCAAGAAAAAATATATGGTATGACTACAAATATACTGTAAACACTCATTAATAAAATTGTTACATAAATTGGTTTAGGATAAATGTGTACTGTACTGTATTGAACAATAATATATTAATGTTACAATTATATTTTATTAACAGATACTAAATTAACTAAACAGATACAGATAACTAAATTAGTATCATATTTTCAATATTTTCTGTGAGTACTCAAAACACTAATACTTTAATTTTTGTTTTACTAAAACAAAAACAAATGGTTACAGTATATGTAAATATTTTACCATTAAAACAAATTGGTTTTGCAAAATATTATACAAAAATATCAAATGTACAGTATCTTCTTCTTAAATAGAATCTTTCGTTCTAATTACAATCTGAAGTCATTCAGATGGCAACAATTCTAAACTTAACAATTTTGACTAAAAAACACAATTTTAATTCAAGAATGAACACAGACAAGCACCAAAAAATTGGGAACAAATATAGTTTCCCCCATTGTGTGGGGACAAGAAGCCTGCAAAGCCTATCAAGGTCCCCCAAGGCCAACAACTGACATGGCCCCAGGATGCATCCCACAACAGTTGCCTTATTCCCAGGTACCTATTTACTGCTAGGTGAACAGCTGCATCAGATATAGGGAAATGTTCCGAAAAATGTCGTCCTGCACAAGAATTGATCTCGAAAACATGCGGTTCAGAGCCATCGGTGCTGACCACTATGCCACTCTAGGTTATGTTGTCTATACTAAGATAGACAACATTTACTTTACAGTATATGAAATGATAGATTTAATTTACTTTGTGTTCTTAACTCAATAATTTGCCAATGCTTTTATGTTCTGTTCATAAGCATTGCATCAATATAATTAAAATACTTGAACTTCCTGGCTAGAATACTTCATGAATGCAATCTACAAAAAACTAAATTTCTCTTAATTCACAGCAAATGCTAAAGATACATATACTGCATGTGTTAGTATTTATATACTCAAAAGTACTAATGCTATTGCAAACAGTTTTAAGCATATTACATGTGAAGAGAATTTAAGTTAATTGCCTGTTTTAAAGTTGGTCTTCATATACAACTTAGTCAAGCGGTAAAAGGCATATAGATAATAAAAAGCTTTTAAAAGCCACTTTTAAGCAGGTATATAAGCCAAAAAATTTTAGATAATTTCATTTCACAACTTGTAAATGACATAACATAATAAATGATTTAAATTTGTTTATGTAAAAGACAAATAAAATTATTCACCAAATTGCATTGTAGATTACATAATAAATATTTTAAATCAATTACTTTATGTTAATAGCTGCAAAAAAGAATAACTGTAAAAATAACTCTAAGTAATGGAAAAGCTTTCTAATGCATAATTCGCTTCCTGTCCTCGTCAAGGCCACCAGTGTTAGTGTCTCTCAGTTAGTAACTTGTACTAATTTCATTCTCTCAAGTTGGCTCTCTCGTTCTTAAGTTACAAAAGAGACTGGCAAGTAATTCACCCATTATTTAGATCATAATACACTAAATTTTTATTGGAAATCATGTATGATTTACAACAATGTAGTTTCCCTTCTTTATGAAAAGGAAACCTGTTACGCTTTTTATTGAGATCCACTAGTCAACGACTGACCTTTCCAAGAATGCAACCCTCAATAGTCAACTTGGTACCTATTTGCTGCTGGGTGAACAGGTGTATTAGGTGTAAGATAGCCTGGCTGAACATCATGCCCTGCCTGGTTGAGAGCCCAATGCACTAACCACTCCGTCTTTAGTGTCCTTAAATTTATTTTCCCATTATGAATATTGTACTCTACTTGAATAAGAAATAAACACAGTATCCAAGTTCTAATTTAAGTAATCACCAACTTAAAAGTACTTTAAACAGTAAATGTCTTGATAACTAAGTCACAATAATATGGCAGAAAATGTTACCAAAAACACACTCGCACACACACATGAATCGGATGAAAATTTACAATGTTTTGGTTCATCCTGAACCCTTATTGAGTCATATTGTGACTTATTAAGGATCCAGGACAGACTGAAACACTGTCACCTTCTTACATAGCCTTCCCGGTTTGGTGCCTTCTTTTTGATAATTACTTACTGTCACCTTTTCATGTGTGTGAGCTGGATTACCAAGTTATTCTTCTGATCATTTCCAACACAAGAAACTAACCTTAAAGCTACTCAGCTGCCTTAATTTGGCCCTCATTCCAGATTACATCCTATTTTATCAAGAACATTTTATTGTGGTGGTTTCTGGACAATGACTGACTTGGCACCAGCAATGTCAAAGAGTTCCTTGGAGTTGAAAGAAGCAATAATCTTGCGCTCTCCATGAATACGTGGTAGGAAGTTGATAGTGTGGGTGAACAATCCCTTAGCTGGCACATCACTGAAAGATATAAAGAAATGTGGCTATGTAACATAACTTATGCCACAACAGAATGACAGAAATAATACCACATTTGCAATGCTAATACTGTAATATGTTTCTACTAATCTTCTAAAGTATGGAATATGGAATTCCACTTCTAATATGGAATACCCTGTACTGTACTTTTAATTAGGATGGAATGCTTATCTTTTGTCATTCATTATACCAAGAGTACTGGTATATTATAAAATTACACCTAAAGTGTTGCAAAATGAATCATTGATATTTCTTACATAAGCAGGAATGGTGACAATAGCTATTAATTATGTTTATAATTATAAAAATCCTCAACTCTGTACTGTATCACATAACTTTAAATACTTCATGAATACAGAGTGCGAATTCTATAGTACAGTATTCAAAACTTACTTCTCAATTTTGATTACTCTTGGTCGCATTAGCCCAGCACCATCCACACTGAGTTGGCCTTCAGTAAGGGGAACGTCTAGTGGGTTTGTGAAGGAGAACGTGGCTTCACACTGCTTACGCACTATTACATCTTCAGCAGTCTGCAAATATTTGTATTTCCATGAAAATTCATGCACTATTTCAACATGCAAGATAAAAAATAATGAAAAAATAACTTGGAGAATAATAACGATAATCTAATTAAACCAATTGAAACTTGAGAATCTATAGTTGTAAATACCCAATTCAAGGAAAACTAATTACTTTACTCTCAAAAATGAGACAAATTTCAGTCTTTTATATTTTGTCTTATATAAATTTCAGTCTTATTTGAATGATGTCATAATAATATTTACCTCAATCTGCAGCTTGGGCTTCTCTATCTGGAAGTCATCCTCCTCAGTCCAGGTCTGACCAGTCTCTTGTACACGGCAGATAGCATAAATCTTCACCATGCACTGTTCTACCAACTTCTTCCAGTACTCATTATACTTCACAGTCAATGCCACATCCTGTATATTTATGCTATTAGTAAATATAATTAAGTGCTATATAGGTTTCCCAACTTGGGGCTTTTTGATAAATACATACTGTACTGAATATTTTTCATTAATAAAGCATATCAAAATCAAAAGATGCTTGACAATCAAATGACATATACTGTACCCGTGATTCTTGAGGCTGCAGAACAAAGGTTCCCTCAGCTTTCTTAATGAGAGAAACATTTACACCAGTGTAATAAATGGACTGGGCGGAGAGATAGGCACTGACTTTTCTTGTCGAATCAGAATCATTGCGGATCACAACCTGCCACGAGAAATTTATTAAATTATATTAAGCCTATACACATGGTTTACACCCTTCTAACATCCCTACCAACATAGACAAAACAAAATAGACACCTGGTGTTGCTCTCCTTTATGAGCTCATTCATGTACTGGTATATATTGAGTATTCAGTATGACGTCACACTGGCATTAATATCAAACTAGTCAGACACTCATTTACATCGTCAACACTTACATATGCACAGCTTCTTACATACAGATTAACTTTTCACAGTATTTAGCACAACTTTTATATGCCCATCAGTCTTCCAATTCCTTCCCTGTTAACTCTGTGATATTGTTTTTAGAACTCCATAAATTGTCACTATCAATTGAATACTCACAAATAAAATTTAATGGGCTGATTTTTTAATATGAAAATAAACTTTCAGTAAATTGCTATTAAAAGTAGTAAATAATAATCATTAAGAAATGTAAGCAAAAAATTCTAATGTACCATTTATGAATATCTTACCTTGACCTGGAATTGGTCACCAATTGAGATTTTGTCAATCTCTATCAAATCAAAGAAAACATCCTCTTTTATATCCTTCTTATAGTCGTAGTATTGCTGAGCTCTGTTTGATCCACGGATAGCATTGTGGACGGCCAGACGCTCTGCTTCAGTGCCCTCTTCATTCTTGTAATCACTTAATACATCTTCTTGGTCCTTGTCCCCAACATCATCCTCCACACCAGGACACTTGGTCAGGATCTGTAGTAAATATAATTTTCTATTGGTCTTAATATTTCATTACATTCAGTTATTTACACAATTACTTACTTTATACCAGAAAGGTAGATGTAACAAAAGGTTTCTAATTTTGTAATACTGTACTGTATTGTATAATCATTATGATGAAATGAATAATAACTAAAAACTTTTGGTGGAATGCACTCACACTGTCAGAGGACAACAAAGTTTTGGGGATTTTCTTTTTTAATATTTAAGAGAGCAAGTACAGTACTGTATCAGAATATGCATAAAAGTGTTAGCTATTGCTTTCACTAATACTGTACATTAAAATCTGCAAATAATAGAAGTAAAAGTATGGCATAAAATAGCAAAGAATGGACAATTTCAGATAAAATAATAATAAATGTTTATTTAGGTAAGGTACATACATACAAGAAATTTTTACAAAGATTGGTGGATGCTGTGGAATGGGATATTGAATTTGTTTAAGCAAGAATACACAGTACTGTACACTGATCTCCCTATTAACCAAAACTGCTTAAACTGAATCTCCAATTTGGTTCCATAAATTTTGGCTGGATGAATACATACAACTGCATGCACATACAACAGTTTGGTGGATGCAGGGATTGGTCAGATGATAAGCCGCCGGCATCCTGATCCCGATGAGGCAAATAGGGAGATAGTGGAACTTGGGTAAATTCAGGTAAATATGTGATGCTGTTTGGTATGTCAGAGAGATGCTGTATATAGTGAATGCGTTGGTGTCTTTCCGAGAATCTAACTTTTCCTTATGTTTCCTATTAAATTGCATACAAATATTCTAAAGCTGCAATATTAATTTTCTGTTCAACTGGGAACACAAGACAACTTCTGACTCTGTTGGAAAAGATTGTTAACAATGTTAACATTAGCATTAAAAATGATGAAAAGTTCCTTGGTCTATACATAGACAAGAGATTAAGCTTCAGCACCCACATACAACACACAGCCAAAAAAGTTAAAAAAAAAAAACAGTTGGTATCTCTAAAATTAGATATTATGTTCCCTACTCTGCTCTTCTTTCACTGTACTACTTGCTAATCTAATCCTATCTAACATAGGGTATCTGTGCATGAGGTTCATCCAAGGAAAATTACCTCAAGCACATCATCACCTTGCAAAAATCTGCTATTAGAACTATAACAAACTTTTCAGGCAACACACAACCCCTCTGTTTAAATCCCTAAACATGCTAATTATACACTCACTCCACACATTCTCTTGTGTTATTTACATGTACAAAACCTTATTCCTAAATGCTAATCCTGATATGAAACTCTTCCTTGATAGATGTAATAGAACACCAGAAATAAATACTCTCAGATATTCCTAGAGTCTGACTAAATCTGCGTAAACACTCCATGCAAATAAGAGGAGCCAGTCTATGGAACCCATCCTTAATGAATTAAAAAATTGTCCAACCCATGCTTTATTCAAAAGTAAAACCAAAAAGTACCTAATTTCATCTTAAGTTTCCCTCCTTGTGCTAACCCACTCACCTAAGTACTTAAGATGTTCAACTTCATCTATTCTATCAATTTATAATGAAGTAGTTATGTTTAACTCAAATTCTGTTACCTTTACTCTTTAGTTCAAGGACCTGCCCAAAATGCTGTGTGTTAGTGGCTTTGCAAGAATGTTACACTCAAATCGCAATGTATGTACTTTCTCAACCCACTGTACCTTCTTGTATATAAATATATAAATAAATAAAACTTAAGAGCTATTTTATTCCAAATCTCGCCTCATGATTTACCCCACTAGTTTTTCCTGAAACACAATACACATACTGACTGTTTGAAAGTATTGTACTTTTAAAACACTTTCTTTCTTTGCAACTGCTAAGCTTACCTGACGTCCAATGTGGTACTGGTTCATCTTCATCCTGCTCCATCCCCAGTTACTATTTGGGTCCTCACCCCAATGCATTACATCAGCATTTACTTCAGCAAACACAAATGGGGCATCGTAATTCAGACCAATGTCACCTCGTCTGATGGCCTGTAATGAAACTGGTCCACACTGCATCTTGTCTGAAAAAAATAATACATTGCTTACATTTATTATTTTCAAGTACACCTTGAGCATGGTTATTAATTCTACTGGTAATATTAACATTGGTCCTAAATGGAACCTTTTCTCATTAACAGAAAATTATATATTGTACACATTACCCAGCTTGTTTTAAATTAACAACACTTATGTTTTATTTTTAGACAGTATTGACAGTTAACAAACTTAGCCAAGATACAGCAACACTAATACACTGCCCTTATGTACTAATGATAAAATTCCTATTGTCTGGGACAGGAAGCCTGTACTTTGGCTTGTCCTGAGGTCCTCCTCTCGGTCAACTACCGACCTCTACCAGGAAGCAATCCACAAGTTGCCCAACTCCCAGGTACCAATATATAGCTAAGTAACCAGAGGCATGTGAAAGAAAACATACCCAACCACTTCTGTCCTGCCCAGGAATCGAATCCAAAATCCTTGACTGGAAATTGAGGACACGAACCACTGTACTATATATTTTGTTCTATTATACTGGAACATTCCGTAGTCATAATAGGTATTTTATAAAACAATAAATTTTAAGTCCCAAAAGTTTATCTTTTCTGGGTGAGGTTCCCTTTGTGGCTCCTTGGGCTAGCCACCGCTTGCTCAAGGAGTCACCAAGGGTGACCCACCATGCCCAGCCACTTGGACTGGTTGGTAAAGTGACAGCATCATTTCTTGCAGGTTAGTATTCAATCCCCGATGTGCTAAATGGTTGAGCATCATTCCTTCAGTCCATCCTCCAATCCCAGCTCCTATCCTGTTCTTGTATCTTTTCCATGTGTCATATAGTTGTAATGGCTTAGTATTTTCTCGAAATTTCCCCTTCCTCTCCACCAGAAAGAGGCATTCATTACATTAAACACTGGATTTTAGGTAAAATGACTTTTAAACCCATGAAAATGAGAAACAGGGTAATGGTGATGGTTTTGAAACAAAAGCTAATGCATGCTTACGATCGCTTGCTTCCTGAGGTGTGGCATCAATTGCCTGCCAACCTCCGTAGCCTGGTGGAAGGTCATTTCGAGCCATCCACACATCATTCCACACATGGAAATTCCAAATGGAATCATAATTATCCTGATCAGGTCCACCTTCAATCTCTTTTCCCTCTTTGTTAAAGAACTTGTCAATAGTGAGGGAAGAATTGGTGTCATGAGCAGAAACAAAATTGGTGACGGATCGGCAAGGGATTCCCAAAGCTCTACAAACTGTGGATATGAAACAAAGAATGAGTTGTACATGAATTAAAAACTTAACAAAACTTTGTTTATTCCTGAAATGCTGTTCATAACTACTAGCTTTACTGTACCTACTAAAACATCATTAATATGGTCCTTTGGATATTTTATGAATAAAATATTTTTATGTTTATACACAATATTGAATTTATAGTAAACACACAGAATGCCAAATTATATTACAATATTCATGTACTGTACTGTATTGTGTAAATTATAAAAATATATACTGTAGACATTACAGTTACAAAGTTTAGTCTTACTTGTAGTGACAACAGCAGAAAAGACCCAACATTGTCCATATTTAACGGGCTTATATCCATTTTTCACAAAATCTTCCAAGATTCTAACACTACCAGTCCATTTGAATGGGGCGACACCATCACTGTACTCCCCATCCCATCGTCCTTGTAAAATTCCTTCCTCGTCAGTGTCATTGACCTAAAGCAATCATATAAATTAGTTAAAGTATTGTAACCTTCAGTGATTAAATTTTTAATCACATCTTTATTAAAAGATACTGTAAGTATAGTATAACATTTTTAATGGCATATTCAGTATGTTGTGTGAAAAATACTTACTCCTGCAGAAACCCCTCGCACAACCTGGACTGGGTTGCCACGTTCAGAATCGGCAACACGACTTAGTTCCAGGATGTAGACGGCAACAGGAAGAACCACGTCATCAAACTGACCATATGCCCACGGACGTCCTCGGGACTTTTTATAAGCACCTACGTACACTTTACCCTTGTCGTTTATCACATACTCCTCCCTCTTCGTTTCATCATCAAGGTATACAGCATCATCTGAAAAGTTATTAAACATATACTGTACAATATTTTGTTATAGTTCATGTTTATATATTTGTATTATATTATAAAGAAAGAGCAACACAATTAAAACATAAAAATCTTCATTCAAAAATTTATTAAATTTTATCTGTTAATGTGACATCCAAAATACGAAAAATATATGTAAATATATAGCACACAAACACATACTGTACATAGTTTGGTTTATCAGGTCAGGTACTTGTGAAAATAATTAATTCTCCAATCTCGCATACTGAAGATGCTGTATTAAGAATTCCCACAGTATGCAGCAATGACTAGAACACTGATACAGTACAATATTAATTATTCCAGAGCTATACAGTATAGTATATGTACCATATATCTATTAAACAGCCATAATATACAGCTGAAACCCTACTGATATCATATTTGTAACTTTAATCTGTCCAGGTCTATGAATATTGTGTATGCTAACCTTTGCACCAAGGATTGAAGAGAACAAAGCAGTCGGTATCATCACTGTAGAGGTTCATTGCTCGGCCCTGGCTCAAGTCCTGGAGGCCACTACGAATATCCAAATGCCATATGCCTACCATGGCAGCTGCTGGAATGTAGACCTTGAACACAAGACATGTTTAAATGATTACCTTACCAAGGACTGCATTATATAAGCAAAATGTCAATATAATTCTCACTGTCATAGGAGAGAGAGAGAGAGAGAGAGAGAGAGAGATAGAGATAGAGATACAGACAGAGACAAGTGTAAGAAAAGAGAAAAAGACCCACCTGCAACACGAGATCTTTGCCACGACTGCCAGGGTCAATGCGACAATCCCAGTCGCTCTTGGTCTTTGTAAACTTGTCATTCTCAACAACAATTACAGCCATTGTACCCTTCTGAACTGCTGGTTTATGTCCTGCAGAGAGAAATCCAAAGTTAGGCCATGCTTATAGGTAGAGAGCTTTACAATTAAGCTTGGTTAGTATTGCTATAAATCTAAATTTTATATGCTATAAGGAGATATTTTTTCATCCACAGGGTTATAAACCATGGAACTGCTTATCCACCAGAGCCTTAAATGCCGAAACTCTGCTGAACTTTATAATCCAGTTTGAAAAAATCATCAGGACAAATAGGAGGGGGGGGGGGGGGCGACCTTTGACAAGCCACCGGCTTCCTGTCCTTGTCGAAGCCACTAGTGTGTTAATGGCCCTCAGGTAAATATAATATTTACCAGAATGTCACCATATCTCTAATGCCCAGGACGGGGACAGGATACCAGCAGCTTGTCAAAGGTTTCCCCCTATAGATATCTAATTAATGCAGCCAACATGTTAAATAAAAGCTTATCTATGGTCATAAAGAAACCTTTGAAAAATATAGTAATGATACAAACAAGAAAATGAACACACCAAATTTGAAGTTGAGGATAACACGGTCCTTGGTAACATCAAAGTCATTGTGGAACCTGATGGCCAGGTAGAATGCTTGTCCTCGGCGAAGCACTGGCTTGGCTGCCTTTTGGTCATGCACAAGATCAAACTTGATAGTTTTGTGGGTTTTAGCATTGTCCTTGATATACCAGTGGAGACGGTCAACTTTGTTGGCAGAAGTGGGTGCTGGAAATAGATTATTAACAATTTATAATACTGTTGCTACATAATTTGTAACAGTATGTCCAGCATAAGAAGAGAGTACACTGAGTAAAGAAGGTAAATGATAGCTACATTTTGTTGTAAAAGCTATGAATCGTGTAAATGAAACAGATACCTATAAGACAGCAATTCTTTAGTACATGGGAGTATGGGAGAAGCATCATCCCTTAGATTTCAACTAACGTCAGTTGATGTATAAGGGTCCACCCGATGTGCCTGAATTTTGTAACTAGCCCATCAAGATTGTAACTTGCTTAGCTAAATGAATTGTAGGGTTCAGTCCCTGAGCCCATTATGTGCCTCTGTAACCCTTTCCACTACCGCCCACAAGATGGGTATGGGGTGCATAATAAATGAACTAAACTAAACGATGTGGCTTCAACGATAATAGATGTGTTTCTACAAAATAATACTTATGAGAATAACCCAACCATTCACTTGTGAAATTAACAACTTTTTGTCCATACTGGGCCTTTATCAAGATGTGACAAAGAAGAAGGTTGGGAAGGAGCCTATATGAGGGAAGATAAGGAGAGGCGAGTGATGAGGAAAGTGGAAAAGTAAAGCATGAAACTGAGCCCCTGAGCCCATTATGTGCCTCTGTATTTCCACTACCGCCCACAAGATGGGTATGGGGTGCATAATAAATGAACTAAACTAACTGAGCTAACATATAAATCTGAACTTTGGTTTACACTGGCATAGTCAACTGGTGAACAGAATGTAAACATATTGCTATATAATCAAGCAAAAATTAAGTGACATGCAAAACAATATAATTTTTTGTATTACGTTTTTCAGCCTCGGCTTCATCGAGCCTGCGTCTCTCGATGGTGCGAGCGTAGTCGGTCCGTAGACTGTTGAGCCAGTTGTTGTAACCGGTGGCAGTGGCAGCCATCGTCGTCACCTGTTGGTCAACAACATCCAATTAAGAACATTAGACAATCTAACTACTTTATCAAGATTGTAACTGTCTTAGCTAAATTAATTTTGGCGATCAATTCCTAGAGGGCTGTAACCGAATCTATGGGCACCACACTAGAAACAAATATCTTTTTGATATGCCAAGCGTGCGACTTAACCAAATCGTAGTGTTGGGAACAGGAAATCCGTTTTATCGAGGTCTCCCATAGGCCACCAACTGATCTTTTCTAGGATGCAACCCACAACAGTTGTCTATCTCCCAGGTACTTATTTACTGTTAGGCGAACAGCGGCATCACGTGTAAGGAAACGTACCGAAATATGTTTCTCTTCGCGGGAATCGAACCCGGGACCATTCTGTTGTGAGCCTAATACGGTGATGAGCACATACAAAGATGTTAGTACCTGTCATGAATGTGTTCAACTGCAGTACTCTAATTCCTGAATGTTAAAGCAGATCCAATGCTAATTAACGAGCATAAGAATACTGAACCATCTAACTACAAGTGTGCATCAGTAAGGTCAGTGACCCCGCAGCAGCTTGTAAACACAAACACATCTGGCAACGTCATTCAAACATGGCAACAACTTCCATTAATTAAAGCAAACGTCAGTGCTGGGGTATCACTGTTGCTTCCCAGCCAGCCAAGAATGTCCCCAGACCTTCCCGATCGAGGAAGAAAATAGCCGTCAATGAACAGGGTTGCAAGGTAGGCAGCTTCACCGGTGTGGGCCAAGAGATTGCATCATGATGGCGCCTAGGCAGGTTCTCTGCACGATGTAATGTGGCTTCCTCAAAGGTCTCCGCACTGCCCATGTCACATATGTGGCTTCGCCAAAGGTCTCCGCACTGTCCATATCATATATGTGGTTTCGTCAAAGGCCTCTGCACTGTCCATGTCACATATGTGACTTCCTCAAAGGCCTCTGCACTGTTCATGTCACATATGTGACTTCCTCAAAGGCCTCTGCACTGTCCATGTCACATATGTGACTTCCTCAAAGGCCTCTGCACTGTCCATGTCATACATGCGGCTTCCTCAAAGGCCTCTGCGCTGTCCATGTCACATATGTGACTTCCTCAAAGGCCTCTGCACTGTCCATGTCACACGTGTGGCTTCCTCAAAGGCCTCTGCACTGTCCATGTCATACATGCGGCTTCCTCAAAGGCCTCTGCGCTGTCCATGTCACATATGTGACTTCCTCAAAGGCCTCTGCACTGTCCATGTCATACATGTGGCTTCCTCAAAGGCCTCTGCACCGCCCATGTCATACATGTGGCTTCCTTAAAGGCCTTTGCACCGCCCATGTCACATATGTGACTTCCTCAAAGGCCTCTGCACTGTCCATGTCATATATGTGGCTTCCTCAAAGGCCTCTGTACTGCCCATGTCATATATGTGGCTTCCTCAAAGGCCTCTGCACTGTCCATGTCATATATGTGGCTTCCTCAAAGGCCTCTGTACTGTCCATGTCATATATGTGGCTTCCTCAAAGGCCTCTGCACTGCCCATGTCATATATGTGGCTTCCTCAAAGGTCTCTGCACTGTCCATGTCATACATGTGGCTTCCTCAAAGGCCTCTGTACTGCCCATGTCACATATGTGACTTCCTCAAAGGCCTCTGCACTGTCCATGTCATATATGTGGACTCCTCAAAGGCCTCTGCACCGCCCATGTCATATATGTGGACTCCTCAAAGGCTTGTGCACATTCCGTCTCGGTAGTAGAGTTGGGTTCGTTCTCGACTCACAATCGGGAATCCCGGGCGGAACAGAAACAGTTGGTTGATAAAAATGCAATTTGTAAGAAAGTACAAAAAAATACATTGTATAAGAAATTTGACAGAATAAAAGGTAGCCTTCCATGGAGGCAATGACAGGAGTGTACATCGAGAAAGGGCCAAATGAAGGAGAGACAAATACTGTATAAAGATGACGGACGGAGAGACAGACAGACAGACGGACAAATAGATCAGAGCAACGCAGGGGAACCTCCCCCCCTCCTTTCCGTATAATATAAAAATAAAATAAACCTTTATGTTCAAAATAGACCTCGTTGCTTTCACGCTTAAAATAAATAATAATATTTTATTTCAATATACAATGGACATGTTAAAGTATTATTTTCTTGATGCTGCAGCACACTTTCTATCACTGTAAACTAGGCTATATGCTGCCTACATAAACGTCCACTTGAGCTGGTTTATGTAGTGATTTGTTATAGCAAATTAGACCCAGCACATTCCCAGACATTTATAAACAGAACTTCTAAGAAGCAAGTTGGAGAAGGAAGACGACGTGGAATGTTTCAGCTCATAGCCTGCGCCATGTGTTTCGTGGAATGCTTAGCTCTCTTTGTTTTTTTCGGGGGGTAGGGGGGGGGGGGCGGCATGAGCAAACTTCTACAAAATCTTGAAGATCTGAGGCAAAGTGAAATCGACACCAGTAATTCCATCTATCATCATACTATCATGCAAGAAGAGTCACACATCTATGGATCATCCAATAAAATCATCAGACTTCTAGATGTTACTACTGCTCGGCTCAGACTGTTACAAGTATCTCTTGGAATTTTCATGACTTGCTGATGTAGACCTGACCAAATGTAAACTGTGTCAACAAAATTATTCGCACACCCTCCGTCACTATGTGATGGAGTGTGAAAAGATACATGAATTCAGAAACAATTCTATAACAAATGTTCCAGAGTTGTTTAAATATTTCATTCAAAATGATCTGCTACCAGACGTCTTAGCTAAGTATCCCCAGTTTGCTAACTGTAGGTAGTAACTAAGTGATTGTAACCTATCCACCACCGCCCACTGGATGGGGGGGGGGTAGGGGGGTGCAGGTTAAACATATCAAGTGTGACACACTAGCTCTCCACATATGTCAGTTGCTTAATTTAGAAACTGTACTTGCGGTCGGTCTCGAGCCCATTGTTGATGTGCATTTAGTTTTGTAACTAGCTCATCAAGATTGTAATTTCCTCAGCAAAATGAATTGTGGGGTTCAGTTCCTGAGCCCATTATGTGCCTCTGTAGACATAATAGAGGAAAGATAGATGGGTTAGAAAGACGGGGTCCAAGAGCTAGATTTTGCAGAAACAAATAGTAAATACACTCGTACCACCTCAGCCTACCTTCTTCCTAGTCTTCCTCTACTCCTTATCGTGTGAACGTTCTCTTCGTCAATCTATCAACATTCATTCATCCAATATGACCCAACAATCTAGGCTCGCTCTCCCTTATCTTGAGGTGTCTGGACATTAGCTCACATGCGAACAAGCCTGAATGGTCCCCAGGCATATATGCAACTGAGGTGATTTGATAAAATACCATGCCCAAGATTACCATCAGAGTGCCGGCGGGATGATGGGGAATTAGTCTCGGCTACCATCATCTTTTGTCCGGTCGTGATGGTCGAGTGGTTAAGGGGTCCTGCATGTACACCAGTTGGAGAGTGCTCCTGGCAGTATGGGTTCGAGTCACTTATTGGGGTGTGAGTTTTCAATTAGCTCACATCTCTACATGATATTGTCATTCCTAACTCACTAACTGCTTCCCAGTGTCCATTTCTAATGCCCTGACTCTTAAGAGTTGCTAAGGTTAGTAGCACACCAGTGTATGGCGGTGTATGGCAGTGTATGACACACAAGCCGGCACCACCGCCTCTTCAAGCAGGCAGACTGTGACTCCATAAATACCAGCCTCAGCAACCAACACATACCAGGTATTATACGGACGGTGTCATCCACTTTATAAACATACTTATCATTTATACCTTCTAACATCGATCAATACAACACTTAATATAATAAAATAATTATCAAACTAATTAATGCATCAAACCGGTAAGATAATTAGCGCAACATTTTGACAATGTGACGTAATGACATCATAATCTCCAGGATAGGCTGGGACATTGACACTTATGGCAGGTGGCTGCAGGTAATGACCCCCAGCGGTGAACACCACATTTGTTAACTACGTGAACAAGAGCTGGCACACAAACATTATATTTATGTGCCCGGTTATCAATTATTTCAGCCCAAATGGTATGAGGAACTTTGAGCACTGTAACTACTTCATACACCCACGAATATTGGAAGATATTCTTGTGCTCTACCCAGTGTTTGCTAGTGCAGCCTCATGGACTCACATCTCTTATTTTCTCCAGATTCCATGTATGCTAACCATACCGTGAGACGGGGGATATTAGTTTGACCTATACTTTCTAATCCCTCATATAGATTATGGTTGCATCACATTGCTGTGTGTACCTGTGTTAATAATAATAGTTTCTTTGATTAAGGACTTGCCCGAAACGCTGCGCGTACTAGTGGCTTTACAAGAATGTAATTACTATGCTATGTATCCTCACAATGCCAATGTACCTTCTTGTATATAAATAAATAAATAAATAAATAAATAAATAAATAAATAAATAAAATATTCTTTAAATCCAAGTCACATATTATCTAAATATCGTATCACTGGACCAGAGACTGAAGAACTAGCGGAGCCGGTTAAGTCACTCTAAAACAATATGCGAGAGAGAACTAAAGCGTGAAGTATTATTACCTGTAGTAGCAGAAGAGACAAAGTATAAACCCGTTGAGTATAGCGTGGAGCGCACTGCACGGCGTGCTTCTCTGCTGGTTATGACATGCTGACCCACCCAACTCTGGGTATTTATAGGCGCCTCCTCCACCTACAGGACCACCTCCCACCCCCCGCGTGGTCAGGGCCGCTGCCCGCAACACGTCTGATTCACAAGTTTGGATTAATCATTCCTGGTAATATTACAGGAGACAGTGAGTGGGGAGGGGGTGGCCTTGCGTTACAGGAGACTGTTACAGGAGACTCAGGGGGGACTCGCCCACCGCTCACGGCTGACGGAAGCGCTGCTATGACGTCCATACATCTTATGTAACTTCTTGAATGACTGGGCGAAAACCCTGACCAGTTTTAGAGGTTAAA